AATTCTCTCCAGGCCACATCCATCACAGGCTCTGCTTCACATCCTCAGTGTTTTCTACCTGGCTGGGAATGTGCCTTTTGTTTGCCTGGATGGAGTACAGAGAAGTGTCTGCGCCTGTGCACAGAAACTAGACTAACTGTACAAAGATTAAAATTTGCATGTGTTGCTCCTCTCATTTCTGGTTCTGGCCCCACCCACCACAAGCATATGGCCCTCAGAAGGTTGCCCAAAAAGCAATGTGGCCCTTGTGCTGAAAGGGGCATTTAGGCTGAATCAAGCTCTCTCTCCCCCCTCCCCCCCCACAGTGTTTTTCAAGCTGGACATGTAAGCAACCTCTAAGATCAACAGAGCATACCTGCTCACAAATTGGAAGTCATGTGACACAGCTGACCAGGGATGTGAACCTGGATCCCACAGGCCCAATTCCAACATGCTTACTACACTACAGTGCTTTTTGCCAGTTCTGTATACATCCAGGCAGCTGCTATGGATCTGGCCAGGGGACTGAGAGCCGAGGAGTTGCCAGAGGGTGTCACATGCTGATGGATTTGACTGGATTTAACCGTCCAGAGGTCCTTTTCCTTTTTTATTATTACATATATAATGTTTTATCAGCACCTACTGGTTAAAGCTGCAAATTACACTGTGCTGGTAAAAGTGCTGCTGCTTTCCCCCTTTTTTTAAAAAAAGAATCATTCCTGTAAAAATGTTTGCAAGATACAGTGGTTCCTCGGGATGCGAATGGGATCTGTTCCGGAACCCCGTTTGCATCTTGAACAGAACGTAAGACACGACAACATGTCTGTGTGTTCACGGGTCGCTTTTTGCCGCTTCCGCGCATGCGCGTGATGTCATTTTGACCGTCTGCGCCTGCGCGAGCAGCGAAACCCAGAAATAACGTGTTCCGTTACTTCCGGGTCGCCGCGTAGCGCAACCTGAAAGCGCTCAACCTGAAGTGTATTTATCCTGAGGTATGACTGTACAGAAATGAACAATGGCTTGCCTGTTTGATACTGTACGGTCAACAACTTAGGAAAGAAAATACTGCAGGCAGAGAAATGCAGAGAGGTTTTTTTATTTTAAAATATGCTGCAAATAATGAGAGCATCATTCTACAGAAGCACAGTGGACTGGTCAATAATAAATCCTGGAATAAGATTAAATCCAGATAAAACCATACTTTTTAGGCAGCTACAGACATGAGTTTGTCTTTTAGCATAAGTCATGAATGACCACCATGTAGCTGCATAATTCATAGGTTTGGCTTTACCCCTGGAAACTCATAATGAATGGGGGAGCTTTTTTCAGATAGTGCAATGAAGAATACTTTCTTAAACTGGGAAGAAGGCTAAGTTAGCCCTCCATCCCTGGGCAGAGCCAGTCCAACCATGAGGCAAGGTGAGGTGGCTGCCTCAGGCAGCAGGATCCAGAGGGTCAGCAGTTGCTGGTGTAGATCTTTATTCCTTCCTTGTTCCTGAGGTAGTTCGTCACTCCTTCCCTGGCAGTGTGTGGGTCACCGTTTTGTGGTTCTCCTCAGATACAAAAATGTCTTGGGGCAGTCTGTGCAATGGTTAGTCAATCAGTGATAAGAAAATAAATTACAAGGGATTTTGCACATAATAGCAGCAATGGTGAAGAAGGCTGAGGATCTGAATAAACTGGTATGCTCACTATATCCTTGATTCCCTGTAAAACTTGGTCCCAAAATTTATATATATGTGCAGAAGTCTACCACATGTAGAAATACATTCCCCTATCTTTGCATCCACACCAGCACAGGGGAGCGCAATCAAAGGATGTCACTTGCTGGCAGCCGGCCTGCCAAGGCCTGTTGGGAGCGATAAATTGAAAGAAACTGTATTTCTTAGCTGTGTAAGTAGCATAAATGATACTTGATCTCCACTTAGCGGTTAAAAGTGTGAATTACACTGCCCTGGTGTAAAGAAGAACAAATGTTTTACAGTACACCAGAGATTCAACCAATGTGGTTAAGCATATATTATTTATATAGTATTTATTTAATCAACTTGTATGTCGCCTTTCATCCAAAAATCACAGGGTGATTCAAAACAAAAAATACAAAATGAGAACACAAAATAAACAAAAATCAGTAACTGCTTCTCCCGCAAACATATTTAATAGGCCATAGAATGTTAAACAGTCAAAGGCCGGGTTATAGAGAAACCTTTTCACTTGGTGGCTAAAGATATGTAACCCTCTTGACCTGGACTGTATCTACACAGATATAAAAAAATGCTATTTAAAAAACACCATGGGGGGGGGGGGAGCTCCCTAGGCAATCTGCCATTGAATTTGGATTGTGCTGTACAGTGCCATCTGGTGCCACATTTATGTAACACATTTTTAACGTTATAAATTGACCTGTGCAACCGAGTCCCTGGTGAGTAGCCTGGCCACTGAATTCTACATCAGCTAAAGTTTCCAGAGTGTCTTCAGAGGCAGCCCCATACAAAATGTGTTGCAGTAATCTAGCCTAGAGGTTGCCAGATCGTAGACAACTGAAGTCAGGTTATCTCTGCCCAGACGGGGTGAAGCTGAGCCACCCGCCAAAGTTGATGGAAGGCACTCCATGCCACTGAGGCATCCTGAGTCTCAGGCAACAGCAAAGGACCCAGAAGCACCACCAAGCTATGTACCCATCAAGAGCAGTGTAATCCCATCAAGAGCAGGCCACCTCCCATCCATCCGGTCTAAGGAACCACTCACTGACAATGCCTCAGTCTTACCTGGATTGAGCCCCGGTTTATTGACTCTCATCCAGTCATTTACCAAGGCAAGACAAAGGTCCGGCACATCCACTGTGACACCTGCAGATGCAAAGGAGAAGTAGAGCTGTATGTCATCAGCATATTGCTGACAGCGTATTCCAAATCTCTGGATAACCCCACTCAGCATTCATATAGATGTTTATGATGTAATGCATTGTTTTGTGTTTGTCCCAAGGCAAATACATTTATTTATTTATAAAAAATCAGGCTCCTGGTTTCTTTGATTTTATTCACTAAGATTCCTTGCTCTGGGGATTCATCTATTTGCCCCAAGCATGTTCTCCTTCATGGAGAGCACGGGTTGCAGTGGGGTTAACAAGACACCTCACTGTTGCTGGGTGGGTTAGTTTGGATGTCCAACATTGTGATTGGGCTCCTCTTGTTGTTGGGGAGAGTTTGATGTTGCCAATTATTGACTGACAGCCTTAGGTTATATATTCTCTGCGCACAGTGTTGAGCTTCCTCTTTTCGCTGCATGCATCGGATCACCCACCCACCCTCCCTAATTTTAGGGCTTTTGCGTTTGACCTTGCTATGCCTGTCATGGGATCATCTGCTTTTGGGGCAGGGGCCTGATAGGAATTTTGTCCATTTGGCTGATTGGCTGGTGCCATTTGGGTTTTGTCTACTGCGTAGCAAATCATCACAACTTGTAAGGTTGCGGTTAGGCATTGGTTTTAGAAAACTGTTTGGTGGAGGGGTATGGATTGGCTGTGCCTGCCCCTCCAATGCTGCTGCTGCAAGGGTATTCCGTTAAAGGAATCAAGGGGCTCACCATGCTTTTGTCCGCACCACTGTCAAGGGGACTAGGGCCACACAAGAGCCCCTGGGAGCATTTGGGGAGAGGTGAGGGTCTGGCACCCAGCTCCATTTACTCCCCAAAAATGTTTTCCCTTACTGACTTTGCAGGTTTGTGGATGTCAGTTCTGTCACAACCAATGCCTAAGCAACCACTCACATTTTTAAAAAAATAAAGTTGTGGCCAAAATTATGCCAAAAACCTTAAACAAAAATTCCTGTGTGAAGTGTGAATTCATTTGGGGGTGGCTTGGGGACCTCGACACGCAATAGACCATTCGTAGTAATTTCCCTTTCAAACTAACATGGTAGACACTAGAGACATCAACTTAAAGTATTCTTCCTTTGCGGGGGGGAGGTGATTGATGGCCAGGAAGCATGGTTTCATAGTGCGCGCCCTTTGACTTAGTAAAACAGTTTGGATCAAGCACAATTCATGAAAAGAATGAATTGTTGGAACTTGGAAGGAGAACATCTTCACTTCTTTCATCTTCAAGGTGAAGAATCAGAGACGGAACGGACCTAGGGAGAAGGCAATTCAAACGGCAGTTTCTTCCTTGAAGTGTCTAAGCTCTGCAGACACTTTAATTGAAAGAGAAGTGCTTTTTAAAAGATTTGCTTCCCTCTTTCCAAGTTCCCTTTTCAAGTGCTTCTCACTAATAATCGTATTAACTCTTTTCTTTTAGAAATGGTTTTTCTCCCCTCTCTTCCTCCACCCCCACACTCTTAAGCATGCTTATCAGCATTTGCTAACCCACAGGTAGACAACATGATGGCCACCAGCTGTTGCTGGACTCCCATCAGCCATGCCCAGCATAGCTATTGTGCAGGGATGATGGCAGTGGCTGGAGGGCATCCCACTGGCTATCTCTGGACTACATACATACATACATCCATTGCCTTATACACACCTGTGGTGAACTCAGGATTTAAAAGGGCAGTCCTGTCCCTCTCCAATCACATTTGGCCTCAAGATAACCTGGTTTCAAGAGAAAAAAATGGGACACATTTGTGTTGTAAAAAACAAAACATGCATAGGAATACGCTTAAGAGCATAAGAGCAGCATGCTTGATCAAGCCAATGGCCCATCTGGTCTAGCACCCTGTTCTCACAATGGCCAACTAGATGCTCCAAATGGAAAACACGCAAGCAGGATTTGAGCACAAGAGCACTCTCCCTTCCTGTGGTTTCCAGCAACTAGTATTGCCTCCAACTGTGGAGCCAGACCATAGCCATGGTGGCTAGTAGCCATCAATAGCCATGTCCTACATGAATTGTTCTAATCCCCTTTTAAAGTGATCACTGTAGAAAGGAAGCAGGAATCAGACCATTTGTCCATCTAGCTTGGCATTATCTACATTGGTAGATAGTGGCTCTCAAGGGTTTCAGATGGGATGTCTTCCAGCTGTATCCGAATATGCCAAGGACTGAACCTGGGACTTTCTGTATTCAAAGCAGATGCTTTAACCACTGAGCTATAACCCTTTCCACAGCTAGTGGAAGTGGAGATACAACAGTGGTTCCAAAATCAACTACTTAATGTAGCCTAGGTTATCCAGAAATGCTATTCACCAGGAGCCTTCTGTAATGCCTATTTACATGTAAGTTAAATTCAGGAAATGTCCTGTATAATATTAATTGAAAGCTTCCTGTTTTCAGGTTCAGCCATCTGCAGATCGCGGTGTATTGAAGTTGCTGAATGGCTGGGCCTAAACATGACAAACATGGATTCAAATCCCCATTGGCTGAGGAACTTAGTGGGTTGCTTGAAGAATGCAGTACTTTGTCTCAGGCCAACCTCACAAGGTTGTTCTTAATGTGCTTGGATGAAAGGTGTGATCAACACTAGATCTAGGGCAGTGTGGGCAGTTCCACTGCACAGGTTGCCAAGTTTGCACAGGTGCAAAAATGATGGTGATGATGATTATACCTATATTTATATGGGTACCTACTCAATTACAGTGGCACCTCGGGTTAAGAACTTAATTCGTTCCGGAGGTCCGTTCTTAACCTGAAACTGTTCTTAACCTGAAGCACCACTTTAGCTAATGGGGCCTCCCGCTGCCACCGCGCGATTTCTGTTCTCATCCTGAAGCAAAGTTCTTAACCCAAGGTACTATTTCTGGGTTAGCGGAGTCTGTAACCTGAAGCATCTGTAACCCGAGGTACCACTGTATTGTGAAAACGATAAATATTTAGGGAGAGGTGCCAGATTTTGTCCTCACTCATGGCACAATATAACCAAAGTCTGCCCCTGGTGTGATGCAAAAAACACCAAATAAATAGATGTAGGTGTTACGTATGCCAGGGGATGCTGTGCTTCCCTGCAATACTTTTTTAACCTTTTGCGCTCCTGCAGTTTGCATGCTGTAGAAATCCAGAGTTAGTTTTTCTATTCCATTCTTCTTATGTAGCAATAAAGGACAGTTATGTGTGAGAGGCCTGCTCCTGCTTCTTCATGATATGCTTTCCTTTTACCCCTACACAACATAGATACGCCACCCTACTCACAAAGTAACTGAAACTATGGGCAAATGCAAAAGAAAACCTCTGATTGAGATAGATGACCTGACAATTTGCATGACTTTTTCTACAGCTGCCCACTTGCATATTGGGAAACTAGGGAGTGACTGAAGATGTGGACGGGAGATTCAGCTGACTAAAAGATTCTTATTTTATTTTATTTTTATTTTTATTTTTTGCATTTATATCCCTTTTAGACACCAAAGTGAAAAGTTATTCCTCTATGGTATGCGTAACCTTCTAGTGTTCTTCACTGCCTCATTTTCATGCTGAGCTTTATTAAATAATTAATCAATGTGAATGATTGAATAGATGTGTCCTAGATTTCTCAGTCACCCATCCTTTTTTTTTTAAACCGCAATTCCTCATTTTCTGTCTTAATGCAGATACTATCAAAGAAATAAATGGACTGCTGTGAACAAAATGAGAAGGAAAGGCTTTTCTTTCTTATTCCCTGATGCAGAGAGAAATAGGGCGATGCAGTGGTGCTGTCACGGCCAGTCTCAGGAGCTGAAGACAAGGAACTGCACGAGCAGAATGAGGAAGAAAAGAATTCCCAGACACAGACGCAAGTGAAATAATGCACATTGCCATCTAAAAATCTCTCTCTCTCTCTCTCTCTCTCTCTCTTTTTCTCTCTCTCTCTCTCTCACACACACAATTAGCTAAGTTTCCTAACGACACCATTGCAGTAACCACTCCAACAGAGCCTTGTGGAACTTTAAAGGAAGGTTAGGGAGATGTTCTCAGCCTAAGACCACACATTTCCTTCTGGGAAACTTTCTGGGGGCACATGCCAGTGGTGGGTGGGGTAGAAGCAGAAGTGGGTGGAGCAACAAATTTTAAAACTCACCTTTGTACAGTAGACTACCTTTGACACACACACACATGCACACACCTCTCTTATCCAGCCAAGGAAAATGCATGATCAGAGTTCCAGGACACATTTCAGCCAAGCAAAAAGGTGGGGTGCAAATCAGGACAAGTGAGGAGTGTGGCTTGGGGAGAGGGTTTGGGGTGACTCCTGAGGGCCAAATGGAGAGCCTTGGATGGCTGCATTTGCCCTCTATCCGCAGGCCTCAAGTTCCCAACCCTTGCTTTAAAGACTGACAAATTTATTATGGCATAAGCGTATGCATGAAGGCTTTCTTCAGTTGTCAATCTGCCCTTCACACATCTAAATAAGGCTTATATGCCGTCATTTGTGGGTTAGTCTTTAAGATGCCACAAGACTCTTCATTTCTGCCATGTTCCCTGCAAGCATAGTCCCCATGCCACCCCAAGAAGGATTACAAATTTTGGGGAGCATGCTCTCAATAGCCCCTTCTACACTATCTCCACCTGAGGGGGTGATTCTGCAATCATCTTCATACACTTGGGGTGACTCTCCTCCTCTTCCACAGTCACGGGGCAGCTACTGACTCTTTTAGGATTGCAGTCAGCTCTCCTAGCAGAATGGAGCTGCTGGAAAGGAACGCCTTCTTCAGCCCTCAGAAGAGGCCCTGGACATCCTTACAATAACCCAGTGCAATATGAGGGTCAAATTTAACCCCACTTTGTGGAGGGGTGGTGGGGGTTTTTGTGGGTGTGTGGGGTTGTGGTCACCAAGCTGAGTTCATGGCAGTTGAGGGTTCTTGGTACACAATATACAGCACTTGTGTTTAATTAGACTTTATATGCATGGGTCGCTAGTGGGGCAGAAGGCAGGGAGTCCAAACAGTAGGTACAGCCAGAACCAAAACAGGTGGAGTCAACTAATTCTAGTTTTGTCCCCTTCCTCGTCCTCCCTGCTGAGTTTTCTAAGGAGCAACATAGAGGCTGAGGAGGAAACAATCAGGAAAGGCGGTGTCGCTAAAAAGAAGCAAGCAAGTGGGGAGTGGCTGAGGACAGGTTGGGGGTGATAGGCAGTGCTCCATTCACTCTAATGGACCAGCCTCCACTGCTGTTATATATGTTTTAGGATTGCAGCCGTGCAATACAATCCTCAGGGCCTGTCCAAAGCATTTTGCCACCTGAGGCAAACCACAAAATGGTGCTTCACTCCCCACAAGGGAAGAAGGGTGAGTGAAGATTGACAGCAGGAACAAAGTGGGGGGGGGGATAAAGGTCTATATCAGGATTCACTGCCCTTGCGGATCCTGCTTCCTGGGGCAGTTGCCTTACCTTGCCTCATAGGTGGGCCTGCCCTGGCAATCATATATATTTCAGTCAGAAGTAACACTTCTACATGGGGCTTGCGCACTATAAGTATGTTTATGAATTCGGTGCTTGGCTCCTACAGCACATTCACTTGGGAGTAAGCACTATTGCACTTAGTACGGAGTGTAGGGAGCTGGCTCATAGCCAGACAGATTGTCTCAAGCCAAGGTTTTCCCCGTCACCTGCTTCCTGATGCTTTTAACTGGCTGAGCCACAGGTTGAACCTGAGAGGCCTTCTGCATGCAAAGCATATACTCTCCCACTGAACTAGGGCTGTTCTGGGGATGGAGTTCAATTCACATTTTAATGCAAATGTACCTAATTCTCACATCCCGAACTAGTAAACACAAACAGAAATTTTTGCAGTGTAGTTATCTGTATGGGAGAAAGTGCATATTGATGAAAATGACATGCAAAAATGTATACAAATATGTGTGTATTAGGAGAAATCCACATGATAATAAATGTACATTTTTGTATTATTAATAAAACCACCACCACCACCACCACCTGCAAGGTGGGGCAGAAATGGAACAGACCATACAAAAAGGTCACTAAAATGGGGGACTGAAATGGCCAAATTTGTCTGTCCAAAGGCTCATCCCAGTAAGAGATAAGAAGTAATGGGACTTTCTTCTGAAGAAACATGTGTAGGGTTGTACTATCAGTCATTAAAGGTACCATCAGTTCACATATACTATTTCCACTTGAAAACCTCTGTCTAGTGTTTAATGTATGGTTGACTTTCTTATTCATTGTCTTGTTCCTAGAACATGATCTCATTTCTTTTACCTAACAGCATAAGCTATACGCTCCATTAATGAAAACCTGATAGTTGGCATGGAGGAAACAGCGAGAAAGAGTTTCTTGCTGTAGTACTAATTGCTCTGTCAGCTAAAGTGCTTGCATTAGTCAGATGGAACAAGGAGTCAGGCCATCTGCCAAATGTTCTTCTTTGCCAATGACTTCTTTTACAAATATGGAAATGAATGATTAATTATAATATGACAATGTGCAGACTTCTTTCCTTCCCCGGACAGGTAGAATATTAATATACTTTGTGGCTTATGATCTTCAACCACACCAAGAATTAATTAACATCGTAGAAAAGTCAGATTTCTCATACAGCTTAATCTAAATTGCTTTTTCAAACAAAGACCCCAGAAAATCAACATAGTAATGGAACATGTTCAGCTTAATATCCCAGAAAGAGAGAATTGTATTTTATAAGAAGGTTTTTGTTCTGCTCTTACTTTATGGAAATGGCAAATGGCAAAATTGTTGCTTTGCTCTTCAGTTAAGTCCCATTGAATTCAACTGGATTTCAACACCTGCTGAACTTTTCCACTGGAATAACTGGGACAATTTTATTTTTTAAGTGCTTAACTGTGGCTAGATTGCAGCCCATTGTGATAATTAATTACAAATTCCTGGTCATTGGTAGATCACTATCACTATTTTCAGTAAATATTTTTAACTTCAGTAGATGGCCAGTTCAGAGTTGATTAGTGTGATATAAACTCAAATATTACAGAAATGTCTTGAGCCTTTTCGCACTTCACCTGGCTGAATGCTACATCTTCCTATGATGGAGAACAGTAGGCCAAGGGGGGCTGTGTGTGTATCAGTTTTGGCTAATACTGGAAGCTGGAGACACAGAGGCTTATCTTGCTCTGTGCTGGACCCAAAGCTGTGGCTTGGGGATCTCCCTGGGAACCCAATGGGGAGACAAGATCTTTGGGGAATGGTCTAATAAGATCTGCTAGAGTGTTAATGCTGTGAGCCCTTCCACCCTATGCTTAGGTTGTATATGGCTTATATTATTAAGTGAAGCCATTTGGTGGCTTTTGAGTATAAGCCACTTAAATTGAATAGAAAAGCTTGCTGAAAAATGATTTCTTTTTTGAGCAAGGGAGGTGGCAATGGAGAGATAATTGAAGCAGTCTGTCTTCCTTACTATTTACAAAGACAAAATTTCCAGGTCTGAAGACAATTGTGTTTCACTGAATTAAACAGGTCTAATTTTGTCAGTGCTGTGGCTGGCTTTGATGTATTAAGTATAATTGAGTTAAAGATTGGACGAATCCACTTAAAGCCTGCTGTCAAATGGTCTGTGACTTGAAACAGTCGGCCTTGTCCTCAGATTGATAGCAAACATTAGTTCTGGTCCCTTTTTCAGGTTGTGTTTCTATACTCATATTCATAATGGAAACAAGACAACTGCTTTATAATCTTTTGGGGTGGGGGGGGGGGGGGAGAGAAGCAAGGCACACTGAAAAGGAAATAGGAGGAAAACAATCTATTTCCATACACAGTTTTGGATGCTTTCTTTTATTTTGAGCCACCCTCAAAGAGTCAAGAATTTGCTCTATTATCAGAATATTTTTCAGAAAGCATCTCTCTCCATCAGCTCTCTTGCAATGGACAAACCCCATCAGGCCTCTTCACCCTCCTCCTCTGTCACCTGAGGGTATAATTCTCCCTCAGTGGGAGAGCTGGGAAACAGGGCTCTTTTCATCAGCTTTGCTGGAGGCCCAGCTCCATCAGGCAACTCCTCCCCTGAAATGGTCACTATAAAGATTGTTTAAGCCTGGGTGTGATTTCCCCCCTCTGCCCTCCTGGCCCCTTGTGTGTTGTGTTTTTGTTTGTTTGTTTAGATAGTAAACCTGCAGGGGAGGGCTGTCTTAGAATCATAGAATTGTAGAGTTGGAAGGGACCCTGAGGATCATCTAATCCAGTGCAGGAATATGCAGCTGTCCCATGTGGGGATTAAACTTGAAACTTTAGAGCACCATGCTCTGACCAACGGAGCTATCCAGTCTTGTCTTAATTGACTGCATGTAAGCCACTCTGGGAGACCTTTTGGCTGAAGAGTGGTGTGCAAAGAGCCAGTGTGGTGGAGTGGTTAAGAGCGGTAGTCTCATAATCTGGTGAACCGAGTTCGCGTCTCCGCTCCTCCACATGCAGCTGCTGGGTGACCTTGGGCTGGTCACACTTCTCTGAAGTCTCTCAGCCCCACCCACCTCACAGAGTGTTTGTTGCGGGGGAGGAAGGGAAAGGAGAATGTTAGCCGCTTTGAGGCTCCTGAGGGTAGTGATAAAGTGGGATATCAAATCCAAACTCTTCTTCTTCTTCAAATGCTCTAAATAAATAATGGTGTGTAATATAAATAATTAGGATGCCTTTATGCCTTTTCTGGTTCACCAGCATCCCTGACCCCATTGTTCTATCTTGGTGGTTTTTAAGCTGGGATGTCACACGCACCTGAGCAGGGGCACTCCCTGCTTAAATGTTTATGAGCAATACTGGGGTGAGCAGGAGGCCTTGCTAGTACCGTCACCTCCCCACTTTCTCTGCCCAAAGGCATTTAACTTGACTCTGGAACATAGGAGGGCACATCCACATCTCAGGAGCTGCTGGCACTTTGAAGTGGCTGCTGCCCCATGTGGTAAGCCACTAAACTGCAGGTGACAGACTTCATCAAGGAAACCTTCTGAATGGACCTTGCCCACCCAGGCTGACCACTGGATCTTTATAGGCAGCAAGAGCAGCCCATCCCATTTAGAGGTAAAATGGGAAGGCACTGCCCCGATTGCACACTGTCCACTGCTTGCCCTGCTCTGCCACCCCAGCTGAAGCCTCACATCAGTTCAAAAAGGATGTTTCTAAAATGTGGGTAACACAAAACAATGGATGTCTTTTGTCAAGGCCATATTTTCTTAGGGGATTTAAGGTTACACTTGATTAGAACCCAGAGGGGAGTCAAAGCCAAGGCCGCCAGAATTTGGTGGGAAGTCTTGTTTGCCTCTAGGACGCCCTTTAATGATGCCTCACATACATGGAGGCTGCTAACACATCACATGGGTTGATGGCATCATTAATTTGCATCACTGCATTGCAATATGTGACAATAGTGGCCCAGAGAGTACAATACGCTGAGCTCTTTCTATATAGTACATTTGAATGGCTATTCAAGACTTCATTTCAGAGCACAGGGGACTCACTTCAGAGGTCACTGGGTTTCAGAATCCAACCTGAAGCCTAGCATAATCTGAACTCAAAGCTGGGAGTCTACCAAAAATATCAGCGTCAACAGTAGATGAAGCCTAAATCTATTAGGGGAAATGGCAGCAAATAAAATACATTCAAGTGTGCTATATCTTTTCCAGGCTTTACAAATTTTTATTTCCAATAAAACAATACACTCTTGGCAAAAGTTAATAGAAGGCTATATATTTGGGGGAGAAGACAACAAATTTTAAAAGTCAAAAGATGAAAAGAGATGGGGGTATCCCCAATATTCATTTAACATCATGAGGCAAACCAATTAAGACAAATTCTGCTATTAGTAAAGAAAGAAGATGTTAAAGTGTGGGGTGTGAGTGATAGTCAAGATGTATTCCTGGTAGTGGCAGCTTTTTTACTTAATAAAAAACCTTAAGGATGTAGAATTGGGTTCAAAGCCTTTCATAAAAACAAGTTACAATTTTGCAGTCTAGATGGAAGCATCCAGTTTCAATTAAGACCTTGCTTACTTCCATTGGCATCATCCACTGTTCTATAATAATAGAACCCAGGTATTTTTTAAAAAATGGTTAATTAAGGGATATTATAGAATTAAGAATTTCTGCAATAATAATGAGTAAGAGTACTCTTGGTTTGAGCTTAGGTGAGTTAGTTCCTTTATAGTAAAATATATTATTAAACAGCAAGTAAAAAGAGAATTTCAACCATTCAAAAACCTGATATTGGCACATAATTTCAATGCCAAAGGATGCATGACCCCAATTTATAAAATGTTAACAAAATGAATTTATAAAATATTAACAAAATGAGGCACAGGTGATCTAACGGAATTATAAAAATGTAGGGGAAATGGTTTAGGTTGTGATACTGATCCCATAAAATGGAAAAGAAAATGCAGCAGGGGGCATATGAAATCAATTTCAGCAAGAATTCACGAAATGACCCTTATGATCAATTTTAGGTTCCACTGGTGATAATCCCCAACCTCTCCCCCAAATGAGTGCATATTTACAATTATGGAGGGAATGTCATTCAGTGGAAGTTTTTCATGAAATACCGCTCCTAGAAATTAATTTAATGCAAGAATTTATACCAATCCTATCTTTAACATTATTGAGGATATGGGATGGGCCAAATCAAAATAGTTTGGAAAAAGAAATGAATTTATATTTTTTTGTTTGCTGCCAGGATGATTATCAAAAAATAAATAAATAGGAATACTTAGAGATTAAATAAGGATTTATGGTATAGTCAAATCAGGCCCATAGCTATTGCTGAAAAATTAACTCAGAAATTAAGGGCAAGCAAAAAGATTCATTTTCAACTATATAGCAAGAATTTATTTTATATACACCGTAAACGATGATAACAATGTTCAAATGCCTTTTTGAAATATGCTACTATCTTGAATTCTTAGAAGCTTTTCAGCTTAAACTGAACTCTGAAAAAAGAACATGAGGACAACATCCCAATATTTATGAACAAAGGAAATCTTTTTTAAAAGGACTTGTTACTACCATCCAAATCAACAATTATTTTTTCCAGGCATTGTGAATGCAACCAACATTGGGGGGGAGGGTTAATTTTGATTTTCATGCAATTGTATTGTTTTCTCCTTAGTTTTATTTTAATGTTATTGCACTACATGTTTCTGATTAAATAAATAAAAAAGGCAAAAATCCCAACCCTAGCAGCATGTGAAACAGGATAGGCAAACAAAAATGGTGTTTTAAAACACTGTCCCTTTAATAGCTATTCTTGAAATCTCTGTAGCAACAGAAAATAACATTTTTCCAATGTTTACAATATTAGTTGGTCCCAAAAAAGGATGCACTCTCACTTGTTCCTAAATCAGACTCTTTCTAGGCTACAAAAGGGCTAATAATAGATCCCATTATATCAGGGGTGGGGAATCGGTGGCCCTCAAGATGTTGTTGGACGCCAGCTGCCAGAAGCCCCAGCAAGCATGCCCAATGGTTAGGGATGATGGGAGTTGTAGTTCAGCAACATCTGGAGGGCCACATACTTCCCCCCCCCCCATTACATCTAAGGACTAGAAATGTGAAAAGCTTCTGAAAGATTCACACTTTAAAAAAATACTGCACAAATGTAAAGCAAACAGACATTTATAATCCTACATTTATGCTGAATAGCCTTTTATATAAATCATTGGACTGTGCATGGGCAGTGTAAGCCCAAGTGTTAATACTCAATCACATAGCCTAGCTATATTGCTTGCTTTGTAGCTGATGTTACCAAGAACAACAAAAGTTATCTCTTCCCTGTGTTAAAATAACTCAGACCCTTGTCCGTGCCAGAGAATTAATTTGGCCATCATGGCATCACCACTCTGAATAAACATCTCGATGCTGACTCAGTCTTGTCTGTTGATAGTTCAGAAGGGGATGCTTTTCTTTTCTTCATTTTGCATCACTCAGGTGGCAGCCACCAGGGCTCTTCATGTGTGTGCCATAATCAAGCACAGTAGAAGACCACAAACCAACAGTGCAGAAGACTAGGTCCAAACCCTGATACAGTGGTACTTCGCAAGACGAATGCCTCGCAAGATGAAAAACGCGCAAGACGAAAGAGTTTTCTGTTTTTTGAGTCGTTCCGCAAGACGAATTTCCCTATGGGCTTGCTTCGCAAGACGAAACGTCTTGCGAGTTCTTGCGAGTTTGTTTCCTTTTTCTTAAAGTCGCTAAGCCGTTAATAGCCGCTATGCCGCTAAGCCGCTAATAGCCGTGCTTCGCAAGACGAAAAAAACGCAAGACGAAGAGACTCGTGGAACAGATTAATTTCGTCTTGCAAGGCGCCACTGTATCTGCAGTTAAAAGATGGGTATGGAACCTTCTCACCCATAAGGCTGTACTCCCTTCCGGGCAACTTTCCTGGGACTGCATGCCAGACAAAACGGGCAGAATAATAGAGCCTCTTACATTTGTACAGTAAGCTACATTTCTTCATCTACCAACTAGGCAAGCAAGAGGCATTCTCATGGATCAGGGGCAGGTTCCAGTCAGGCAAAAGCACTTGAGGAGTGCACAGATCAAGACTGGTGAGGGTTCAGCCTGGGGTGAAGAGTCCTGCAGGCTAGACAGAGGGGGCCATGTTTGGTCTGCAGATGGGAGATTCTTCACCTCCTAAATTAAAAGGGAACAGGGGAAAGGCCTTTCTCTGTTGGGGACCCTGCTTGTCGCAGGCTGTCAGTCACAATTCTGGGCTAAGGAAGCAAATAGTTAACCTGAAAATAAAAGCCTGGCGGCTAGTTCATCTAAGGTCCATCTAAGGCCAGCACTCTGTTCTCACAGTCGCCAACCAGATGCCCAGCAGGAGCCCACAAGGAGAACATGAGCACAACAGCACTCTCCCCACTTGCAGTTCCCAGCAACAGGTATTCACAGGCATACTGCCTCCAGTAGTGGAGGGGGACCATAGCCACCCGGCGAAAAGCAACTTCCTATGTCTCTGCAGGAGCACAAAAAGTCTTGCAGAAGTTTCAGCTTCTTTTCAGCAACTGCCTACTTCCTTAACATTGCAAACACAAAAATGTTTTTCTTTGTGTGGGTGATACTTGCTAAAGCACTGGATGCCAAAATAGTGGTCAAATAGTATTTCCCTAAGCCGGAAGGCAAGCCTGTGTACAGGCTCCTTGGCCCTCCCCATGATTAGCAAAAATGGGGTGCATTGTCTAAATAGTAAAAATTGCAAATAATAGCACAGTCGAATGCAAGTTTGCATGAACAGATAAGATAATTGATCAGTGTTTCCGGGTAGTGCAGAATACTGATTCCCTTAACACATACCCTTGATTATAACTGGAAGGGAAATGGGTGAGTAAAGACACACTTCCCATAAAATCAGACATACACAGTTTTGCCCACTTAAAGACTCTTCAGCTCTGGAAACTAGCATAAAGGCTTGATACAAAATTAGTGGAGGAATGGAATGAAACTTGGAATGGAAAACGAAGATGTTTTAGCAAGCTGAGTAGAAAATCATTCAGTTTGTTTTTCTAAAACATTAAGCATGTTATCACTGATCCGATAAAAGCCTTTGTTTTCTCTGTACCAGGTGTTCTTCAGCCTGAGGGTGGTACAGGTTCTACTTGTGCGTAGGAGTCCAAATGGTGGGATGACAAACATGTCACAAACTGTAGCACCATTGCCTCTTAATAACTTCCTATAAAGCAGAAAATCAAAAGATGAAAATAGGGTCCAAAATGAAACAGTTGTGCTTAACATCATGATAAATAGAAACAAAAGCTAAAGTCAGGCTTGTAATTTTGCACTCAGATGGACGCTGGTCACATTTATGGTTCTACTGAAAAATGGGGCATGGTTGGGGTCTGGTTGGGTCACAAACTTCCTTGGCAGGCTTTCATTCGTCTTGCTTCCTCTTGGGCTTCTTTGGATTCCGAGAGCGGCTTTTGGCTTTGCAGAGAGGGCAGATTGGTGCATTCCGATGGATCTGCTGATGGCATGACAAGCAAGCCTGAAATACAATAAAACCATCCCATTAGGAAAGTGGTTTTTCCCTGGAAAGCCAAGGTGAGCAGCTTCTTCACCTTGATGGTTCCAGACACAGCCTGGCCAAATTTCCTCAGAAGTCAACAAACACATACCAGGTGGGAGAAACTCTCTCATAATACCAGAACTCAAGAGCCACCTGATAAAAACAACTGGCAGCAGGAGGTTACAGGACAGCTGAAAGAAAGACTTCCGCATCACACAAAGCACAATCACTTGCAAGAAACATCCCTAAAGTTTATTCTAAGATGGCCCAGGACCATGTCTAAGCTTGCAAAAATAAACAAAGCTGGAGAGAGTGTGGTAACATGGGCTCATATTTCCATATATGGTTGGGGCATGAGGTAGCACAAACATTCTGGCATAAGGTACAGTGGTACCTCGGGTTAAGAACTTAATTCGTTCTGGAGGTCTGTTCTTAACCTGAAACTGTTCTTAACCTGAAGCACCACTTTAGCTAATGGGGCCTCCTGCTGCTGCTGCACCGCCGGAGCACGATTTCTGTTCTCATCCTGAAGCATAGTTCTTAACCCGAGGTAATATTTCTGGGTTAGCGGAGTCTGTAACCTGAAGCGTATGTAACCTGAAGTGTATGTAACCTGAGGTACATGTAGCCAACCTGTAGAGCCAGACCCAACACTTGTGCTGCGTTCTCTTAACATTAATATTAGAAATCTCTTCAGCATGAGGAATTAGTATGTCTTTTATTAACTGCAGCCCAGCTTGAAATTGTGCAACGTTGGTCATGGAAAGAGGGGATCCCTTCTTACAACTGGATCAATAATGTATGGGAAGTGCTTTTCTTAGACCATCTCATGAGACATAGAAGAGCAGTGAAAGGGGTTACAAAAACGGATAATTCTGGTGAACTGAAATTTTCTTTTTCTTTTTCTTTTTTGCATTTGTGAATAAAGGGGAAAGTTTCCCTTCTCACATCTCAAGAGGGCCTGTGGGGAGGAAATGCTGACTAATAACCTAGAGTTTTATACTTAGAATTTATTCTGCGAACTGACGCATGATCCATGATTTATTTGAATGAACTGTATATTTGTGCTCCAAAATTTCTGGAGGGTGAAGGGTGCCACAATGTGTTGTTTTGCTGCTGGATTGCCTGACCACCAGTGACCCAAAAGGTGTGTCCTTACCTTCATGGGTGGGGGTTGCTGTCTGAATGTTGCTGTCTGTCTGGTGTCCTGTTTCCTGGCCACCTGTAGCTGTTGAGCAGCAGCTGCAGCCGCAGCCAAAGATTCTGGGATAGGAGGTTCCTGTGGTTCTGTTTGCCATTCAGCTTTCTGCTTTTCGAAGTAGCTAAATAAAGAAGAAAAACTAATACAGGCTATGCAGAATTGCTGCCACTCTGATTCTTTCAGGGAGCTTACATTAGCCTTCACTGACCTGGTGCACTCCAGATGTTTTTGACCACAATTCCCATCAGCCCCAGCTAGCACAGCTGAGGGGAGCTGTAGTCAGAAACATCTGGAGGGCACAAGGCTGGGGCAGACCTTGGCTTTGATCCAGTAGTGCTTTCCTTGTGTGATTATGCTGCCACTCACTGACAGACACGGGGAAACAAGACAAGCCTCATCTGCGATACACATTTAAAGCAGTTTTATAACAGTTTAAATAGGCACAGCTTCCCCCAAAGAATCCTGGGAACTGTAGTTTGTTAAGAACACTGAGAGTTGTTAAGAGACACACACATACACACTTCCTCTCCCAGAGATGCAATTCCTAGAGTGGTTTGACATTCAATCACTCTTCCCAGGGAACTCTGGGAGTTACAGCACTGGGGGGAGGATAGAGAGTCTAAAAAGTCTCAGTCCCCTTAACAAACTACAGCTCCCAGGATTCTTTGGGGGAAGCCATGACATTTTAAAGTTGTATGATACTGCTTTAAATGTATAGGGCAGTTGAGGCCAAAGATGACTCTTCCAAAATATTATGGGGAATATTCAACATCTGGGAGTAGTCAACTCAGAGCTGCCATTTTGAACACCTGCCATGTGTCAGGTGTCATGTTCCATCCTGAGTACCTGTTCCTAAAGTTTTTGAACTACTATCTTCAAAATATATCATGTGAAGTATAAAGTGTACGGTTCAGGTATTGAATAGACTGCTTCTCCTTTCATCCCTACAGGTGCTTCCCTATATCTTTGATATCAGTAGGAAGACTCTTGATGTTAGAATGCTGGATGGAAATCTCTCTATCAAAGTGAGGTGTCAGCTAACAAAGAACAGTGTATCCCATTTGTGGTAGATTTCCATCCAGCATCTCCTAACTAACACCTGGCAATCAGAGAAAGCTACTGATAGTTGGCAAACTCTAAACTGCTTGCGATCAGCAAGCTTCCCAATCTATGCAAAGTATTAGTGAGACTTAGTGTACTTAAGCCATCTATCTGCAATCCTGGATCTCCTCCTTGTCATTCCATCACCTGTGTGTGTCTGCTTCAGACAGCTACTTTCAAAAGCAGCAGGATGGCTAGAACATATTGCATCAAACAGGACATCACCTGCAGGTACTGGGTAATTCAATCCATAGCATTGAATGCAGAACTGCAATATGTCATGTCCAATACATAGGTAAAACTACAACCAACCTACACGGACATTTTAGAAACCACAAATAAGCAATTTTTACACACACATGTGGAGCAACCTGTCACTCAGGGTGGTCCAACTTTCCATACCAAATGGGCCGCAAGAGTACTTAGGGGAAGTAAAGCCCTCTCGCTGCCTTCCCAAACCTGGCTAAGTGAGGTGCTGAGTTTTGGGAAGAATGCTCAAGGCTCTGGCAGGGTTTTCAATCCCTCCCACCTCCTTGCCAAGGCTAGGGAAGTGCTAACTGGGCTTTGGGAAGGCGGTGTGAGGGCTGCAAGGGGGTGGGTGTCAAATGTTGCCAAAGGCCACGAAAAGGCCCCAAGGGCTGCATATTGGACCACCTTGCTGTTACTAAACACTTCAGTTCTGAGAAGCACAACCAGGCAGACTTCTCAATAATTGCTTGTCAGCAGATACAATAGCGTTGCAAAAAGGGAGAACTTCTGCATGCACATGCTGGACACATGAACACAGCATGACCTCAGCCATCACTAGGCTTCAGCGAAGGAGGGTCTTCTGAGCATTCCATTCTCAAAGCTCTATAATTGCTGGCTTGGGAATAGTATCATTTTTGTCAGGGCAATTGATGAATGCACAAGCCAAAATGTTTTACTATAATTTACAATTTCTGTTTTTAAGCCTTAGAGAACAATAAACAAAATCTCCAAAAGCATGATCCTCAAGTAAAGAGAGATCCAAAGGGCCTTCAGAGTACTGGACATAGTCCATCACGGCACCCTGCATACACATCCCCTCTTCATTGTGCTTGAGAAGCTGTTTGCCTCTCAGGACCTGAAAGCAGGTACCTAAGCTTTTAACAAGTAATGTGTCAGCTTACTCAAGGGAGAGCTTCTCTTCCTCCTCACACAAATCTGGCAGCCTCTGCAAGCCCAGAGTCATCCTCAAGGCATCCACATGCTCCTTCAGAGGCTTGTACTCCTCATGCAAACGGCGGGTAGACTCCAAGAGCTTATTGAGGTCGTTCTCCGACTGCTTGATTGTGTTCTCCATCTGGAGAAGGAACAAGGCAGCATTCATTAGGTTTGTCCAGCCCCGCCTGAAATGCAGCTGCAACAAAAGCACCAGGAGGCCCACACAATGTTGAGGTTTTTACATTCAGGTGAATATTTAAAAGAGACCAATGAAACTGTGATAAAGAGAGTCATCTGGGATACGGAAAGTCCATGCTGGATTCTGCAGGAGGCCAGAAACAGCACAGGTTGTGGGAACAGAAGCTGAAGTCAATGCCCTGAGAACCTCAGTTTTAAAAATCAAGTTTCTAGGTCTTATGGTTGTGAAGAAATGTTCGTGGACTGCTGCAGTATCAGGAACCAGAGAGGTGGCTGTATAAGATTCCCTGTACAAATTCATTTCCTGTTTATTCCTGTTTCCCCTTCTTCTGCCACTTTCCCAGTGCTGAATTTCCCAGTGCTGAGCTATCCTCTCACAGTGAGTACATAAAATACATTGATGGTGCCATAAAATATTAACAATAATATTCGTATTGGGCAGGATTCTAGACCTTTCTCTCTCACTCTTTGTCCCTCTCTCTGCTTCGCCCCCCCCGCCCTCCCCCCCACATCAAGCATTGTAGCAAGATCATAAATAATGAACATAACATCTTCTTTTCTACCACCTTTTAGCACAGTGACAGAAAGTTCAATAGTTGAATGTTTTGTTCACATAAAAGTTGCTCTGAGTTCCCTTCTGCCTAGCCTGTCAGGGGGGAAAGTGAAATAACAAATCTTGGACAGACAACATTTTTTGCAACCAGGTCTGGGAAGCAAATCAATTCAGCACACATTTCTGAGGAGTAGCATCTAAGAGGGAAAGCACAACATTAGTAGTAGATAAGCCTTCACACTATGCCAGGTTACTCAGGAGTACACCCAACAAATGCAAGAGTCATGCTTACTCCCAGGTAAGTATGCATAAGACTGCAACTCGAATGATCATGAAAACTCATTACCACCATGCGTGGCTGTCACTTACAACATTGATGTCAGCATGGATGAGTCTCAGTTCCTCCACATGAGCCATTTTCTCCTGCAGCAGGAGGTCCATCTCCTGTTTGTATTCCTTGAGGTGCCTTTCCTCAGATTCCAGAGCCTCGAATTCAGCCTTCAAGCGGGCCTTGATCTTCTCCATTTGCAAAGTCTTGTTTCTGGGGAAGGGGGGAGGGGATACACACAGGCACAAATGCACAGAAAATATCAAAGTAAAGCTGAGGTGGCATTTCCTGTTTGCCAAAAGGCATTTAAATCATTCCAGCCACAGTCATAAATGTCAGGTGATGAGGCTGAGCTCCAAAGAAAGTGGGGTTTGGCAGCAGGAACATAGAATGGCCATGTTTTGAAGCTTTGGCTATGTTCAAATCTGGGCATCATAAGCCGAGAGATGCACAACCGTCACACATGCAGCCCCTTTGCTCCTGCGTCATACCTTGCTTCATACAAAACAACCCCCAAATCTACAGTCAACCATAGCTTCCTGTTACACCCAACTGGGAAACATTGGTCAACCGTTTCTAATCAAGTCTGGATATGAAGGGTTAAAGTTGGCTTTAAAATCTTGACTTGTTCCGAAGCCATAGTTTCCTGGTTCTAACACTACAGGTTATGGTTAGCTGCCACTTCCTAGCTTTTCCACTCGCTCATTTTTAAATAATAAAATTTAAAGGGCAGAGGCCACATATGTGCCATTTTTGGATTCAAATGCAATTTGGCAATTTTTGACCAGTCAGCTGACTGGCATGTCAAATGTACAATCAACATATCTAACTGGCACATGGTTCATTTCTTGCTTAACAGATTACCTAATGCAAGGTATTTGGGCACAACTCAGTGACTTAGCAGGGAAGAAAAAGCACTGGTGCTTCCAGTATCAGAGGCAGTACCAGTTTTAGGGGAACATGAATGGGAGAGTGCTATTGTGCTGATATCCTTATGAGCTTCCTATAGGCATCTTGTTGGCCACTGTGGGAAAAGAATGCTGGACTAGCTGGGCCTTTGGAATAACAGGGCTTTACTTATGAGCATAAAGGGACGCGAGTGGCGCTGTGGGTTAAACCACAGAGCCTAGGACTTGCCGATCAAAAGGTCGGCGGTTCGAATCCCCGCGACAGGGTGAGCTCCCGTTCCAGCTCCTGCCAACCTAGCAGTTCGAAAGCACATCAAAGTGCAAGTAGATAAATAGGTACCACCCCGGTGGGAAGATAAACAGCGTTTCCGTGCGCTGCTCTGGTTCGCCAGAAGTGGCTTAGTCATGCTGGCCACATGGCCCGGAAGCTGTATGCGGACAAACGCCGGCTCCCTTGGCCTATAGAGCGAGATGAGCGCCGCAACCCCAGAGTCGGTCACTACTAGACCTAATGGTCAGGGGTCCCTTTACCTTACTTATGAGCATAGGAAGTTGCCTATACCGAGTTGGGACCATCTAGCTCTGAGCTGTCTGCACTGACTGGCAGTGGCTCTCCACTTTTATAAACAGGAATCTTCACTAGCCCTGCCTGGAAATGCCAGGGATTGAACCTGGGACTTTCTGTATGTAAAGCAGGTGCTTCACCACTTAGCTCTAGCCCTACCCTGTTGGATCTCAGTCCCCAGCACCACCACATCTAAGGCAGCCAACTCTTCTTTGTAGCCTCTGTCTGGTGAAACCTGCTCCATACACCTTAACTTCTACATTGCCATTTTCTGCACTGCTTCTGTTGCCCCTCTCTTTCCCATTACAGCACATCATTAGCACCAAGGCTTCAACAACAGGGGAAAATGGAGTCGTATCATATCTTTTGCCACCTAGCTCTGCATGGGCCTCCTCAGCTGCAGTGGAAATGATCAGAGAGACGCTGTCCCTCATTACAGCCTCACCTGCAGCCTACAATGCCATAACGGCTCTGCCACCAGCTCTGTCGCCCCCTTCTCTCAAGCCTCATGCACTCACACTTCCAAGAACACATTGAACAAAAGAGCACACTTTTGCACACACTTTTCCTGGTCTCCTCAGCACATTTTGCCGCAGCTCAGAACAAATGGGAGGATGAAGACTTGCAGCAATGCCATCTTTTTGTTCAGAATGGAACACGTAGCACAGCGGCAGAAGGAGAGAAAACCCTGAGCTAGGTGGCAAAATAACTGGTTTCTCTTCAGAAGTCCCAAGTTCAATCTATTGCATCATCTCCACCAACACCTTCACACAGGAGGGCAGGAGTCTACATGAGACATTGGGGGGGGGGGGAATTCCTGCCATTCAGAGTAGACCATATTTCCTTAAGTAGGTTACATGTCTGACTCAGTATAAGCTAGCCCTATATATTCAGAGGGTTCGTCTCTTTGGGGGAAATAGTGTTCTTTACAATGATAGAAGAAATGAAAAAAGAGAGAAAAGTTTAGGCTACCTCTAGCACAACTAGGATGTCAGAGGAGGAATTAAGGTAGAACAGAGCATCATAACTAAGAGAGAAGGAAACCTGGGAAGGGGGGAGCTTTCAGTCAAGTCACTGTTGTTAGAAATTGAATAAAATAATAACAAGTTGCCATTAATTTATCAGTTTTGATTTTCCCCTATGCCCTTCTCTGTTCCTGGGTCAACTTTTCATTCAAGGCTACTTGTCATGCCCTGTGTTATCCCTACAAGTAAATCTGTAACCAGTGGGTTATAAAAACCCACCCTTAAATAAGGAGAGGAGAGCGTTGGACATTAGAAGCCAGAATAGTCTTCAAAATAATAATAATAATGAAAAAGCTATAGAACGATCAGTATCTCCTCCTTCATCCATCAATCTAATACACACACTCCTCTTGCAAATCATGCCTCAAAACTCACTCCTATGGTGTTTCACTTTTATTTTGGGCATTCATGTGCTGGGTGTATAACTAGATTCTCTGGGTATTTTGCATTAGAAACCCAAAGCACAATTCAAATTTGACACAATGAAAACACTGAAGTTAATTATAGAACAATAAAATCCATCTGAAATCATAAACACAACAGCATTTTTTTTAATCCAGCATGAGGGAGGCGTGGTGTCAGAATCTAACCCACCAGACAAATGTGCCTACTGTAAATAAAAGGTACAGAGTGCCTCCAGACTGTCAATTTTTGTGTGTGAGGGATTTATGCAGTTAAATTGGATTAAAGAGATCTGCCACCGTAGCACAACAAAGAAATGGTCTTTCTGCAGGTTGAAAAATGATGGGAAAATGCACTGGAAAGAGTGAAGTGAATAGGAGAAAATCTTATATGTACACAACAAGGAAATCAGGATGAAATCTCAATAAACAAGACCTCTGGAATCACAGAAATGGCCTCACATGGCACCTTAAAAGGCAAGTGTCTGGGGAGCGCTTTCTGTTAAAGAGGGTGCTACCATCGAAAAGGTCCTCTCCCCAGTCACCACCTGCCTCACTTTGTTAGAGGCTGAGGACAGGAGACCCTGGAAAAGGCCCTCTGTAGAACAGACTTTGGATTTTTCATGGTCTGATGATTAGATACAAATAAACTAATTGGATCTCTGTAGAACAGAGGCAGCTATCCAGAAGTTGTAGACTACAACATAATCAGCACTGGCCAGTACAGCTAATATTTATGAATTATGGCAGTTGTAGTCCAAAACTGGGAGGGCCCCACGTTGGCTACCCCTGTATAGAAGATCTCAAGATCCAAGCATGTATGCATTGGAGAAAGCAATCCTTCAAGGAGCCTGGCCCAAACTGCTCAGGATTTTATAGGTTAATACAACAGAGCTCGAGCATAAGCGCTAGAGCATCTTCCTTGCATACAGAAAGCCAGGAGTTCAACCCCTGGCATCTCCAGGTAAGGCTTGGAGAGACCCCCTCCCTGAAACCCTGGGGACTTGCTGCCAATCAGTGTTGGCAACTGTGTTGGCATTCTGGTCTGATACAGTATGAGGCAGGTTCCTATGGTCCATTTCAAAATGTGACTCTGCCTTCACAAAAAGACTTAGACAAGGTAAATGAAACAATAAGAAGAGCATGATGTTCATATTATATAAAACACCACATTAAAAGTGAACGAGGAATGGTGCTTTGCAAACTACATATGTCCCAGTAACATGCACTACTGTCCACTTTATAAAAATGTAAAAGGTTCCATTGCATGGAAGGGTGGGCATTCCCAGCTCATTGTGTGTGTTTTTGTGTGTGTGTGTTGGAGGGAGGCTTTAGAAAATTGCAGCAGCTGTGCTCAGTCCATTATTTCTTTCTTTTGTGTGTCTCCAATGTGCAATCTACTCCCTTAATAAGCAGGGGAGTTGATCCCCCTGCATAAAAGAGAAAGGAAAGAAAACTGACTATGCTTTGCATCCCTATATTTACCAAGGCCCTTCTCTTTTATCACAGGAGAAGGGAAACACAGTGTGCGTCTAGAATGACACTATTTTCTGGTGAGATTCAGTCACATACAGGCAAATTGCATGGGTTGTGAAATTAAAGTTGATTTGGAACTCCTGCACAACAAAACCGCTTCCTCCCCCAAATCAAACTTTTTTGCACTGGAATGTGTGGGACAGGCACAATGTCAAATAACCTCTCTGTAAACAAATCAGAATAAATGCTCAATAAATATCTGGTGTCTAAACCTCCTTGCAAACTTGTGCAAACAAATCAGGATGAATGTTCAACAAACAGGTCATCTGGAAGGTTATCTGTGTTAGGTAGATAAAAACTTGTAATGAAGATTTCCCAAATACAAATTCTGCCTCATCCTCTCTTGGCAAGGATATACCCAAATTCACCTGTCTTCTACCTTGACTATTTCCAAAAGTGTTTCAGCTTAGGAGGAATAACATCTTCAACTTAGAAATCTATCTTGCAACTTTGTTCATCGTCAGAGCTCCTCATCCATCAAAACTGCTTTATGTTGCTAAAAAAAATTACTGTTTCCAATCCCAGTTACAAGGGAGCAAGCTTTATTGAGCCCAGTGGGACTTCTTCCTGAGTAAGCATGCACAGCATCAGGCTTATTAATTTGTTTCCTGAGGCATCCTTCCATAAAGAATGTAGCAAGGCAGACTTTAACACAGAACAGCTTTTGACAACCAGGTGCCCTCCAGATGTTATTGGACTACAACTCTCGCTATGCTGGCTGAGGCTGGTGGGAGTTATAGTTTAACATCTAGAGGGGACTAGGTTGGTAGAGGCTGATACAAAGCAATTAAAATGATAATAATGGACGATTTTCTGCAAATGTATGGTCCATAATTCCGCTGTGCATATTTTATGCGTATTCATCATAAGTCAGTCTGGGGCCGCTTCCCCCTCCCCCCGTCTGTTGCTCTCAAAAGAAGCTCCATTTAAAATTCAATGGACCTTTTGTGTGACATTTATAGTAGCTACTTTTACACTAGCATAAATTAGCCACTCTTTCACAGTGGAAAAGGAAAACGGGCGCGAGGAGAAATTAAGCTGCAATCCGACGCACGCTTTTTCCTGGAAGTAAACCACGACAGACACAGAAGGGCTGCATTCGGAGTAAACATGCGTGGAATCGGGCTGTATATCACCATCCTTTCTAAAAACGGCACACAAACAACGAAAGCCTTACCTGATCTCTTTGATGCTTTCAAGTTTGCACATGATTTCCTGTTCATCAGCCATGCTTTCTCATTCGCGATTTTAACCTCCCGTGGAAATGAACAAAATAATAGCAGGCAAAGAGGAGGGAGAAAGGAAAATCCAATACAATAGACACAATGTAGCCGCCCCGACCGTGCTTCTGAGCGCAAAGACTGCGGTAGGGGAGAGCGAGACCTCTCGGGACTTCGAGTTCAGATTGTAATAGCGGTCCAGGCTCACTTAGGCGGCCAAGACTACAAGGCCCACAATGCAAAGCGCGGAGCTACTGCTCTCTTTCTTCCGGCAACCTCTCTTTGCATTTGTCACAGCTAATTATGTCCAGTGGTCATTAGGAGTGCAAATGAGTGAGATGCGTTTTCCTAGAGTGTTTTTTTTAGTGGAGATTGGAGAATGGAGATTATGGATTTTTCCATAATAATGCTTCATCAAATGAATTAAAAACTACAACCTCTATTTGACAAAATTTGGATAAAATGCTGTATAAAAATTACATAGTTACTTTGTGCTATATATAGTCAATAGACGGTAGAATAGAGTAATGTATACTGTACGAAAGGAGAGCAAATTGCACAAAGCTATGTGTGTATGTCTGTGTGTGAGAGAGAGTATTGTTTTGTGTGAGCTTTGTGCAACATAGACAGCCCCCCTTTGTGAAATACAGTCATACCTCGGGTTAAATATGCTTCAGGTTGAGCATTTTCAGGTTACCCTCTGCGGTGACCCAGAAGTAACGGAACGCATTACTTCTGGGTTTCGCCACTCGCGCTCAAAATGACGTCACGCGCATGCGCAGAAGCTGCGAATCGTAACCCGCGCAGACGTGCAGTTGCGGGCTGCATTCCACTCAGGATGTGAACAGGGCTGCAGAACGGATCCCATTCGCATCTAGAGGTACCACTGTATAAACTAATGATTCCAATCACTTTGAAGAATATCTGTACGTTTTGTTCCGTAACTTTCATTCTCAAAGAGTTACAGACTTACTTTTTAAAATGAAAGCTGTAGGTTTGGGGGCTGCTGCTCACTGTGGGCTCTGTACATTCATACCCCCATTCTCACCTCTTGGCAGCCCTGCTCAAAACGCCCTTTCCTTGTCCTTACTGAACCAAAGCGATGGGTGTTTTGCTCCCTTCCCCCACTCTCTCTCTTCAGCCCCTGCCTCCTTTTTGGAAAGAAAAAAAGAGGGGCTCCTGCCTCCTTTACAATTTGTGGTTCTTGCCTCCACCAACTATTGGTTCACACAAAGCATTCGCTTTTAGTTGTTCCTTTTTATGATAAAATGCACCACGTATTAATGTAGTGCAGCAGACTATTCCACTCCAAGACAGAGGGAATTAAGGTAAAAGCCCATTACCCTAGTGGTCTAGAGGCCTGTAACTGTAGCTGTGAACAGAAAGAGATAGAACGATTAAAATTTTTGCATCAGGACTTCCAATAAGGCAACACTGTCACCTTTTATTCATCTCACAATATCATGTCACATTCTTTTAAAAAGCTAGCTGCACATACATATGTGGGAGAAATATTGATTCAATGACCCTACCTAATTGGTAGTCTCTGAAACAATATGCAAAGTGAAAAACAGAAACCCCTTGAAATTCACCCTGTTCTGAATTTTGCATTGCAATTCTGCAGCCAAATAATGTATTCAATAAGGCATTTACTGGAGTTAAGTGTGCATTAAAAATACTTATATTAGTGAACATAACACACAATAGCCTTGCTGTCTGGGGCTGATGGGAATTGTAGCCCAAAACATTTAGAGGACACTAGGTCAGGTCCATAGGAAGCTACCTTGATGGTAAGAGCTGTTTGACAGTGGAACAGACTTCCACAAGAGGTGGTGTACTCTTCTCCCTTGGAAGTTTTTAAGCAGAGGTTGGATGACCATCTGTCATGGACGCTTTAGCTGAGATTCCTGTGTTGCAGTGGATCCCTTCCAGCTCTACACTTCTATGATTCTGTTATTTTACAACAACAACAACAGCAGCAGCAGCAGCAGCAGGAGCAGGAGCAACAACAACAACCAGATCTATTGTGAGATTAAATATTCTACTGCATTTTCTGAGGAAACTGTTATGGTCCCCATAATTCATTCTGGAGGTCCGTTCTTAACCTGTAACTGTTCTTAACCTGAGGTACCACTTTAGCTAATGGGGCCTCCCACTGCCGCCATGCCGCCATCGTGCAATTTCTGTTCTCATCCTGAAGCAAAGTTATTAACCTGAGGTACTATTTCTGGGTTAGTGGAGTCTGTAACCTGAAGCGTCTGTAACCTGAAGCGTCCGTAACCTGAGGTACCACTGTAATATAATCCTTGGTTTCAGGAGAACACTTAAAAAACCCAGATCAGCTTAGGGCTATATGTTTGGAGGATTCAGGATCCTTTGATGTGTGATTTAATTAGAGAAATTAAATGTGATTGCTTTGAGGGGGTTGAGGGACATTAGCTGCAGTGGGCCAGTGAGTCTCCTCTGGTTGCTAAGACACTGAGGGAACGAGAGCTGGCAGGTTGAGGAGATGAGGAGGGAGAGGAAATTAAGATTCCACAGAGAATGCACAAAACATGAGCAATGGCAAGGGGCTTATCCACCTTCAACAACAACATCAACAAAACTCATTTTTTTCTTTGTTATTTTTATTTTAGCCCAAGGTAACATTTTCAAGCTGGATTTATTTCTTCATGGGTTTATTCAGTTCCCCATCACATCAATGAATGCAATATGAGTCAGACTGCAATCCATAGCCCACTTAAACCATCAACACCCCCTGACCACTGGTCCTGCTAGCTAGGGATAATGGGTATTGTAGTCCAAAAGCAGCTGGAGATCCAAGTTTGGGAAATATCAATATAGAAACTACTGAGTTAGATGGCAAGTTAAAAATGGTTTACTTACAAACCCTTCAAAGGTCAGATTCACGTGCTTTTCCATACAGCAATTAGAAAACACAGGCAGGAAAATTTATGTTCCAGTGTGGTGAGTGCTTCTAAATTATTTGTTTAGAATCACAAAGATGGCTTGTTTAAGCCACACATTCTGAACTTGGAGCAACTAGCTCAGAACTCCTTACTGGTATGATTTACATGGAAGAGAACAAAGGCTTGCTAACCCTCCCTCTCAAGGTAAGGTGGAGTGACCTAGCTAAGCCTGGCAGGACAGCTTACTGTATGGTCTTAACCCAATGATTCTCAAACTTCTTTCTCTGGGCCACATGTTCAGAATAAAAATTTCCTTGCGCCACACTGAATGTTTTTATTGATTAGAAATACAACAGAAAACAAAAAGAATAAACTCCTAGCAGTGCTTGATTTTGAAAAGATCTCTATCCATCTTCCTGGGGGGGGGGGGGTTCAGCCAGAACTCACCGGGGCTCAGTTCCGGCACCTCTCAGGTGGGTGCGATTGCCATTCTAAGAGAATGAGAGGTGTTCATGGTGAGTTCCAGCACCAGTTTTTCTTAAAAAAAAAAAAAAAGGACTGCATTCTGCAATATAAATAAATAAATAAATACTACTTTGATACCATACTATACTACACTGAAATGTTTAAATGTCCTTGAATCTTTCTGCTAAACTTGCCATCCTCTCCTGCCAAACTACTGTGGTACAGCACACCCTTTGAGAACCACTGCCTTAAGCCTTTCATGCATTAATTAGACTTAAGCATTTTGGTTATATGAGGCTGATTATCCCATACGGGGGTGGGTGGAAGTTGTAATCCAGTAAGGTCTGGAGGGCCACTGGTTTGCTATCCACATTGTAGATAACTTCAATGAGTTGTGATAGCTAGATACATTAAAAAAAAAAAAAATCAGCATTGCTGGTGGCTATTGACCTAGGCACATCCCACATGTTTGTAGAAGCCTTTTAAAGCAGCAGTGTGGCTCATGAAGATGAGATTTGCAAGTGGCTAAGAGGGAACACAGAAAGAAACTCCCAATGGATGCTATTTGCTTTGGGTGGGTGGTGTGGGAACTGATGATGCTTTGCAGACTAACAGCATCAGGATGTTTGCCATCCTGCTCATGCTCAGTAGATATATTTGTGAATACAGCAAACCGTGTACATGCAGAATGATGGGCTTGTCAGTGATCTCTCTCTCTCTCAAATAACATTTAAGAAAACAATTAATAAATATGAAGTCATTGAGACATACTTTCCATAAAGGTTAAAGGAGAATCATGAAATAGCTGACTCACTTTAATTTTAAAGGGCAAATCAATACGGGATAAGAGAGAAATAAAATGAGTCACTATAAAATTCATTTAATAAACTGGGGGGAGGGCGGCTAGCAGAGTTTGGATCATATCAATAAGTCCAGCTGGCTTTCTGGCAGTGATGCCTTGTGCCTCAATTTTCTTATTTATTTATTTGTACATCTGTTTCATCTGATTTCAGTAGAACCCTTGCTTCATTATGTAAACTGCTTTGGGATCTATGATTGAGCAGTAAGACAACACAAAAATGAAACTACTTATGTATATATATGGGGTGTATAGGGGACGTGTAGCACCTCTGTTGGGGGACAGGTCATGCTCCTTTGGGGGTAGTTTGTCCACCTTTGGTCTCCACCCTGCTCTCAGCTCTCATCCTAGAAGCTGTCACCATGCGACCGCGGTCACACCCTGGGAATGGCTTCGACTGACCAGCTAACCAGGTAAGGGTAACAGATGAGTCTCAAACCCTTGGTGAGGTTCTGGCAGCTTGAGTGAATGAAACCAATAATGGGTCCAACAGTTTCTGACTGTGCTATAGAGGGAAATGAGCAAATGGGGCTCATCAACCTGGGAAGTTAGCTCATCCAGGAGAAGGAAAACTCTGATCCTAAACCTCTGTTGAGAAAGGCTTCAGAAATAAATCCTGAGGAAAAATCTGTACTTGCTGTCTTGCAGGACATCTTCAGGAGAAGAAAAGGCTAAGCAGTAAACTCTACACAAATCCAGAGTGGAGTTGGATGGGTGACTTATACACCTCTGTCTGGCAACTCTTGCAGCCAAGCTGGTGCCAATTGTATTGTTCTGCTTTCCTTTGGACCAACCACAGCAGCGAGATCAAGGGGGGAGTCTTGTTATCTGGGCAGCCCAGGACCCTCCATGCACACTGCCCAGGAAAGAGGTCATTTCAGTGCTGCTAATGTGGGAGCCAGAAGTTATGAGTTACTGTTCTGTACAGACAAAGAAGGTGCTGTGATTCTCCAGTGGCTTGACTTCACACCCAGGAGCACACTCCATTATCTCTCAGGACGTGTGGAGACCAGCAACAACTGTGTCTGACAGTGAGGGCAGAACATAGCCATAGTTGCTAGCATCCACTGATAGCAGAGATACCCTTGCTTGTTTATATTTCATAAAATTGTAAAAAAACAAAACAAAAAAGCCGCAACCCTCAAAGTGGTTTACAAAGAGAATGAAACAATAAAATTCTTAGAAACCGTCACAAGGAACTATTTAAACATTAAAGAAATCAGCACCAAACTACAGATTAAAACACACACCAGCATTTGACACATCTGGGTGGGCTTGCCTGAACAACGTTTTTAGCAGAACAGAGCAGAGTGAAAAAATGCATGTTTGATGTCAATAGGTAAGGAATTCCAAAATGTAGCTGCCATATCTCCCCAGACTCTGTGATCATCATCTGAGGCCTCTGTGTGCCTCACCCACAAGAGGTCTAGAGGGTGGCAACAAGAGAGAATGGACTTTTATGCGGTGGTTTCCCGCTTGTGAGATGCTCTCCCCAGGGAGGTTCATTTGTTGCCTTCAACCCATATATTTAGGTGCCAGGCAAAAACATTCCTCTTCTCCCTGGCCTTCAGCTATTTAAACAATCTATGAACTTTTAAACTGGGGTGGGGGTACTGTTTTTGCCTAATACTATGTTATGTATTTTTGTATTTTTATATTGTAAACCACCCTGTGATCCTGGGATGAAGGGTGGTATAGAAATTTAATAAATAATAACAACAATAGATCAAGTTACTAGAAATGCGGAACAGGTAACCTGCAGCACCTCTATCAATGCCAATTCTGTTGACTGAAGTGGCTGAGTGGGTGCATTATGCCGGGAAGGTGGCCTCATTGGCAAACCTGTCCTAAGTTGTTTACGGCTTCTTATAGACGGACACCTTGAACTTAGCCCGGTTGCGAACCGGCGGCCAGTGCAGACCTCCGAGCACAGGTGTTACAAGCTGACAGGGTCAGCAATTGTGCTGCAGCATTCTGCACCAACAGCAGCATGCTCCTCCCTACTCCTCCTCCGCCTCCCAGCCACCCATTGAGCGCACTGCAGCAGCCCAGTCCTGAAGCAAGCAGCCCCCTTGCTAACCTCCTAGGCAGCGCACGCGGGAATCGCTCACGGGCCAGCGGCAGCTTAGCGGATGCCCGCGCCTGCGCAGACGGCGCGATAGCATCTTCTCGGCCAAGCCGAATCCGCCGCCGCCTCTTTCTCAGGAGCGGGAGGGGCCCGGGCGCGGTTGCTAAGAGACGGCGCCCGAGCGGCCTTTCTGAGGAGCAGCCTCAGCAGTAGCCGCGAAGAAGCGGCGGCGGCGGAGGCCAGGCCAGGCTGGGCCGGCTCCTCCACCTCCTGCTCCGTCCGGGGGCCGCTTCCCCGCCTCCTCGTCCGGGAAGGACGCCCCCGCCCCATCCCTCATGCTGTGGGCGCCGCGGGGCGGGAGCGGCCGCGGCGGGGCCCCCCAAGCAGAGACGCCGCCGCTGCGCCCAGGAAGAGACCGGTGAGGAGGGCGGAGGCTCTGTGCGGCAAAGCGGCCTCCGGGACAGGTGGGTACCCGGCGCCTGCCAGCCTCACCTTCGGGAGGAGTGGGGTGGGGAAAGGACGTCGCCTCCCCTCCTCTCTGTCGCCCGCGGTAGACCCGGGAGGGGGGCGTCGAGGCTTCCTCGTGGCTTGGGAGAGCTTCCCGTTGCAGGGGCAGTGTACCTGCCTGCCTGCCCACATGCAGCACTTGGGGTTTCAAAAGAGCATTTCCCTTTTGAGGGGCTAGGGAGCTTGTCCGCGCTTATTTAGGGTTTTGTGTGCTTGTGCGTGTTAAGATATCGTAATCGTTGCTCATTTATTTCTGTTCTGTTAGCCTGCAACTTGGCAAAAAAAGCACACCAAACCAAGCAAACCCCCAAAAGGAAGAAACAGAAGGGTAGGCGCCTGGGGGGAAAAACTTTGGTAAGCCCCCACACCATTGAATCCAGTGTGTTTTGACTATACAGTACATGATTTTAGCGTTAAGCACGATCCCTGGAATTTAAACCGCCCCCCCCCCCAAGTTGCAGGCTTACTATTTTTTTAAAATATATTTATGATGGTAAGGTCTCTTACCTTCTGCCATACACCCCCAACGCTCTTTAAATTTTGTTGTTCAGTATTTATTTATTTTAAAAAATTGTGCACCACTCAATTTTTTTTAAACCCCCCCTCAAAGTGGTTTACAAAAACATGAAATTGTAAAATCAAGAAAGATTCAGAACCCCACTTTAAAATATGCAAACGTTAAAATACCAAATTACCTCAACTTTCTAAGCATCTGGGTAGGCTTGTCTAAACAAGAATATTTTTAACAGGCGCCGAAAATAGTACAGTGAAGGCGGCTGCTTGATTTCAACAGGCAGGGAGTTCCAAAGTGTAGGTGCCACCACACTAAACAATCAAGTTCTTACAAATGCAGAGTAGGTATTATGTGGCATCTGTAATAGTGCCAATTTTATATATATTGATTTTATTTAATTAGCATATATTTTATTGCTAACCACCCTGTGAATTTTTACATGGAAATGTTGGGTTATATGTTTAAGTAAATTCTTAGGTGCAGAATAGAGGTCTGTCCTCAGCTTGCAAGCTGGAAATATGTATAGAAAGCTGGTTAGGGCGTAAAAGATTAAAGCAAATAACTCAGCAGGACCCTCTAGGGTTAGATATAGTATACTGCTGGGTGCTGCTGGGAATTTGAAATAACTTAAAAACAATAATTAGCAATTGTAAGGTATTATTTGTTGTATTTTATTTAAGGTGCTTTCACACCATTCTTCAGCTATAACCCCTGCTGCCATTTCTGCTTCCAAATGTCAATCATAACAGTTCATGCTTTCATTCTGAACAGACACGCACAAAAGGAAGCAGGATTGGGAGGGAAGAGGAAAAGGAAAAATCAGGCGCTGTTTCTTGTTTACAGAGTTATTGACATGACTAACTGGCATGGGGAGATTTTAGGGAGGTGGGTGAATGCCATGTGTTTCTGGGACAGATTACTGGGTGGAAATTGCAGGGAAGCATATTTTTGCAGAACATTAGGAGAAACAAACTATGGTAAGAGTTGTTCAGCAGTGGAATATATTATCTCTGGACTCTTTTTTGCTGAAGCTAGATGCCAATCTATCAGGGATGCTGTGGTTGCATTCTGCATTGAGTAGAAGGTTGAACTACATCCGTATTCTTGAACCTTGGGTCTCCAGTTGTTGCTGCTCTACATCATTCCTATCCATTTTTTGTGAGTGTTCAGGAATGATGGAAGGTGTAGTTCAACAACCTCTGGGGATCCAAGGCTGAAGAACACTGGATTAGGTTACTTTAGAGGGTGCTGGTCATGGACTATAACAATAAAGATTGGATTTGATTACTTCCAATGTTCCTTCCAACTATGATAATTATGTGGGGATAAGTCTAAGTTCAGCTATTAGCTTTTGTAGCTATTTGGAATCTAGGTTCATAGGTAATATTTTTCCAAACACTGGAGCAGTGGACTGATCTAATCATGCCTTCAGTAGTCCCAAAAGCATCTGTCTAGCCTCTGGAAAATGGGGTGTGGTTTAGATGGGCTTTTGGCTTGATCCTTCAGCTGATGCAATGGTGAAAATGAATGATATCCACTTATTGCTGCATGCAAAATCTATAGAAAGAACAAGGAAGGTTATTTTATAGGAGTTGTTTCTCTGCATGCTACAGAACATAGAATCATTAGAAATCTTAAAGGGGTACCAAATTATTCAAGAAGCTCAAAGTAGACCATGAAGAATTCCAAAAGGATTATCTCAAGAACGGATGAATGGGCATCAAAATGGCATATAAGATACAACATAAGATTGTGCAAAGTGATTGACCTTGGGACACAACCCCCTGCCCTGAAATGTGTCCTTTCATTTATTCACTCTATCCCTAGAGAAGAGATCTTTGAGCTGTGGTTGGGCGCTTACTGTAAACAACAAATCTGTGTGGTCTGTTATTGAAAAAGGTGAGTTCTTTATTAGGAATTGTTAGGGAAGAAACTGAAAACAAAATGGATAGTATCACAATGCCTTTATAAAACTTACATTCAAAATACTTTGTACAGGTCAATCTCAAAGTGGACAGCAAAGAACTGAAATTATCAAATGATTCAGGTTTGAACAGGTTCATCAAAAAGAAAGACAAGCATTTGGAACTTAGTTTAGAAAGGAGACCATCATGGAGGTTTATAAAAAAATTATCACTCTCCCATAATACTAAATCCCACCAGGGGAGGGTTATGGCCTTTATTCCTTGCTTGTGTGCTTCCTAGAAGCACTTGCCTGGCCACTGTAGAAAATGGGCTGTTGGATTTGATGCATCTTTAGTGTCAACTAACAGGACTCTTCTGAGGGAATATAAACACTGCTGTGTGCAGTTACTCAAAAATTTTGCAGAACAATATTTTTATAGGTTTCAGAACATGAGATACAACATTTAAAAAGAACCACAGTGTTAATACTTTGTATTGTTCAAAGCTTTAACCTGATTACTTACTTCAATCACATTTTAAAATATGCTATTTTTTTTTACTCTTTAGCAAGCTCATTAGAGTGCATTTGTGTGTGGAGTGGTTTTGTAGACTGTTTATTATAAGCATGAATTATATTTTTTCACATATCTACTTAGCCCACATTGACATCCAAATGACAATTTGTGGTCAATATGAACAATTCAGAGAACTAGTACTCAGTATAAACAGCACATGTTTTGTTTCTTTCCACTTTGCCTTTCTTCCCACAAGCCTTTGTTTACCTTTGTTGTTCTGTACCTTCTTAATCCCTTCTTGTGGCACACTGTTAGCTGGAAGAATCAGCTTTGGAGTCTGTTGCCATTAGTTAGGTCAAATATAACCTGGTGATTTGGTAAATGAATTTTATCCATGTGCTTTTGCTGTATTTTTCGCAGTAACTTTCTGCAAAAGTTCTGAAATTGCAGAACTTGAACTGAAATTCTTTCTAGAACTTTATCCAGAGAGCTATTAACTTAGTCAGAATTGTTGTTTGGTTTGTAGTTGAATGGTACCTACAAAACTAGATCCAGTGTAGCAGTACAATCTTGGCATCCCACCTCTACACCATTCTACCCAGAACTTTAAAGAAATTTTGACAAGCACAGAACTGGCAGTGATGGCACAATGCTAAGTGCCTTAATATAGGAATGCAGAATTTGTGCCCGCCAAATGTTATTGGTTTCCAACTTCCATTGGCTTGCATGTTTACCTTGAACTAAATTCTGCTAAATTCAGTTAGACTTACTTCCAAATAAGTGTGCATAGGATTGCAGTTTTAGAAGAGGAAGGCTCAAAAGGATGCAATCCATATCTTTGCCTTCAGACAGAATCTTGCACATGTTAGACCACATGTTAATCCCTGACGGATATATTACCTTTTCCAGCAATTGTGGTGTGCCAGAAGAAGGGAAACAGGAAAACAATTGTGCTGTTTCACTTCTTCTTTTTAATAATGCCAGCACAATTTAGTTGAACAATCCATATAGTGAACCAAACCTCCAGTGTAGGGAAATCCAAGACTACATTATGAATTTTCTTCTTTGGCCTTTTAATGAGGAGGCTTATTTTATTCCAAATGCTCTGAATCTGCAGTTGAAGCTACAGGCAGCCAATTTGAAAAGGTGTCGCACTGTAACTTGAGCAAAATTGAATGTTCCACTTAGCACTTCCAACACAAAGACTGTGTGTTTTGGCTGCCTTCTGTTGCCTGACTTTTGCCATGCCTCTCCCTGTCTCTTTTAAAGGTTTATCTTTTTCTTATTAAAAAAAAATTACGGACCCCTTTGATGTCTTCTAAGCAACCTGCTTCCTTTTCTGCTAGTAATGAAATTGTGCCTAGTACCTAAATGACATGTAGATAATATGCCTGACAATTCTGTAGGGCAATTGTATATTATTCTGTTCAGCTGTGTGTTTTATAGCAATATTATTGTGATCTTTGCACCCATAGTACTTCTGACTTGAAACATTGGCCTGTTATGGCTAATAGCCCTGAATGGGGATGGGCATCCAGTCAGACCTAGTGATGTAGATCTCCATCCTTGCATATGCTCATCTCACCTATGTGTGTGGAAGGCTGGTTCCATGTGGAGGTCTACCTTAGTAGGTTTGGAAAACTGAATTTTTCAAAATAAATAATAATAATATTTTAGTATTTATACCCTGCTCATCTAGGTAGGTTGCACCAGCCACTCTGGGTGGCTTCCAACACATATAAAAGCATGATAAACATGGTGTGAATTTGCTAGTCACATTATGTTTTTAGGCTACCGAAGCAATTGACTTAGTGGTGCCTTGGCATCAAAGGAATATATTTTACCAGCAAGTGATGGCGTGACAGCTTTTTCTAAATGCATCTGTGTGGGAGACTGCTCACATGGCAAGCCATTTTTGTGAAATGGCTTTCAGTAATTCTGATAACCTCAGCTATGTACTACGACCCTTATTTATTTGTATTGCGGTGGAATCGCACAATGAGTTCTTTCACAGAATCCTTCCATGTGGAACTGCCTCCATACAGTTGCATCCTCCTGAATGGCAGCCCTGCCGGTATTTGGATATTATGGAGCATTTTCTGTAACTCCGTTAACAGCAACTGACTCATTGTCATTCTTGCTGTAGTTCTATCAAGGTAGTGCTAAGGCACATATTTTTATTGTTCTACTGTGGAGGTGGCTGTGGGAGAATAAGAATCAGTAGCTGTTGTGAAAACTCATCCAAAGCCAAATGTACTTTAACAAACTACTTTAATCTGAGAGTCCTGCAGAAGAAGACGTGCCACTTAGACAAACTGAATGCCAGTTGCTAAGAGCAGGCATAACCTGAGGTGCTTTCTTCTTTATTACAATTTGTATAGTTTGCTGTTGGGTGGAGGTGGTTGTCCATAAATGTTTTTCCTGCTTAACCTAAAAACTCTTAATCAGTTTATAAGAGCACACAGTCTTCTACACCACAAAGTAAAACATGGAATTGAAACATTCTATGATACCTGTTTTGTTTGAATAGCTTGTGGTTGAGAAAAGAAAATCTACCCCTGCCTCAAAAAAAAAGTCTGTGCAGAAATATCCATGAAATGCCCTTGGGCGTGTTGAGAGTAGCTATGGTTGATTCAGATTAAATCTTATCAAAAGCAGTAAAATTTTCAAAATGTGTCATAATATCTACATAATTACAAAAGCAAATAATAAATAGGATGCTTTCTAACAGAAGATTGTCACCACATCCTCTGGATAGAATAAAAGAGATGATGCATTGACCTCAGGGTCATACATTTGAAGTGATAGAATTTTTATTTTTTTGAGCAAACTCAAAATGTTTCACCTTTCTCCTCATCTTAGGGGTGAAAATTTGCGGTAGCATTTTAAAAGATCAGTTTCTTTTTGGAAGAGAAGCAACTCAAGACTTATTGTGCCTTTGTAATACTTTGTATACAAATGCAAAAGATGAACAGATATTTTGTGAGGAATAGGATAAGCAGAAGCAAGTATTCTGCTTTGATTTGGATTCATATAATTCCAAAATTCAAAATCCAAACTTAACTCCCGGGCAAGAAGATTAAAACAAGCGCCACTTTTCAGCTCTCCCAGTTTGTAGTTCCTCATGACAAAACTAGCTCCCACCATGGCAAGAGTCTGTGGCATATGGTCCAGATATTTGTGGATTTAGAGGTCTGCATTTCCACTTACTATGGCAGGTGTTTTATCACCCTCTGGCAAGAGTGACAATTTGGGGTAGTTCCTAGCCTCACACTCTAGTTTCAAGTTGAAAGCCAGCAAGGATCATCTCCACAGTTGTGCTTATTTTCAGAGCGCAAAATATAAAGGCAGTGTCCACCTCAAACTCAGACCTGGAAATGAAAACTTGGCTTGCTGTTTGGCACTGGCTGGCTGATAGAATATACTATTGATATAGTATATTACAATATTCTAGTTAAAGGTTTCTCCCCTTGTGTCTATGTAACATTTAGTGAGAGATGAAGTGGTTCAAAATACCATCTTCGACAAATATTTGAAAGCAAATCTAAATATGTGCTATTACTAATATCTGCTGTTTGGTTTAGTTAGGTCTGTGTTTTTTAAACTTCCTTTCCTTTTTTTAAAATTAGGAATGTTTGTAGCCGCCATGTAAGCCTGAAGTATAGAGACCCAAGATATGATTCTGGCACTTTAAGAAATATAAGAGACCAGCTTTAACTGTAAGTTAAATTATTTTGTTTGAAAATGTACAATGTCTTAATGTTACTTGATTCTTAACTACAAGTCTGATGAAAACAAACTTTTTATCTGTTAGTGAACACTCCAGCTGTCATGTTTACTTGGAACTTAAGTTTATAGCCATGCAGACACAATCCTTGCTGCTTGAAATGGTGAGCTGGCTCACCTAGTGTGAAGTAAATTTGCTCATGGCAAGCTTGATGGCTCCAGTGCATCTCATGATATCTGTCTAGCAATCATGACAGGATGTACTGTACTGGGAAAGTATTCTCTCTTTAATAAGGTACTAATGACTATCTTGGGACAATCTCAACTATAGAGCCACAAGTAGGAATGCCGCTTGGGGCAAGATATTGACTGTACCATCTGTTCCTAGCATGTATGAACGCTTTAATTGATATATTAAGAAATTCAACTTTTAAATTGATCTTCCTACTTGTCCCTCTTCAGTCTAGATACTGAAGTTGTCCTCCCTTCTTTCCACTAGGAGGCAGGTTCTGCTTAAATTCCGCTCTCAGTACAGGCCTAGACTTCATTGTGAGGGCTCCAAGGGGAGAGTGTTTTGTTTCTTTTCTTTTCTTTTCTTTTCTTTTCTTTTCTTTTCTTTTCTTTTCTTTTCTTTTCTTTTCTCTTTTCTTTTCTTTTCTTTTCTTTTCTTCTCTTGGGAAACCATTGTGTCCACCCTGGGCATATGTAGTATTTTCTTAGCGATTCCACTTCTTGAAGAAAGCATATTTTTATCTCTTTCTTCTCTATTAGCTTCCCTTAAATATACCCTGATCATAAATTATCTTTCCATTGATATATAATTTTATGGTATTACTAAAAAAAAAATTGGTGTTATGAGCCATCAAACCTCGGAAATACGCTTTCTCCGGAAGGTTTCCACAATTTTGGCTACTAGTGTATAGTTCAGATAATTGTTTATTGAGTGGTGGTGGTCCTGAGGAGTATTCAATCATATGAGCCCCTGCAGCTGGAGCCAGAAGTGTTGCAGTACAGATATAAGCTTACTGCCTTATCTGAGGTTTATGAGAAGTAGGTTTTAGTTTGTTGTCCTTTCCCAGGCAACCAAGGGGACAGCTTGATGTAGAATAGTGACGTTAAGATGGGGGATTCAATCACATAATTAAAACCTCTTTGAATGCAGTGTAGGACTGCAGCCTTTGTAGTCTGTCAGTGTTATTGTATCCTTTAAATACATTTTTTCCTTGATGGGCAAAAATGAATTAAGAGAATACATATGTTACCACCTGTCTGTGCTTAAGGAACAAAAGATTTGGATAGAGGGATTATGCTATTTGCATTATTAACGCTAGACAATTTAACAAATCAAACAAAACTGTTTATCTTTTTTTAAAAAATTGTTGTTTCGTGTCCATTGAAGTTGGTATGCAAATATTAGGAATGTCTCTCAGGTTTTTTTTTTTTTATTTATTTAGAATTCCCATTGAGACATGAACCATGGAATGTGTAGCAGCTGTTTGTTTAGTGCTAGCAGTTTCAAGCATGCAAATAAGTGTTAGGTAAAAATTTTGTGTGATGTCATCTTCAGTAGGAAATTATCAACTGCAAACTTGTGTGGTAGAGGTAATATTTTAGAGCTAGGAGAGTAAATTAAGCAAGGAGGGGGAGAACCATGTACATCACATTGAACTCATTGGAGGAAAAGGTGGGATATAAATACAATAAATAAATACTTGCTCCTGGCTAGCCTCCTTCTGTACGCAATATGAGTCATGAATTGCCCCTTTTCTCAAGCCATTGCCTCATCTTTTAGACATGCACCGTTTTCAGTTCTCTTGGAATCATGTTTCTCCCTGATGCAAAAATTGGAGGTAGGTGTGTAAGATAATTAGATTGAAGAAATAGATCCCTCCCTTATTTTAAGAAGTGCATATTTTATTTTTTTGCAAAATTCTTGAGGGTTATGGGGGTGGGAATAGGCATTTTGTGGCTCTAAATACAGTGGTACCTCAGGTTACATACACTTCAGGTGACAGAGTTCACTAACCCAGAAATAGTACCTCAGGTTAAGAACTTTGCTTCAGGATGAGACCAGAAATCACGCAGCAGCGGCGTGGCGGCAGCAGGAGGCCCCTGAAGTGGTGCTTCAGGTTAAGAACAGTTTCAAGTTAAGAACAGACCTGTGGAACGAATTAAATTCTTAACCACTGTACTAGTTAATGAGTACAAAACAAGCAAAACACACACACACACACACACACACACACAAAATTCCAACCCCATAGGAATTCCTTTTCTATAGATTCCCTTGATGATTGCTGTCAATTTTTCCTGGGGTTAGTGATCTTTCTCCTAATAATATGATGATATGAGTAATTTAGGCCAAATTCTGTAGTAGCAAAAGCCTAGATTTTTTTTTAATGAAGGAATAAGAATTATCTGGAATGAAATGTTTTTGAAGTTTGTGGTGCAGATAATTGTTTAACGTTCTGATCAACTTTATACTCTTTCTGTCTCAATGAGATTGCCAGTTCTCTGGCAGAATCCCACATCACTCCAATAGCATTTGAGCGATGGAGTCCTGTGGGGCAGGCTGTTGCATAAGAGGTACCCATGTTCCATGTCTATAACCATTGCTGTCCCAGTATGGGTTGCTGGCACTACTTTTGGCAGTGCCTGACCATTCTCTTACAGCAGAGGTGGGAAACCTTTGATTCTTCATATGTTGTTAGACACCAACTCCCCTCAGTCCAGCCAGTATGGTCAATAGTTAGGGATGATGGGAGTTGTCATCCTGCAATATGTGGTTCCCCATCCATTTTTTGCATGATTCTGTCCTTCACACATTACTTCGGCAAGGTGGGATCCAAATATTGCTACTCAAGTAACATATGACTCTGGTAATAGTCTTCTGTTGTTGAATGAAATTCCAAACCTATAATTTAATGCATAGTTTTGGCCTGCGAAGAACTTATATTCACATTACAGTATTTCTTTTTCCTTGTGATTGGTTGCTTTTGAAACAGAAACTGGGTTTCTCATAATTTGTGACTGAAAAATTCCTACTGATTGCAGTGGACTCTTGAGTGATTATGGGCTGCTTGAAAAAGTTTAAATCATCAGCATGTAAATCAAATGCCTTCTTCATAAAATAGTTTTTTAAATGTACTTTGTATCAGGATAAAATAGTGTTGTGAACAATGATTATCTGCCTTTATGCCTTAATTCTTCTAAGAACTGGAGCTCAAATTGTGCAATTGAAAAATTATTATTTTTCATCCTGTTAAAATCCTGTTGTGGTATATAATTACTGGGAAAGCATTTTTATTTTATTACACAGAAAGGTGTATTGATACTTGAGGTACAGTACTATGTGAACAGAATTCAAGTGCTTTGGGAACACTTGTTCTTTTTGAATTGCATTATCAGCCCCACCAGTCAGTCGTGACTCTGCTGAAAAACGGTGTTTAGGTAAGGATGCCCGGTTGCTAAGCAATGGACATTAGAGGCTTAAACGTTTAAAGCTGTAGTGCAAAGTTTCCCTCTTTGAGTGAGATATTTTCACGTTACAAATTGGAAGGGTTTTTTCTTCCTTAAACTGCTATTTAAATATGTATTTTATATAAGGAAGACTATAATAGCTCTAAAGTTATGAAATTTTGCATAATTGGAGATGATTTTATTTTTATTACTGTCTCTTACTATCTTTTAGTCTGTTACTTACAGATGGGGAAAAATTTACCCATTTCCAAGTAATAGTTTTGGTGGTATTTAAAGGCATTTAAAAAATTCTGCTTACTTCAGTATTAGCAAGCAATATATAGCAGCAACAATTAAATATGGAGGGGAAACTAAAGGATTGCTTGGTAGACATATGCTACAGATAATGCAAAAGTTGATCACATTTATTTCACTTCACATTTTCAGTTGCAGAAGGTGATAATTCGATGGGTCAGCAAGAGGGAGCAGAGAATCTCTACTTGTCTTGGTCAAAAGATAAAATAAAAATAGCAGGGGATTGTTTTGTGCCTTGACAGGACACATGTTCCTGACCTCTTTCTCAGGACCTGGATAATGTGGTATGGTGAGCAAGGCCAGGTTTGCAAAAGAAAAGTAGACTTGGCTTGCCTGTGGCAGGGACTTCAGAGATGAATGAGAAATTGGGAAGTAGGGTTAGGGAAATAACTGGAAATCTCTATCCTTCCCCGGACCTGTCATTCAAAGATGTTGATCCCTTAGCTAGCAACTAAATTTTGTGTCAAGAAAACACATTGCAAAAAAACCTCAAAGCCCCAGGTCAGAATGGACTCCTGCTGAAAGAATATGCGGCTAGGAATATTCTCCATTGTTCAGTGAGGCCCAACTGGACCTACCTACAGTGTTCAAGACTTGTTCAGCCACAGGACTTCCTATTGGGTGCCCTGTTGGTCTCTCAAGCTCTAGCCTTTCCCTCCTTTGGCCAGAATGATGTCATGCAGTTGAACACTTGTCTGATAGCACTGTTGCTTGTTTGTTTTTAAACCAAACTCAAATACTATGTAAAAAATCATGATGTGGGGAAAACCTTGAAGCTAGTCATCACTTCTCATGATTCTTGTCACCCCATTGCTGTACTGCCTCAGCTCTTCCTTGCCTCCTGGAGGGGGCAGCAAACCACAAGAGCAGGCGCTGAAGAAAGCAGCCCACCCAGAAACTTAGCAATATAGATGTCACAAGCATCTTTTTTTAAGCACAGGAGGAGATGCCGGTCCAAGCTGGCTCTGGGCTTCTTTCTGGGAGCCCCCTTTCCCCTTCTTTTCTCCTTTTGGACTCTCTTTGCCAGCAGGACCTGCCTAAGGGCGTCTCCTGATAAGCTCTTTTGGGGTCTTTGAAAAGCAGGAAGGTCTTTCTGCTTCACCTCCCCAAAGCCTGCCCCCCATGTTGCTGCCCAACCCTGCCTTTTGAATAGCTGCTGCCCTCAGCCAGGGCGCACTTGGAAACCACTGCTTGTCCTGTGGAAAAATACATTGGGGTTATTTACCTCCGAGTTTAAAAAAACAAAAATATACCTTGCCCTGTTGTTTAAGCCCCTTTCCTCCCTTCTTGCCTTCTGTGTCCGTGTGGGTGTTTATGTCTCACCCCCTCGTAATGTTCCCTATTTTCTCCTCCCTATCCTCGAACTCTCCCCAATTCTCCCCTGGCCCCTTTGCTTTCTCACACATTTGTTCCCCCAGCCCTATACTTCCTTATGTGCTCCTTCCTTTTTCTTCCCTCCCACCCCCACTGGCAAAAAAGGAGGGAGAAATGTTTTTGTTTTTATTTTCTGGTGTTTACATAGTTCCGGCCTTATTTCAGACATTGTGATATCATGATGTTTAGCTTTTGATACGTCACCATCTTGAATACCAGACATCACACAGCCCTACCATGAACTTCGCATCTCAACATCTGGGCAGGTCTGTTTGGGAATGGAAAGTTCTTCAGATTGTTCTGGCCAGAAATATCAACTGACCACTTACATGGGGCTTCTTCCCTGTTCACTTTCCATCACCATCTGTTTTGGTTTTATTTCTTCACCCTTCTTTTCATTTGGGCTCCCCCCGCAGACATGAAATTAGTTTGAAGACCACAGGTTCCCTACCTCGATGAAAAGGGAAGGGAGAAAGAAGCTTGCTGAGCATTAGGTATGCCATATAGATAAAAACAGTATGAGAAGAAGGAGCAAGCAAGAGGTAAACATAGCAATTACTGTACTTTTCTGTGTATAAGACTATGTTTTTTTACTCTAAAATAATGTTCAGAATCTGGGCTCGTCCTTTACACTGATAGTATCTTCCCCCATTTTCTTAAATCAGAGCCCCCCAAAATAGGGGGTGTCTTGTACATGGGGGCGTCTTATAGATGGAAAAATATGGTACCGTATTTTTTGCTCTATAAGACGCACCAGACCACAAGACGCACCTAGTTTTTGGAGGAGGAAAATATGAAAGAAAATATTCTGAATCTCAGAAGCCAGAACAGCAAGAGGGATCGCTGTGCAGTGAAAGCAGTAATCCCTCTTGCTGTTCTGGCTTCTGGGATAGCTGCACAGCCTGCATTCGCTCCATAAGACGCACAGACATTTCCCCTTACTTTTTAGGAGGGAAAAAGTGAGTCTTATAGAGCAAAAAATACGGTACTTTATCTGTTCTATTCTGTAAGCAGATGTAGTACATTTGTAGCCTGCCATATAATGCTGCATTTCCAAAGCAAAAGGCGCCATGTTCATGCTGACTTGCCTATCAAACGATTCATTATAGCAAGCTCTAACTCTTAACACCTGCCAAAATGTCTTCTGCTTCCTTAACCAACTTTGCCCATCCTGTTTGATAATCTAATTGCCCCCTGCTCTTCAGCCCACCTTTCTCTGTAAATCCTTTGACTAGGAAGTCTCATCTGCAGCAGAAACACATGTAGGGTGCATTTGCTCAAACTTCATTTCTCTGTCTTTTCCCCATTTGAAATTTAGGCAGTAGATTCACTGGGGAAGAGCCCCCCCCCCCTTGGGAGCTTATATTGTTCTGTAACATGCCATGTGCATTAGAATTACAGTATAGTTGAGTAGCATGGCTTGGAGAGCAAGGCTTCTAATATTTCAGGAACAATTGAGTCATGCATGCAGCATGGATGCTACTAGCCATGATAGCAGTGCTGTGCCATTGCAGTTGAAGTCTTCAATGCTTCTGAATACCAGTTGCTGGAAACTACAGGAGGGGAGAAGGTTATTGTGCTTGAATCCAGCTTGCAGGATTCCCACAAGCATCTGGATGGCCACTGTGAGAACAGGATGCTGGACTGGATGGGCAACTGGCTCTGGCCTGATGCAGCAGGCTCTTCTTATGTTCTTACACTTGTCTGTTAGTGCTTGGGGATATCATTATGCAAATAAGTATTAGGTAGGAATTTAGTGTGATGACAACCGTTCATGAAAGTAGTAGGAAATCAGTGCAGGCAAACTTACTAGCCGCTCTGAGCCTGGCCTTGGCTGGGGAGGGCGGGGTATAAATAAAAATTATTATTATTATTATTAGTCAGAAATGTATTTTAAAGCTAGAATGATACACTCTTGGTTAGATCCTTCCTGCCCTCTCTCCACTGTCCCACACCAGCTACAGAATGCTCATTTTCTCACAACATTGAGACACATATTGCCTTTTAGTTTAGACAAACTCTTTCTGTTCTCTTGGAGAAATTGTGCATTTTTTCCTGATGGCAGAGGAGAGCCATGGAAAAATTGGACAGAAGCAGGTGCTTACGACTTGGAGAAAGAGAATCTCTTCCTTCCACCATTCTCTTTCAGGAAGTTCAAAAAAGTTTCAGGGAGTTCAAAAAAGTTCTTGCAAAGCTCTTGAGGACTACTTAAAAACAAATAGTAATGGTAGGGGTAACCAACCTGATGCCCTCTAGATGTTTTAGACTCCAATTCCCATCACCTCCAGTCAGAGTCGGTAATAAAGGAGTTGTAGTTCACAACCTCTGAAGAGCATTGTGTTATCCCAGGCTTTTTAGTGGCCCTGAAGAATGTAGTAGTAATAGTAGTGGTAATAATAATAATAATAATAATAATAATAATAATAATAATAATGATAATAATAGATTTTAAAATCCCATAGGAGTCCCCTTTGGTATATGTTCCCTTGATGGTGTCAATTTTACCTGAGGTTTGAGGGATTCCCTACCACCACCAAATAATAGTATGATTATGATAGCTAATAATAATTTTGATGAAATTTTGTAAAGGCTGAAGCTTAGATGTGACAGAGACTTAACTGTCATCTGAAGTGGAATGCTTTTTTGAAGTTTGTGGTGCAAATAGTTAACTAAAGTTCCCATATATTTTTTCAACTCTTGCATTTTAGAGAAAAACACATTTCTGTTCCATGTGGGACAAGCTGGTCACATGAGTGATACCCATGCCGCATCCTTACAACCACTGTGCTAATACAGGTTGCTGACTGATGTGGATTATTTCCATGTGATTCCATCCTTTACATGATATTTGGAACCATGTGGGATCCAGGCATAGGGATCTGCCATGCCAGATACTATTGAATCTGGTGATGGGCTTCTGTTGTTGTAGACGGTTGAGTAAAAATTCTAACTCTTTGATTTAATAAAAAAAAATGCCCCCAGAAGAACATTTGGGAGCAACAAATTGCATCTCAGAACTTATCATTAGAAAATTCCTATTGATTTTGTTATACAGTCAATATGTTAAATCAGGCTGATAAAGCTGTCTTTTCTGTGCGGATCTAACTTCCCCCTATTTATTAAGATGTCGTAGCACTATAGCAACATTTTTTAAAAAACAATTTAAATAATTACTCCCTCATAATCACTGATTTAGAGGCAGTTGTGATTCTCACATCAAAGTGCTCCCCCCACCTGTCGCCTTTTAATGAAAAAATGACACAGCTGAATTTTCTTGTTAATAGTCTTTCAACCACAGTTGACAATCACTTAAAAAAAGAAGAAGCAATATACTCCTGTGAGTCATGGAAGTGGGTGTGTTTCTGCAGAGAGCAGCTTTCGTAACACCAATCCACCAATCTGTCACCAGAGTCGGAAGAATAGAACACCCCTGCACACAGGCTCTGCTTTGGCAAAGAGCTATCTTCTTTACTACCAATGTGAGTTACAGCTAAGCTGCTGCTTTCTTAGAGGCAAGTGAAAGTGAGTATGCTAGCAGTAACGGTAACATGCGCTTGGAGATGAATTCCCCCCTGTAGTTTGCTTTTCAAATCTTGTTTTTGATGTGTGACAAATCTTAAGTGCCTGTTATTCATAATATTGTGGTTCAAAGGAGGCAGACTTCAGTAAGTAGTGTGTGTGTGTGTGTGTGTGTGTGTGTGAGAGAGAGAGAGAGAGAGAGAGAGAGAGAGAGAGATTTTTCTGAATTGTTGCACCACGCTTGACGTCCTAAAATATGGAAACAAGTTGAAAGTGTGCATGTTTCAAAAATAAAATAAAATGTATGTGTGCATAAGATTAATGTTGGAAAAAGAGTTCTAATATTTTTATTAAGGATTTTCTTGTTTTAATAAAAATATTAGAACTCTTTTTCCAACATTAATCTTATGCACACATACATTTTATTTTATTTTGAAACATGCACACTCAACTTGTTTCCATTTTAGGACGTCAACGTGGCTGACAATTCAGAAAATCTCTCTCTCTCTCTCTCTCTCACACACACACACACACTACTTACTGAAGTCTGCCTCCTTTGAACCACAATATTATGAATAATAGGTTCAAAGGAGGCAGACTTCAGTAAGTAGTGTGTGTGTGTGAGAGAGAGAGGGGGGGGGAGGGAGAGAGATTTTTCTGAATTGTTGCACCACGCTTGACATCCTAAAATATGGAAACAAGTTGAAAGTGTGCATGTTTCAAAAATAAAATAAAATGTATGTGTGCATAAGATTAATGCTGGAAAAAGAGGATCTTTTGTTAAATTTTGAGTGTATAGAATCTAATACCCCACTTGGGGGACCGGCAAGTTAACACTTGGCAAGAGCAATTTGCATAAGAGAAAAGACAGGAGGAAAAAGAGTATTTTAACCCTTCCTTGTTAAGTATTTACCCTTATACCCTTTCTCACAATATTATTAATTGTTTGTATTCTTGTTCATTGTTTACCTCAGAGATTTAATATTCTTTAAGGATAAAAGCTGGTTGGGGAAAGGGTTTGGGGGAGATATGGCTGACAGGGAAACGGATAAGTGCTCCCCTTCTTGAGATTGCTTTGCAACAAGCAGCCTTCAGGCACCTTATACCCCTTATTTTAGATTAGGTCAATCCGCATCCGTATAGCTTATGGTTGTTTGCTGTTTAGTCGTGTCCGGCTCTTTGTGACCCCCTGGACCAGAGCACGCCAGGCACTCCTGTCTTCCACTGCCTCCCGCAGTGTAAAGTTCACCAGTAAAGATAAAACATACTATATGATTACTTAACAAGGTATTGGATGGTACATGTTACAGGTGTTCAACAAACTTTCAAACTTTACATCACTGTGATACTTTACTAAAAACTAGAACAGTAAATTAGTGAGCCGGTGAGGTAACAACTTAATCGTTCTTCAAGATTATGTTTGTGCAAGCATCCTTTTTGTTGCTTTTCATTTCATTTCGTTTGTCTCCTTCCACAGCTAAGAATTATGTGTTTAGGTTTTTAAATTATTTTAATAGTATGGGATTTGTTCAGTTATTGCTTTACATCCCTGCAGCACACACAAGTAATTTATTTTAGTCTACAAAACAAAGGTGGAGAAGCCTGATGGTGACTGTAAATACCAGGGGTTGTGTAGGGTCACACATCACCCTCTCCTCTACACCCAGTATACCTTGCAGGGGAAACAGGTCTGTAGTGACTGTAGGACTTGCACAAAATCAGCTTTAAGAAAAGGAATAGGTAATGATCAAGGAGGATAACAACTGGGATGAAGCACATCTTGAGTTGAATGAAGAAACACCAGTAGATACTTGCCCAAATTGTGTGAAAGTTACTCCTCTTTAAGGGATGCTCTGCGTGCTACCAGATCCCTGTAGCAAAATTCCCTTTTGATTTGTGCACGCATGCTTGTTTTATGCTTCCTCTTGAACCATGTGCCCTTATTTCTCTACAAAGATATCTGGCTACACCACATTGCCTATTATAAGTTTGCCCATGTGGGAGAGGAAACGGCAAAGTAAATTTCCAGGGCAGAGAATTTCTGATTCTTAGTAAGTTATATGGTCATATGGGACCCTGATTTCTGCTAGGCTGAGATGGAAGGGACCTTCCATTGCTATTCATGATATACAAAAAAGGGTTTCATGATATACAAAAAAGGTAGTTTGCTTGCTTACACAGAACTCTTCATGACCGTATGAATATATTTTACTCTAGTCGTACGTCTGCTCATCAGTTACTGATTATCATTAACCAGCATCCCCGCCCTTCTAGGTGGGGAGAAGTGACAATAAAGTCACTTCTCTCAACCAGTTTTTTCTCTATCTCTTCAGGGAGCTTCAGGTACTTCTGACTCAAGGTAAATGAGCCATGAGGATCAATGGTGTAGAGTCCTGTCCTCAGCTTTCTTTTTTCTGTTGTAGTGTCTTCATTGGTCACAAAGCTGTATCTTCTGTTCTGCCTAGAAGTGTGTCCTTGTGTAGCAGGTCTGGGCAATATAAAACACTAAGTGTCCAAAGGTGGCAGGGGCTTCACATCACTCAGGCTGAGGATATCAGCAGACATCAATACATAAAAACATACATTTGATGGGCACCTTCATGAAGGCTGACCCAGAAGTAAACATCTTCTATGATGCTTTTTAAATACTTCTGAGATTTGTCACAAACTTAAGTAGCGTTCAAAAATTTCATGGTAACTGACAGGATTCAGTTACAGTGAAAATAAACATTTCGTTTTATTTTAGCTGAAACAATCCATTTGGTGAACCTCAGCATTTTAAAATTTATATTTGTAGAAGCATATGCACCCTCATCTTCTGGAAGGCAGCTCAAAGTCATAAAATAAATAAAATATTTACACTTCTATAAGTTACATCAATCTGTCCAGTTTCTTGAGTATGATTTCCAAATGGCCTTGAAGTGAAATGTGAATCACAAATGAGCCCAAGGTACTTAGGTAATACCAAATGCAGAAATCGGGGGGGGGGGGAGGGAGTCCAGAAGCCCCACTGAACATCTGGAGGGCCACAAGTTCCACACCGCTGCCTTAGGACATAGGATTTGCAGAATAAATAATTTTACAGCAGAGTTGTCTGTGTCTTCCTTTTTGGAAGGAAACTTTCTGGAACACAGTCATACTTGGAGCAGGGTAGTTGTTGCATATGCTGACGTCTGCTTTCAGTAATGTGAAGGTTACATCCATTCACAGAACGCTGTGCACAGTGACCTTTTCTGCTGCTATTATCACACTTCTCCAATTGCTATTCTAATAGCTAGTACACTTGGGTGCGGGCCTTCGTACAGCCAGAGGTGTGTGGAATACTGCATGATTTGTGTCTAGGAGGTGGAAATGAGAAGAGTCCCATAGTAACTTGACCGCAAGTGGAAGTTTGTTTTGTCAGCTTAGAATCTCCCCTTATTTGCATTGCTAGCCTCAATTGCTAAGGAAGGGATTCACTTATTCAATAATTTAGCATTTCACTTGCTGTTTCAGAAAACAAGGGCACCAGGATACTTTTAAAATTAGAACAAACAGGCTATATTGTAAGGGTGGTGGGCCCATTTTGAAGGCCTGCCTTGGGACCTGATCTTTTCTTGAATGTTCTGCTAGTGGGAAAATGCAGATGATCATGTCAAAGCTCCTATCTAGCTATAAGATGGTGAAATGAAATGGGTAGCTGACACAATCACTCCTGAGCCTCCTCTCTGGCTTAGTGGTGCTCATGTGGTTCCTTAGAATTTTGGGCAGCTTTGGGCTATGAAGCAAACTACATGAAGGCTAGAGCTCAAGTGATACAATTCTTTATTGAAAGCTGACTGAACCCTGGCTAGTTTGCATAAACATGCCTACCATGTTCCAGTGTGGGCTACGAGGAAGGCACATTTTGCATTGCATCCTCGAGTGGTCAGCAGACAGTTATTTTGAATGGTCCAGAGGTTATTGACTCCCACTGTAGAGGAGGAATCTGGAGCATTTGAGGACCTGCTGCGACCAACTAGTTATACATGTTGAGGATAAATTGCCTCAAATTCAGAGTGTTGTTGATGTTTATTAAATGTCTATACTGCCCTCCATCTGAGGATCACAGGGTGGCTTGCAATATAATGCATGGAGTACCATTGACTCTGCAGTTCCAGTTCCAGATGAAGGTACCCAATGCCACAGTCAGTGATGTGTTGTGGGATCAGTTTGAACTTATGCAGTCAGCAGATGTGGACAAGGTGCTAGCAGTTGTATGTCTGACCATTTGCTCTCTTGACCTCAGTCCCAGCTGGCTTATTCAACCTATCAGAGATACTTTGACTAGAGCATGCTGCCTTGAAATAGGTGGTGTGTCCACTTCTAAAGAAACCTACCGTGGATCTCTTGGATTGGAATTGATCCAACTGAACTATTGATCCTCATCTCTGACCTTTACAGGGAAAGGGACAAGGGGAGTGTTACCTTGCTCCTGCCTCTTGATCTCTTTGTGACTTTTGATACCATTGAGCTGTTAGCTCTGCTTAGGACTACATATTCAGAACCATCAGTTTTGATAGGTTTCACAAATAGAGCAGCTGTGATAGATCAAAATGAATGACACTTCCATGCCTGTATCTTTAATGCGGAAGATTCTTGAATCTTTGTACATACTGCTTCTTTAGATAAGGCTGTTGAAAACCTTGGTATTATCAGCAGAGTAGTGGAAAAACAGCAACTATTGTGCCAAAAAAGTTCTGGCAAACCAATGCTGGAAATGTGTCACGGTGCCTTGCATGAGGAACTACTGATAAAGCAGAGTCCCAGTTCCCCTCCCTCCCAGATAGTTTGTGATAGTAACTCTAGATTTTATGCATAAAAGTCCAGCCCCGTGGATCCATTGCTGAAAAAGCTAAAAGGTTCAGTCAGTACTCCGTTTGGGGAGAGAGAGGAGATTGCTTGTTTTCTTCATTCTTCCGTGTTGCCTGCTATCTGCCTGGCTTTGCTTAAGCTACTACGAAGCCTATTCGACTACCCTAAAACTGGTGACTGAAATTTTATTGACTTAATATGCTAAAAAATGTTTCATGGCTGGGTGGGCTACAGTTATGCTATTTACCTTGATTGCTTTGGCAGTTTTGTTAGATATCGGACCTGGAAAGGGGACCAGTTATCTTGTGATTTTATAAGCTATGTGACTTCATTGCTCAGTTCAGTCTTTTTACATTATATTTTAGGTATTGGCACTTTGCTTTCTTTATTGAGTATGGCATAGTCATCATTTATTTTAGTTACTGAGAGTGAATTTTCGTTTAATTATTATTTGGTGGTATTTTGAAAGTTAATTTTAGTATGTATTATTATATCCTATATGGATTATTGAATATTCCTTCTTTGATATAAGTTGTTCATTTTAAAGTCAATTTTACATATGACTTAATTGCATTAGATCAGATTATTATGATTGTGATTTTTTGTATATTTTGTATTTGTATAATTTGTTGTTTCTACAGCTTATAAATTGCTGGAAGTAGTCACTAGGCGTATGGGGGCAAGGTGCCATGTACTCTGATTACATTGAATTCAATGGGACTTGCTGCTTTGTAGGGATGTATAGGATTGTGTGTCAGTCATTTTAAGGCATAGCACCTCAGAATGTTCTATCTATCCCTTGAAAACACATAAGTCAATTGTAAGTTCTTTGTGGAGGACACTTAAACACAAAACAGGTGCTTTTTATCTCCTTTGTGTACAGGAGGGAGTAGGGGAGCATATACTAAGCGGGGGGGGAGAGAAGTAGCAGGTATGGTGGCAGCATATTTGGCTACCCCTCAGCAGCTATTTCCCAGGTAGTTCTGTGTTCCCTTAAACAGCTGTTGCAATTATCTTTCTCACTTCTTAGTCTGCTGCTAAAACAGACAAATTGTGGTGCAGGGCTAAAAAAACAGTGTCTACCAATACATGTCATGATATAACATTGGCCATTCAAAGCACCTTACCTTTCCCCTTTTATGGTTGTTTTGCCAAATATCTGCTTCCACATATAATGGATGTGAAGTGGCCATTGAAAAGAAGTTTTTCAAAAGATTAATGTCAGTTTTGAAGAGGTTCCACAAGTACAGTTATTTTTCCAGTTATGTTTCTCTGGCAAGGAAAGTGAGGAAAGGTGCCATTATGTTTTGTTTGCTCTTGTACTGATATTCAGTAGTATGTACAGTAAATAATATGCTTTTAATATAGGGAGATACATTTGCATTAGCAGAATTCATTCTTACCACGCTTCCTCTTGACTCCAGTGACTTGCTTTGATTTTGCAGAGTGTGCCTTCTTTTTCTCTATTGGAGGAAGAATGAATAAAGATTTATACTTTGAAATGAAACAGTTATTTGATTTGGCTTTTTAACAGTGTGGATGAACAGTTCATTAAAAAAAAAGAATAATGAACAGCTGAGTAAATATAAAATATACAAATGTTCTGAGTTCCTAAATAGGTCTTTGTTTCTTAATACCTCAGAGCATACAGGAAAGAAAATAAATACAAAAAGGGTTGGGAGAAGTACTCTGGAAATACACCTGGAATTTCTTGCATGAGGCCCTTCCCATGCATTTCAGTCATCAGCCATAGAATCCGGAATGCTTTATTCACATACAGATCACTGCATAGCTTTTGGGGCCAACCTTCAGATTCCGTTTTTGAACAGAGATGCTGCACACTATTGTGCATACCATGTGTACTATTGTGAGTACTATTGTGATACCATGCTCAGGTACCATGATAAGCCATAGTTCCTACAGTGTCAAGGATGGGGAACCTCTGGCCCTGCAGCAGTTGTTGTACTTCAGTTCTCATCATCACCAGCCAGCATGGCTAAATAAACGGTCAGGGCTAATGAGAGTGGAAGTCCAACAGTGTCTGAATGACCACAAGTTCCCCATCCCTGCATTATGTGAACAAATCATTTTAAGCTGTGGGCTGTTACACTCCGTCTTTTCTTTTTCACCCACAAGGAGAAAAGCAGAAGCGCACCCCCTTCTCCCTTTAAACTAATTACATGGTTTCGAAAGATGTCCTAACTGGTTTGCCTTAATTATGGTTAGTGAGAACAAGCCAGGACCAATCTGTGGTTTCAGATCCCTGCTTGTTCTGAATTTGAATTTAAACAAACAACGCATAGTTATTACCAATCCCCTTTTAAAGCCGGCTATGTTAGTGACCATCATCACATCCTGTGGTAACAAATTACATAGTTAAATGATGTGTTGCCTGTCTTGAATCTCTCGCCACTCAGTTTCATTAAATGATTCCAGGTTCTAGTACTACGAGTGAGGGGAAACCCTCTTGTCTCTTTTCTCCATTCCATGCATAGTTTTATAAACTTATATCTTGTTCTCCACTATTCACTTTTTTCTACAATGTTGTAACCTTTCACCTTCGTAGAGTTGCTCATTTTGGTTGTCCTTTTCTGCTCCTTTTCCAACTACACAGTATCTTTTCTAAGGTGTGGTGACCAGAAATGTGCATGGTATTGTGGTTGGTCTGGGGTAGTAGGATTATTCAGTGCACCCCATATTCTCTTTAGGCATTCTTCCAGTGTGTGAAGGTGAACTTTCTTTGTTTTCCCTGGTTTGTGAGTACAGTTTCTTATTCACAACAGCCACTGTGACAAGCAGCTATCTGACAGGGCATTAACTTGAAACAGTGAATTTGCTGTGTGGGTGGTGTTGGTATACTTGCCATCACTGGCCCAGTTCATATGCCACATTAAACCATATTTAAGCCTATAAACTGTTTAATATGAATGAGCAGCGTGCTGCTCAGAATTACAGAATCATAGGATTGTGGAGTTGGAAGGAACTCTGAGGGTCATCTAGTCCAACCCCCCGCAATGCAGGAATCTAAGTGTGCTCCCAGTGTGCTCCTCTGCAGATGAAACAAGCCAGAGTCTTGTCATGTTTGTGTTTCTTTCCCTGAAACAAAATATGAGTGTTAACCAATGTTAGTTTTAAGTTAAAGTTTAATGTGATGTGCAAACCACGCCTCTGTATTAAATGCATTTTTTTAAATAAAATTTTTTATTAAAGTTTTGAACAACAAAGAGAGAGAAAAGAAACCATACACAATACATATAACAAAAACACACACACACAAAAAGCAAAATTCAACAATAAAAGAATAAAAAACATAACAATTAAAAAACAATATCTCTTTTCCATTTCCATTTTTTAATTACTTATTTTCTGGAATTCCTCATACCTCCCCCTTTTGTATTCCAATCCAAATTGTTTGTCCAGCAGTTTCTTTTCCACCTTTTTAATCCCAATCTTTAGCTTTAATAAAATATTGAATTATATAACTTCAACTTCTTTAAACCAGATCTTTAGTCTTAATATCGTATAACGTTGAGATTTTTCCTCTTAATGTCAAATTTCCATTTCATTAAACATCTTTAATCCTAATTTTTAATCTTAGTCTATCATTGCATTTATTTTGGAGAGTGAGGGTAAGGGAATTCAATTTACTTGGAAGTAATACAAACTCTATTGTATTCAAATTATCTAAAAATGTGTTTTGTAAGATTCATAATTATTTTGCACTAGTCAGTAAAATCTAATTATGCATGTTGTGTATTTTCATAATGCAGGGACATATTACTGGCTTGGGGTATATCACAGATCAAACCCAGCCTAGTGATGTCAACAAGATGCAGTGGCGTACAACTTCTGGGCTACTTTGGCCATAAGAGAAATCTGGCCAGAAGGTGAACGTGATGACGGGCTGGTCTATGGTGGAAAGGCTGAAAATGGAGAAGAGCCGCTCCCAAGAAGAGAGGACTAAAGAGCAAGATGGTGGGGATCGTAGCACCGAATCTGAGGAATGGACAAGCTCTGAGAGTGAACCTGAGCAGCCTGGCTTCAGGAATAGCTGCAGCAAGGCACAGTTGAGGGATAAAGAGATTTCCCACAAACCACATCGACAACTTTGCCGCTCTCCTTGCTTGGATCGTCCGAGTTTTTCACAGAGTAGCCTCCTTCAGGATTTGAAACCGGAAGAGAATAAAGCAAACTTGAGTCAAGAATATCAATCTAAACTTGATTTTGCTTTGAAACTGGGGTATCCTGAAGATCAGATTCAAGCTGTGTTGAACAAGCTGGGGGCAGATGCTCTTACCAATGACATTTTGGCTGAGCTTGTGAGACTTGGAAACAAGGTTGAGAATGAAGGACAAGCAAGTAGTGGAAATGCCACTGGTCCTGCAGGTACAAAGGAGGTTGCTAGTCCTGAGCTGTCTCTGGAAGATGAGGTGGTAGACAGCTCTGACAACTTGAGGCCAATCGTTATTGATGGAAGTAATGTGGCAATGAGGTACTTTAGTAGTAATAGAATACTTCTAAGAAATGCACTAATTATGCTGCATATGTATTTGTTTGTTTTATTTCATATACACACTCTGCTTTTCTGTTATTAAAAACAACATCCAATTAAAAATGATAGCATAATAGATTTTAAAAGGCAGCACCTGTAACTCAACTGAGATAGCCCTTTTAATCAACCATGGGAGCTCAAAGACCTATTGAAGAAGATGAGCCTTAAGTCTACACACTTGTATTTAAAAACTAAAAATTGAGCTGTTTAATATATTTTTAGGGCTATAGTCCTGTATATGTTTCTCTGAGAGAATTCAGTGGGGCTCCATCTGAGTAGACATACATAGGACTGTACTGTTCATCTTGTACAGTGTATCACAGAATAGAAAATCTTTCCTTTTACTTGAGTAATTAAAGTCCAATGGAATTTAAAGGCCTATTCTTATAGGTAAGAATGGAATCACTTTAGTAAATTCTCAAGGCATTATTCACTCTCTGAAATACATGTCTGAAAAGCAGTTTAAAATTTACAGACAATTTGCTGAGCACAAGAGTTGTAGCAGGGGTGGTTACAACCCATTGAAATAAAATTGTGTCTTTCTAAAGTGGGTACTAAACTTCCAGAAAAGGTTTCTTTCCCTCTATAAGTCTGCTTAATGCTATTTGCTAAACTACATTTTAGTCCCATCCATATTCCAAAGAGCTCAGGGTGGTGTACATAGTCTGATGTGAGGTAGGTTAACCTGAGAGATAGTGAATGGCTTTAACTGAGATTTTCCTAGTCTTAGTCCAACACTCTGCCCCACTACATAACACTAGTCTCTCTGGCTTTATGTATTTTAGAAAAAAACAAATCTCATTGCAGTACTTATGACCAGTACTTGCTAAACTAACTTGTTCTGTTTTTCAGTCATGGCAATAAAGAAGCATTTTCCTGTCGGGGGATTCAGTTAGCTGTCGACTGGTTTCTGGAGAAAGGTCATAAAGATATTACAGTGTTTGTGCCTACATGGAGGAAAGAGCAATCTCGACCAGATGCACCAATTACAGGTGGCAAATCAAACATACATTTGTTTTCTTCAATTGCCATTACTAGGACGAGGATAATTACTGTGCTAGACACTGGCTTTTCTTGGAATGGGGCCAAGGACCTGAATCAGAGCATTTTCTGTATGCACATGCATGGAAGTTGCTCATATTCTAAGCCACTAGATTGTTATTTTTTCTTAATTTTTTTACACTTCATACTTTAAATCCGTGCTGCACATAAGCCTGCAATAGTTACTAGCCTGCAGAAGTGTTAACAATCCTTCTGAGGGATGACAAAGGAGCAAAAGTCTATGGCATTTCTGTGCTGGGAGTAGAGGAGTAGCCTACTTAGTTTCTGTTCTGGGCATGGATGGGAGGGCTTGAGTGCTCCATTCCTCCTCTGCAATTCCACTTCACCTGCATGCATTTTCCCCTCACCTGTGTCTGCAAGGTCTTTCCATACAAGGCAGTGTTAGAGTTTTTTGTTGCATAGACTGAACCATAATATAAAATGTCATGGTGTATAAACTGAAGCAAGCTTAACTGTGAGATTATTCCCCAGAAGGGAGACTCTTCAGCCTTGTGCCCCAAGGTGTTGCTGGAGTAAAACTCCCATCATGTCCAGCCATCTCAACCAATGACTAGGAATGATGTGAGTTGCAGTCCAAAAATATCTGGGCACCCAAGATTGAAGTCCACTGTTACAGAGCAAAGCACTGGCACACCAACTTTTATGCTCTTGGGGAGTGTGCAAACACTTCTTCTTGTACAATTCTTGAAGAATATCTCAGATACTGAGATAAACATAGAGAGCAAGCATACTTCTATATAAGGGACTTTGCTATTAACAGTTTCTTATATAACCCTGGTTTTTCAGATCAAGATATTTTACACAAACTGGAAAAGGAAAAAATTCTTGTTTTCACCCCATCTCGAAGAGTTCAAGGGAGACGGGTTGTCTGTTATGATGACCGTTTCATAGTGAAACTGGCGTGTGAGTCTGATGGCATCATTGTGTCAAATGACAATTACCGTGACCTTCAAAATGAAAAGCCAGAATGGAAGAAATTTGTAGAGGAACGGCTTCTGATGTATTCTTTTGTGAATGATAAGTAGGTTTCTTTATTTACAAGTAGAATAGTAATGCTTAATGTTTATCTGGTGAGATTTGAGTATTTGACTTTGTCTACATTTTCATAGATCGTTAAACAGAAGCTGCCTGGTAGGGCAATGTAAGACCATTAGTGACTCCCTTTTGTTATTCTCTTTTAAACTAGAATGCCACACACCTATTTCATTTTTCTGCACAGAGAAGGGACTCCAGTCCCCTATTGATTTCGATTGGCCTTTCTCCACTGGTTCCTACTCTACAGTTTCCTTTTTGAGATGGGGTGGGGGGAGCTGATAGAGATTAGCTTGCCTTCAGGCACCTGCCAAGCTCATAGCTATGACCAGGTTCAGACTGGGTATTTCCCAGCCCATTCCTAACCATTGTATTGTTACCAGTCTACCGTGTCAGGTAAATTTAATACTAGCAGGTGAAACTGGTCTCTTGGTTTTTCCAGGTTTATGCCACCAGACGACCCATTAGGACGCCATGGCCCCAGCCTTGAAAATTTCTTAAGGAAAAGGCCTGTTGTTCCTGAACACAAAAAGCAACCTTGTCCTTACGGTGAGTGTGTCACACTTGACTATTTCGGGAGTCAGAATAATAAAATTAGTAACCTTGATAAAAAGCAAAAAATCATAGTGGGTCGTCTGAGGTGTTTTCTGTATTGGAAACCATGTAAGAAGCCTGAGTAGGACAGAAAGGCGTAGCATGCTTCTAGAAGTGTGGGGAAATCAGATTTTGTTTGGGTCTGCTGAGTGCACTGCTGAGTTGTTTTTTTTAAAAAAAGCTTTCATGGTTAAACCAAAGACATGGTATTAAGTAGGTAACTGGCTCTTGCTTGCTTGATCTTGGCATTGCGTACGTGTGGCTGGGAGCAGGGTGGGGAGGAAAGAGGAGGACTCAGAGAGGGACTGCAGTTTGGGCAAAGAGTTAAATTTCCTCTTACCTCTATGCCACATGTGACCCAGAACCATCCTTCCCTTCTCTTGCAGTTTCAGAAACTAAGAATGGAAGGGCCAATCATGTGTTTAATGTCACATCTTGGCTCTGTTATTTAGAGCAGTGGCTCCCAATCCGTAGACCACAATCACATAATGAAAACTACCATAGATGTATCAACATTTTCAAAAGTAGGGGGCCTATGGCTTGGCTTTTGCAGTACTTAGCTAATTGTGAACCACTGATTTAGAGGGATGTTTACATGCATTAGCATTTCTGGGGAAAGTCTGGAAGAAAATACAGCTGGAACTTAATTCGGTGTTTGGAAATATTTTCAAAGGTCTCCTGTGCTCAAAAAGTCATTTAACTAATCGAGTATTAAGGCCACAGAGAGTCAATTAACAGCTGTAAACCACCCCTGATTTTTTTTTTTTTTTGAAGGGCAGTATTCGTTAAATAAAGTTTTAAAACCCAGTTAGATATTTGACAATTAAACCTTTCCCTCCCCTTGTTCATTTTCAAGCTCCCAGCACATCCACAGTCAGCAGATCCATTCTGTTAAATTCCTAATGAGTAACACTATGTGGTCTTGGCTGAGAGACTTTTACTGCACAGTCTACACAGTCTAATGTGCATGTCTACTCAAAAGCAAGTCCCACTGAGTTCAATGGCAATTACTCCCTGTTGTGCATAGACCTGTAGCCTAAGGGAGTTACATATTCACATTTGCATTTCACTTTCATAACACCTTTGTGTCAAAAGTTAAGCAGAGAAATGGTGACCTAAAGGCACATCATGTGCACGTTTTAAAATATGATAATGCATGAAGCTGACTGTTTAAAAATAAAATCAGGCATCATGTGGTAGATCTTGGAGAGTTGCTGCCAATCATAGCAGACAGTGTTAGGCTTGATAGATTAATGGCCCTAATCTGTATATGGCGATTCCCTGTGCTTCTATGAGTGGGAATTTAAACCTGAGTCTTTATTAGACTCACACCAGTACCTGCTCTTGCTACCTTCAGGGAGGTTTATATCACTTAAGTAAGATAAATAGATACAGTGACTGGATTGTAGAACATATATAGCACATATTTGGGTCTGCTAACAAAGGAAATGTGATGGCTGTTAATAGTTCATTCTAGCATTGACTGTTACAATGCATTTAAAGGACCTTGGGTTGTATCCATCTATGTCATGTTCCAAATTGACTTATTGAAATCAGTGAACAAGTTAAGAATTGTATCCAACTAAGTTTTATTCATAGTAGATGCACTGAAATTAATGGACCCAAATTAATCATTTTCATTAATTACAATGGCTTACTTTGACCAGGGCTAGGTAGCATTGGCTATAACCCTTACTCATTACCAACTTGAGTCCATTGAGTTCAGTGGTTCTAGTCCAGGCATTCCCAAACTCGGCCTTCCAGCTGTTTTGGGACTACAATTCCCATTATCCCTGACCACTGGTCCTGTTATCTAGGAATGATGGGAGTTGTAGTCCCAAAACAGCTGGAGGGCCGAGTTTGGGGATGCCTGCGCTAGTCTAAGTATGACTCTGACACAACCTCCTGTGCTTAGCTAGATATTGCTTTCAAAGACCATGCCTAATATGGGAGATTTTTCCCCAACAGGGAAGAAATGCACCTATGGACACAAGTGTAAATATTACCACCCGGAACGAGCAAACCAGCCTCTGAGATCCGTAGCTGATGAGCTTCGCATCAGTGCCAAATTATCCGCTGTGAAAACGATGAGTGAAGGAGCACTGGCTAAATGTGGCACAGGAGCAGCCCTTTCCAAAGGGGAAATAACTTCAGAAGTGAAGCGCATTGCTCCCAAACGTCAGTCAGATCCAAGCATTCGGTCTGTTCCTGTGGAACCCGAAGATAGACTTTCAATGGTGCGGAAGTCTGAGGCTAATTCTGTCCCCTCCCTTGTTTCAGCATTAAGCGTCCCAACCATTCCACCTTCCAAAAGTCACGCTGTTGGGGCATTAAATACCCGGTCAGCAAGCAGCCCTGTACCTGGTTCATCTCAATTCACACATCAGAAATCCTCACTAGAACACATGGCCAGTGTACAATATCCTCCAATCCTGGTCACTAATAGCCACGGCTCTTCAATGAACTATGCAGATCAGTACCCAAAGTATGAGTCTTTGGGGGACCATGGCTATTATTCAATGCTCAGTGACTTCTCCAATTTGAGTATTAGTAGCATGCATAGCACAGATTACTATGGGGCTGATGTAGACCAAAGTTTATACTCAAGAAATTCAAGCCCCTGTCCAGACAGTTGCTTAAGCCATACAAGCAATGATTCGTACTCCTCATATACAGACTTGTATATGGGTCTGGGAGATGGGAGCCCAGAAGACAGTGTGAAGGTTCACCGACTCCCACCTCAAAGCCGCCTTCAGCCTTTCTCCCATGGTTATCATGAGTCCTTAACAAGAGTTCAGAGCTATAGCCCTGAAGGGTCTAAACATATTCACAAGCATTCACTTTCCCATTTAGCACTGCACATCCAACACCCAGTTGTTGGGGCTAGGTCCAGTTGCCCAGGGGACTACCCTGTGCCTCCAAATGTTCACCCATCAGCCACTACCCAGCCAAGTCGTGCCCTTGTTATGACGAGAATGGATAGCGTTTCTGATTCGCGTCTTTATGAAAGCAATCCCACACGACAAAAAAGGCCACCGCTCTGTCGAGAGCAGCATGCCAGTTGGGATCCATTGCCATGTCCGACCGATACCTACCCTTACCATCCCTACCCACTGAGCAACAACCTCATGCAACCATCTTATGAGCCTGTAATGGTGAGAAGTGTGCCAGAGAAGATGGAGCAGATCTGGAGGAATCCTTGGGTTGGAATCTGTGGTGACCCACAAGAACCACACATAATCCCAGAGCATCAGTATCAAACCTATAAGAATCTCTGTAATATTTTTCCAGCTAGCGTTGTCCTCTCGGTGATGGAGAAGAATCCCCACATGACAGACGCACAACAGTTGGCAGCTATGATTGTTGCCAAATTGAGAACAGGACGTTAAAAAAGATCCTTCATTTTGAATTTCTAAAGCTAAATAATTGAAAATTCTGTACGTTCTGGAGATCTCTAAAAATGACAGGTGATATGCTCTGTTTGTTAATAGGTTTTAATTGCAGTATACAATTCTGTATATTATTGTAGTGATTATATTTAAAATATGCATGAAGCATTTTGAAAAAGCAGATTGTATAATAAATATGAGTATTTAATGATTTTTAAAGCAGGGATTTTTGAAAAAGGCATTTTACAGGAAGTGCATACCTTATGCATGGATGTATCATTTATTGAATCTAAAAAGGTCATATGTTGGTATGTCCAAAACAGGTCCTTCAAAACAGCAATTATATTGCATGACTCATTGTATAGTCTTCAGTATTAACTGACATATGTTGCTCCAACATAACATTGGGTTTTTACAATAAACTGTGCACTTGGACATCCTCACAAGCAGAAGCCTGCTCTTCTTAAATATCCTTCACAGAACTACAATAAAACAAGCCCAGTCAGTTGACATGCCTTGTGTTTCACAGAGGGCTTTTGCACCTATCTAGTGGCTCCAGCATGAGGCGGCTTTTGTGGGGAGGCTTAGTTTTCTGGGGAATACACTTTTTGTGCAGTGGAAATACCTTTTTGCACATGAGGAGCATTGCCCAACCTTGAAGGGAATGGGGCTGGGAAGCAGTGAATGTTTCTCTTGGACCTTCTAGATAGCTTGAGCTTCTGCCCTTTGGGAAAAAGAACATGGCCGGCTTGCAAACATGTTAATAATTCTCAGCTAAACACTGTTGTAATCTTTGCACTGTTACCATAGGCGTGTACAACACATTTCATTAGGGTGTGCACCCAGGGATTTTAAGTTTTAAGGTGAACATTTCTTGAATATATACTCATACTCAGTCACAAAGGACAGTATTTTTATCTATCAAATTAACTAAGGAAACTAAAACTTAATTAAACTTACTTTTTAAAATTAACAACTAAACCTTCCTTTAAATATGCAAACATAGAAAATGAGGCACAAAATACCAAATCTGTGGTGTAGTGATTACCAAGTGTATACAAAATACAGTCAGTTTTCATGATCTGTATGAGCTAACCCAAATTGACCAAAGCAGATTAAGATTTTTTCATGTTCCTGTTGTGTAGAATGGGATGTTGCCCACCAGATGTGAGTAACAGGTGGTGAGTGGAGCTCTGACAGAGACAGAGCTATGAAACAGAAACAGATACAAACTGAAAGAAAAGGCTGGAATGGATATGCAACTTCTTGTCCACTTCTAGAGACAAACACAGGCAGACGCTGCCTATACATTCCAGTTTTATTCCAGCCTTTTAATCCTGCCTGTGACTCCCTATCTGCTTCCCTACTCTCCTCTCTTGCACCTTTGTCTTTCCCTGCCCCACTGCTTCCCCAATGGCAGCTGAGGGAGCTGGGTTGCCACTCTACACTCTATCCTCATCACAATCCAGTTTTTTTTTTTTTTAAAGGTTCTGCTAAGCACACCAGCATGCCCTATGTGCACGCCTATGGCTTTTACAGATCGTTACAATTGGCATTTCTAGCCTTTTCAGTACAGTCCAGAAGGCAGAGAAGTTGTAGCATCTGCAATCTGAATTCTGCTTTCCTGTTCTTGTGCGTTGACCAAAGATATGCCGAGAACGTGTGCTGGAGGATGCCAATGAACAAATATGCAAAGTAGTTTTAAAAATCCAGTTCATTTTTATTAGTGTTGGACAGCAGGCTAGTTTTTAAATGGGTGCTCTAGAATTGGGTTTACTGCAAACTTGCTTCAGTTTTGCACTTTGAAATCCATGCAAAGGTGAGCATTTGCTTCCTGGAACTCCCTGTTTGACAGGCCAGAATCATCATTCTATGGGTGGCAATGTTTGCACAATGAGTATCCTTTGCTCCAGGGTGGGCAATTTAGTAGCTAAATGTCTCCCATAAGAGGCATTTATGGCGGTGGTGGCTCTTTTGTTTTCTTTTTTAAGGCTGCACTGACTGGACACCCTTTTTAAATCCAAATGTGTATTTCAACATTTTGAACCACTACTAACTCGATATGTCTCGAGCTAGGACTTGTTGACTTCTACTGTAGTTTTTTTTCATGAAAGTCGAGAAGGCCTGGTTTCTGGCCTTTTGTTTCTTCATGAGAAGGTGTGACACTGCCTAAATGTTTCTTACTATGAAACACACGGAATGTGAGGCTGCAGTCAGGGTTGTTTCTGGTGTTTTGATAATGGCTTGCAAGCTGCTTTTGGGTTATTTGTTGATCCCAGTCTAAAAAAACCCAAAGGAAACCCCAAGCCCTCTACTTGATTGATTGCACTAATCCTACAATGGCTGCTGGTGGCCCATTTCTGTTTTGTGTTGAGTACACTTCAAGAGGGATTTGCTTGCATTAAGTTGGACAGCTCAACAGGTGGTAACAATTCTGTCACATGCTGATCCAGTCTGTTTGCCTACAACCACACAGGGTCCAGAGTGTTTGTGCTCAGCATGGGCCAGGCAGTGCCTATAGCAGCATGCAGCACAATGGTGGCAAAAGGGTGGGCAAGGAAACTTGGCTATCTTGCTGTGCTCCTGCTTGAGTGCACAACTGAAGACCCAAGACTGTTGGTAGGTGCTGTCTTGACACATTCTTCTAGATGAAGTACAAGATGAGGATATTGGTTTACCTACAGTATCTTTGTAATCTCAAGGTCCCCTGCCTTCATGATGTCATAATCGGTTTTCAAAAAGTGGTGCGAGTTCAAATGCTGAGCTCAAAGCGAGTAACAATAATCACAGTAGCATTAAAAAACATGAAACATTGCAGTCTATATTATATCAAATGCAGTTGCATGCAGGTAAAGGAAACAACAAAATCATACTAATTGAAACAATTACTACTATTCAATAGTAATTCAAAATACAGGAAAGAGTGGCTGACCACCAGCCCTGTGCCAGATGGCATTCTTTGGGAAGGGGCTGTTTCTTCACTCAGTGCAGGTAGCACACTCCCGGGCATTTATTTTCAAGTGTTAGAATACCTGGGGGTCTAATGATGAAACCCAAAAGTTGCTGTTTTTTCCAGGTAGCTACAGAAAATTGTTGCTGAAGAACTAGAGGCAAACAGGTGGTTTGTCATGGTCGCAGGTTGGGTTTCAGCAGGAGGCTGAATCTGCATTAGAACAGAATGGCACACACCATGTTGGCTTGCGGTTATGTGGGCTTGTCTCCAGAACATCAATTGTCCTCTCTCATCTTTTAAAAGCAAACAGCAGAAATGCAGATCAGCCCTGTAGCTTTAATCTGTGCACCAACACAACCCTTACAGATAACTGCATTTAAATCTGGAAAACATCTTTTTAAAAAAAATAAAAATAAAAATTGGCCAGCTTTTGTCAGAATGGGATTCCTTTATTGTTGCATTTATTTTATACTTCCTTCTCTTGTGTGGTGTAAAAGCAGCTGAGAGCAACGCCTCAAATATCCAGAAACGACCTTTTGTTTGTTGATACAAATTGTATCTTTCTTGATTGTATAAAAAAAAAATGTACAAAAGCCATCTCTAGATTAGCTTAAATATTGTATTTTCATCACTATGTTTGTGGCACTGTGTGTCACAGGGGAGTAGCCCATCACAGATTATGAACCTTTTTATTTAAAATGGGCACTTAACAATTTATAGAAAAAACAAAGGTAACTTTTCAAATCCACTTTATTACTATAATGTGCACAGCTAGTGTGTGTGTTTAAGAACACTACTCTGCATAAGTTATATTAAGTCTATTTATTAAATGAATGCATTCCTGCAATTGATATTTTTTGTAAAGCATCAGTGTTAATAATATTGATGTTAATATTTATACAGTTACAGTAAAATTGCTGTACATCCTGCTTTTGTTCTTAACAAAATAACTATTGTATGATTTAGGTTCAATAAGGAATTTTGTGTGCTCACAATTTCTTGCATGGAAATCAGTTTCTGTATGTATAAAAATGGATGTTCTCCATTTTATTCCTATGTTAAGGCAAACTTGCAGGGGATTTTGGAAGAGTCTTTTTAGCAAACCTACTCTTAGGCTGAAATTACCTTGAGAGCTTTTATTGGGATCTAAAATATTTTACTGTTTCCGTCAGTAAATGTTTTTTGTTTGTGTGTGTGTGTCAGGGGGTTTATATATTGTTTTGTTCTGTATTGAAAAACATTTCAAGCCTTTTTTGAATGCTTTCTTGGGAAGAAATATTGCTGTGAAGATGAAGTAGTTTACTGTAACACTGCTTTTCCTAAACAATGATTCCCACATTTTTCTGTTGTACAAGGAAGAAGAGGTGGATGAAAATTTTGAAGCAGTATGCAAATCTTTTGCCTGTCAATTATCTTTCATCAGTGAAACTTTTTTATATATGTTTCCTTTATGCCTTGATCCACTTCTCTTTTCTCTTTCTCTCTTGGGAGACTTTTCCCATGCCAGTTCAAAACTGACATTTCACTGCCTTCATCTCTTATTGCAGAATTTCTTCTAAAAGTAGAAGGGATAGTATAAAAACAAGTCACAGTCGCCTACATTGTAAATATAAGACTTTACTTTAAAATGCTCTTTTTGAGAGTAAAGTATTTAATTTTTTTAAATTGTGTACCAAATAACTACAGAATATGTATCTATATATAAATTTAAAATAGCCCAGGTAACAGCAATCTTTCACTTGTAAAATATTTTAATTTTATCTTAATTTATTATTGAAGAGTAGTTAATGTTCAGTTAGGCAACTGAGTTGTGTCTGAAAAACCCAAAATGTAGGTTGGGAAGCAATCTTAAGTAATTTTGTAAATATTAAATGTTGTTCTGTGTTTTTGCTTGTACACACATATTTGACTACTATTAATCCTATTGTACTATTGAGCTGCAGTATTTTGCTTTTCTTAATTTGTAGAACTAAACATAACTGTTTAATTGTTGTAAAAATTTATAAAATCTCTTTGGGTTTTTTTGTTGACCCAAATATAATGTAAGTCTCAATGACAAAGAGTGAAGATAGACTTTACAGCCCATTGCCCTGATCCAGCAAGAGCAATGCAAACAGGGAAGCTGGCTTCCACATGTGCAACAGAGGCAGGTGGTACATCATGATAGCAATCTAGACTCCATTGAATTAGTTGGATGTGCTGTTTTATGCCGAAGAGAATGCACATCCCCATGTCGGGGCAGTGCAGCTACAGCTGGGTCAGGGCCAGCATGTGGTGTCTGTAATCAGTGTAATATTTTGTGCAATGTTTTTCTATACAGCTGCATGTTTCAGGCATCCACTGGCATGGGCATGTGTGTAAGTTTTGTAAAAAGTTTTTTATATATATAAATATTAAATGGCTGAGATAATCGCCAAAGCAACATCTTGCAGGGGACAGAAAACATGCTTTCCCTTTAAAATGTGAAAATCAATGCTTACACAACAGTGGCCCTGTTTTCATGTAACTGCAAGCCAAAACAAGAATGAGCAAGCGTGCGGGTACCAGAGTGAAAATCTGGTCTTTCTGCTGATGTGCTACCTGGAGCCAACCTTACCTGGAGCTAAGCCATAAGTATGTTGGATGTGGGTCTGAACTTTGTGGCCTGTCTTCCCCCAACAAACCATGAGTGGTAAAGAAAGAACATACCTTATATGTTGGGAGCAAGACAAACCACATGTAACACTAAGCCAAACTGTGCCTTAGCTCTGGGTATTGTAGCAGAAGAATAGGCAGAGTGAAACGGTTGCGATTTTCACTATGGGTATCTGCTGCTTGCGGAGCCATAGTTTGGCTTAGTGTTAACTATGAACTGGGCCTCTTAAGAATTGTTTTCTTGCAATTCAGTTGTAGACATTTCTCTGCAATACTTAACCAATGAAGTACTGTAGTGACTTTCCACAGGGCCTGATGCCACTCAGCAGCTTCATAGTACCAATGAAAAAACAGCCTTTTTTCACTAGAGTGGATTCCTTAAGAGGTGTATGGTGTCAGGGCAAGACAAGACAGTGGCACAAATTTGAACCCATACTTGTAGGGTTCACTACAGAGAAGTCATTAGTGCCAAGTTAGTCACTTGGATAAATAATCTGTGAAGTGTTGCTATATTTTGATCTGCCAAATAGCTTACAAGCATCACACATACAGGATTTCTAAATGTTTTTGTGTTCAGCATTACAAAAAATGTTAGAAATCTTGCCAGAAATTGTAGTCAATCAACCACTGCTGATGAGTCACCATGTTAGCGTAACTTTAATAGGAGCTTTACAGAGTCCACTGAAATAAGTGGATATTCAGCAACAGAAATAAGTGGATATTCAGCAATCACCAAGTTTGTGACTTTGAGGATCTTTTAATTTTCTGTGACAGGGCTGCAATGTATATGCGCATGTGCACACTAGTACAAATGTCACTGTCATTTCATGCTCAAAGAATGCAAGCACCCATTTATTTATGAAACAGCTTAATAGTCGCTTCCAGCTTGCTTGGATTTTGACCTTTAATTTTCTGGTGAGTGGTGTGGGCAGCAAATATTTCTGTTTAAATGCATCTCAAAGGTGGTTATGGTGGGGGCGGAAGGGATCCTTGTTTTCTCCACTCCACCCCATTAGCAGGTTTTGTGTAGATGTTTTGTATCTAGGCATTTATATTAATGTATTCAATAAACTGAGTCACTTGGTCAGTACCTCACAAGTCTCTTGTGCATTTCTTTTTGTGGCCAATACCCGCCAGTCTAAATCTTGCAAATTTGAAGTTGTATTGCCTTAAGCCATAGGTCTTAAACCAGTGGTTCAGGACCTACGCGCCAATCTCTCAGCTAGGCCTGGAGGATGCAACCTTTTATTCTCTTTCCTTTTGTGAGATTTTCCTCCCCATTTTGTCCCAGCCCAGCCTTGCCTCCCCACCCACTGCTGGAAACATGCTGCCTGGCCTTGGAAGAGGATTTTCATCCTATTTCAGCAGCCTTGCCTCCCCACCCACTGCTGGAAACATGCTGCCTGGCCTTGGAAGAGGATTTTCATCTGATTTCAGCTGCCTCACTGATCTTCACAAGACAGTGGGTTGTGGCAGGAGGCCTATAAACCATAGAAACGAGGAGCTTGAATTACTGCTGGTGGGGTAATCAGTGAGTGAATCCAGTAGCATCCAATTCTAGAGTAAGCCTTGTAACGTGATGGTTTATTCACTAATAAAGGCTGCTACTCTACTGTACATTTGATTTGGAATAGAGGGGTTGGGCAGGAAGAAAAGGTGGGAATCCCAGTTGAATTGAATGGGTTCATTCATGCATTAAGTCTACTGAGAGTCCAGTCCCCTTGAATGTTTTATATCTCCCTGTCTCTCATCCATCCAAGTTTGGATCGGATTTCTATTGCTTTGCTGTATGGGTTAAATTCTCTGAAGAAATATAATTTGGGAATAAGAATTCATGGGTTTACTAGGGTAGGGCTTATCTTTTTCCTTCCTCCCCAGGTAAATGTATGCTGATAGGATTGTGAGCAATTTCAGAGCCTGATCCTTTGGGATAGTTTACCCAGGTTTAACCTTCATGTGCTTCCTCCTCGAGAGGTCCAGAGGGTGGCAACATAACGGGCCTCCTCTGCAATGGCTCCTTGTCTGTGGAATGCTCTCCCCAGGGAAATTTGCCTGGTGCCTTCATTATACACCTTTAGGCGCCGGGCAAAAATGTTCCTTTTATTGGGGGGTGTTATTCGGTGGTTTTTATTTTGATTATACATATTGTGGTTTTTATGTTGAGCTTTTCTGTGCCCGCCCTGAGACCTCCGGGTATGGTGTGGTATATAAATTCAATAAATAATAAAAGAATAATAACCATGGATGGGGCTTAGGATTGCCATGCGTTTCCTCAATAACACCAGAGGGTTATTGCAGTTTTTCACCCAAATCTGAAATGGCAATCCTAATCCAATTTACTTGGGAGCACACTCCGCTGAATAAGTAGGACTTTCTTCTGAGTTGGCATGGGTAGGGATGCACTGGAGTGCTTGCTTACAGAATGAATAGTCTCAGTCAGTCTCAGTCAGTTTTATTGCACATAGCCAAAGGCTGCCGCAATGTACACAGAATTATTTGACAATTAAAAGAAAATATACTGAATTGATAAAAAAATGACTTAAAACATTTATATTATTAAAACATTACGTACTCTAAACAAAGCTATAAAAGTACCCCAATGTACAAATAAAAACATTAAGCAATAAAATTCATAAGCTTCCCATAAATGCTTATTCAGAAGCAAGGTCCATTCATTTAAATGAAGCTGGCTCCAAATTAAGTGGGTTTAGAATAGCAGCAAACAATTGCAGACTATGTTAGGTTCTGAGGGTACTAAAGCTACTACCAATTTTTCCCTCTACCATTTGAGTTCAGGAAAGTTGACACAAGAAGAGGACAGATGGACAGGTGATTGTGAGAGAGGTGAGATTGTGAGATGCTGGTGTGAAAGTGGGTCCCATGTTCCTGTTTGGGAGTCAGAGGTGGGTCTGGGGTCTGGACTGATTGAGGACCATTGCTTTAAGTGAACTTAGTAAATGCTGCAACCAAGCACTGTTCATATCTCTGAACTGCATATCAAACTTCATGCTCAAAAAGAAACATTAACAGGCAAAAAAAAGGGACTGAATAGTATTTTTATTAGAATGCCAAACATGCTTATAAAGAGTGAGGGGCTCTGCTATGCACATAGTCAGTGCTATTTTTCTAGAAGTGGCGCTCACCTGAGAGGTGCCGCAACAGTTCTGGCTGGAAAAAAGCCTTGCACATAGCAGTAAATGTACACATCATTTATACACCACCTACTTGATCTCAATGGGTAGGAAGTTCTAAAGTGTAGGTGCCACCACACTAGATGATTGAGTTCTTACAAATGTGGAATGTGTATGTATGTGACACTTGCAGTACTGCCAATTCCGCACACTATATTCTTCTGCACCACCAGCACATCATCCACTTGTTAGAATAGTTGAAGGTCATTTTTTATCTTATGGAGATCGCTCTGGGTCCATAATAATCCCTCAGCAGCAGAGCCACCCCATTCTGAAGAGCTGTAGCAGGGGAGAAAACAGCTTTAAAAACAAATTTTATAAGCAAAAGGAACACAAACACATACCTTACTTTTTTGTGTATAAGGCAAGGTTTTTTATTGTAAAATAAGGTTTAAAAACTGGGGGTGTCTTGTACACGGGTAGTGGGTACAAATCCCATCATCCCTAGCTAGCAGGACCATTGGTCAGGGGTGAGTTGGGGACCCAAGCTTGAGAAACACTGGACTAATCTATTGAACTCAACTTAAGCTATACTAGTGAAGAGTGTTTCACAACTATAATCACCTTTGCCCTATCCCAGGATTAAATAATGGTTACTTCTGAATGTAAATTCCACATTGCACACACAGAAAACTGCCCAACAGCTGTTTTGTCCTCTGGAGGAAAGAAGGAATTCCCCTAACAAAATGCAAATACAACCAGCAAGGGACCTGCCAGTGCCAGAGCAGAAACTGATATTTTAACAGAACCATCCTTGGTTAAAAAGTAAATACAGCAGAAGGTGCTTCCAGACAAGTTGTTTATTCAGCGTTCATGCAGATCTGTTTGGCTATATTAAGAACATTTATTTTGGATTGTTTTCAAGGGAGCTAGATGATTCTGTAACAGAAAAAACTGTTATCCCACACATTCCAGAGCATTTCCCAATCACCTTCCTTACTGCATGAAGTCAGATCTTTTGGGGAAGTGTGTTTGCTGCGTAAGACTTCCAAATCAACTATACTTTTGCAAGCTGAATTCATCAAGATGTGATTTAATCTCTCCTGGACACAGTGACAGCCTGGGAACACCCTGTGTTCAGCAGGATTTGCCTTCCCTGCTTCTTTACCATCAAATTCGCAAAGTGGTCAACAGCATGTGCAAACCACAATGAAAAGTCCAGATACAGCTCCTAAAATTAATTGGCCACTGTGAGGTAAGGTTGGGGTATGCACCTAAATATTGGGGTAAGTATCTCAGGTGTTCCACACCCAAGATGCTTAGAGCTGGTGAACCTGCTTAAGGCTATAGCCTCAAGACACATGCCTGCTTCATGCCTGCTGTGGTTTCTAATATCTAACCCCATCAGGCCACATGTGTGTTTTCAGCAAGTAGGAACAAGAAAAGGTTGAAAAGCACCTACAAATTTCCCTAAAGCCAGATATGGTAAAGAATTCCCCTAATGCTAGAGTCAAGAGCCAATCTCATGTTCAAGCTTCTGCATAATCATAGATAAATGAGAGCCTTGGAGAAAAGGTGGAATAAAAAGGTAGCAAAATAAAACAGGCTTGCCCATGTCTCAACATGGCTTGCCAAGTAACGCAAATGATTTACCGTATTTTTCGCTCCATAGGACGCACCTAGTTTTCAGAGGGGGAAATCAAGGGGGGAAATATGATCCCCCCCCCCCAGCTCTGGGAGCAGCGGACAGGCTGCGCGCAGCCTGTGCGCTTCTCCCAGACCTCCTCCCTGCTTTTGTGGGAGGTGGGGGAATTCCCCCACCTCCCACAGGAGCCGCGCGCTGCTCCTACGGGCTTTTCGACCAGGAGGGAGAAGGGACTGATGCAGCTAGTCAGTCCCTTGTCCCTCCTCGGGGAAAAGCCCCCAAGAGCTTTTTAAAGGGTGTGTGGCTCCTGCGGGCTTTTCTACGCGGTGGGGGAATTCCCCCATCTCCTGCAAAAGCCCACAGGAGCCGCGCACCCTTTAAGGAGCGCGGCTCCTGCAGGCTTTTCGACCAGGAGGGAGAAGGGACTGACACAGCCAGTCAGTCCCTTCTCCCTCCTCGGGGAAAAGCTTCAAAGACCAGGTGCTTTCCCCCACCGCCAGCCTCAAAGATCAGGTTGGGGAGCAGCGCGAAGGAGGCGCGCCGCCTTCCCGCTGCCCCCCAAGCTTGTGGGGCTGGCGGTGGGGGGAAGCGCTGCATTCCCCCACCGCCAGCCCCAAAGACCAGACTCTCCAGGCTTCAGCAAAAGCAACGTGAAGCCTCCAGAGTGCGGAGGGAGCGCTCCTTCTGCACTTCGGAGGCTTCACGTTGCTATCGCTGAAGCCAAGGAGCCTGCATTCGCTCCATAGAACGCACACACATTTCCCCTTCATTTTTGGAGGGGAAAAAGTGCGTCCTATAGAGCGAAAAATATGGTAATACAAGATCTGCAGTGGGGCTGGTCTACATATGCAGCAGAGTAAGTCACCAGAATGCTGAGGTGGTAGAGTGGACCGTACCGCTTCAGACAGCTGATAAGGGACCTGCAGTTAAAGAAAAATCAAAACCAAGCATGCTAGGAAGTTGCTCCCCATTGTGCTAGCATTAGGGTAGCATTAAAAATTGTGAAGCTTGAAGTGTACAGTCCGTTCTCCCACACCTGAGAACTCTACCACCTCACTCTGTCTTATGCATAGATCAGGCTGTGGTGCAAAACTGAGGAGTGAACACTACAAGCAGAATCATGGTAGAAACAGAGGACAGGCTGCATCTCCACTATAAGATGAAACAAGGTTCAGTTGGAAATAGCATACTGAGGCTCAGGATGGCAGAATAAAATGCTTGTCACAGCTGGAATGTTTCCACCTCATCACTTTCAGGGATGGGACTGGACATTTTAGTTGAGGGCTGTAGTTCAGTGGCAGCACATCTGCTTTGCATGCAAAGCACCCCAGGTTCAATTCCTGGTATCTCCAGATAAGCTACGAATGTACCGTGTCTGAAACTCTGGAGAGCCACGACTAGCAGCCTGACTCGGGATAAAGATAGTTTCCTATGTTGTAAAATGCAGAGAACTAATAATGCTAGACAGCAGATAAAGATGGATAGGCTCTGCAGAAAGCAAACTATCTCAACCCCACAGGAGAGACCTCCATCTATGACAGAAAGGGAATGCTGCTGCCTAAGTGCTAGAATGAAGGCTGCTTCCTGCTGCAAGGCCCACTTCCACCTGGCCCACGGGGGTGGGGCCCACACTCACTTGAACAGCTAAGAGGCTCCTGGGAGGCGGAGGGACATTGCTGGAACAACTCTTGGGTTGGGGCAACTGGCTAAAATGTTTTGAACGGTTCTACTTTTGGTTCCTCTGTTTCATTTTTGTCGGGTTGGTGTTGGTTAAATGTTTAGTTGGAGTTGGTGGTTACTTTAATTTGGGTATAACTGCAAACTGTTTATTATTATTGTTATTGGTTTGTCACTTGTATAGGAAATTTTGTTTTTAATGTTTGATGTTTTGTTTTTTTATATACCCAGCCAGATGGGTGGGATATAAATTTTATATTATTATTATTATTATTATTATTATTATTATTATTATTAGTCTCAGTGAGCAGTGCCACTGAGGTAGTCACTTGCAGTCCAGCGTCATTGGGAGAGGCACTTGTCATAAACTGGACATCATGCTCTTTGAAATTAAAGCACAAAGATTTTTGCCCCTTTCTAGGGCCTGTGTGCCCCTTAAATCTGTTCTAGGGTTTTCCCCAACCCTGTGGAGACTGAGGGATGTCCCCTTGCAGAAATCCTTGCACAGACATGTTAGTTAGACAGCATCTGGGGCTTCTGCAACATCTCTTTGAGTAAGTTATAGCCCAGGTAAAGCAAGGCACTTTGTGGAAGTGAGGTTTCTGCCCATCCTCCAAGTTGCAGGCATCAACAGCTCTCTTCCATGGTGATTTATTTCAGAAATCAGCTGCTTCCTGTACATCATTTGAGCCCTTCCTTTTTTGCCCGCAAAAACAGTTGGGGGAAGACCCATCCTCCCCACCACACAGGGAGGTGCAAAGTCTGTGAGAAAAAGAAACAGAGGACCCAAGGTCCTTAAATTTCCCACTCAGTCCACAGGGGCTTAGTTCTTAAAAGAGACCTCATAACCAGAGTAACCTCTTTCCTTTCCCTTCCTCAAATAGACACATGCGACCACAAAATTCACACCTCATTGCTAAAGCAAGACCTCATGCTTCTCTTTTGCACTCTCACAGCAGCAGCAGCAGAAGCCTCAAACAGTGACGTAAATCAAACTTCAAGGTGGGGGAAAGAAAGGCGGAAAGAGAGAGCATCACATACCCTAAGAGGGATGGTGTTTTGAAATGGACTCAAGATAAAAACAAAGAACTCTTGTTAGTCAGTCTATGTTTAGAAACTGAATGGTGGAGGGGGGGTTTCTGCTACTTATGCAACTGAGGGATGACTGGAAGACAACAGAGAAGAATCTGTAGGTATGAAGAAAAAGGTCAGTGCTATTAACAAATGCATTTATGCTGGTTATGTCCAAACTGAAGCAGAGTCATTACTGCTCTTATAATATCCCTGCAAAGCAGGTCACTATTATTATCTTCATGTTGCTGATTGGGATGAAGGGACAGGGTGCTTTCATGGCAAAGGTGAAGTTCAATCCAGATGTTCTGCCACTCTTAGCTCCATTTCTTGGCCACTGTACTTAAGCCAACCCTGTGGTTATTATATCAGTTGTGGCAACTACCACAGAAGTGAATGCTTGGGTGTTGAGTATGCAGTCTGGTTGGAGATGTTCTGAGGCAGGGCCTTCTCAGGAGTGGTTCCCTGTTTGTGGAATCCCCTTCCTGGTGAGGTGCACCTGTCTACCTTGTTATTAATGGTCAGGAGGGATTTAAAAACATTTGTTTTTAACAAACCTCCCTTACCCAGCATTGGGTGGCTGAAAGAGATTGTTCCCAGCAATCTTGAAATGATTAGCCATCATTTAAATATGTAACTGTTTTGATACATTCTTAACCTTTTAACATGTTCTGAGTTTAATTTTTAATTCTATTGCTTTGCTACTTCAATACTTGCAGCACTGGATGCCTTCTGGTAGAAGGATGGGATGAAGATTTAATTAAGAACCAAAAGCCCATCTAGTCCAGCAATCTGTTCTCAACTATAGCTACTCAATATGCCTCAAAAGGAAGCAGAAAAGCAGGACTGGACCACAAGAACACCCGTTATCAGTCATTAATGATAATAATTTGCCTGCTTCCCGATTATACATCCCCAGAGGTAAAGGGAAAGATAAATGACAAGTGGGCAAGTCCAATCAAAGGCGACTATGGGGTGCGGCGCTCATCTTGCTTTCAGGCTGAGGGAGCCAGCGTTTGTCCAGACAGCTTTCTGGGTCATGTGGCCAGCATGACTAAACTGCTTCTGGCGCAACGTTACACCGTGATGACTGCCAGAGTGTATGGAAACACCATTTACCTTCCTGCCACAGTGGTACCTATTTATATTTTGAACTGCTAGGTTGGCAGAAGCTGGGACAGAGCAACAGGAGCTCACCCTCTTGTGTGGATTCAAACCACCAACTTTCTGATCAGCAAGCCCAAGAGGCTCAGTGGTTTAGGCCACAGCACTACCCACATCCCCAGAACAGCAAGGGGGAGGTTCAACAGCAAGACAGCATAAATAAAATAAAATAAATGCACACACTGGAGTGCCCCAGGGCTATCTGCTCCTCCATCCTTGCTGCTGGCAAAAAAATCTACTTGGAAGGGCGAGAGAGGCAAACTGCCCTCTTCAACAATTGTTCCCGCTCACCATTCTCGACAAAGGAGCAGCATCTTCATGCTCCTACAGATGGATCTAGTATTGCATGAATATTGCACTAAAAATGAAGCCGAACTGGGGCACGCAACCATTTCTGATCATCTAGAAAAGCTCAATTTGGATGTATTTTCTGTACATCTCTGCCTTCAGTTGTGTGTCAAACAATTCTGCCCTCGCCACACACCGACAGGAAGAAATCAACACCACAGCAGGATCAGAGTTAGAACAGTTAAGCAAGTGGGACAGGAGTGGCTATAAATGGCTACAATTGGAGCAGCTGCTGTGGCAACTGACATTATTGCTCTGGTGACAAAATGATGGAAGTTCACAGCACTGGCTCAAATGGACAATTAGGAGCCACCCTGCTGGAAACATCCAACTTTGGGGTAAAAAACTAACCATAAATAGAAGGCCTGCTGCAGAGACCTAAAATAGATGCCGGCCAATCTAGTGTTCAGATTAGTGTTCAATCTAGTGCTCAGACCTCTGGAACAATTTTGTAGCAAAGACTCTATTGTAACATACGCTATTCCCCAATCCTATCTGAGGTCTTTAGGGCAAGAAAAATATTTGTAACTTGGGCTGTTAAAGGTAAAGGTAAAGGGACCCCTGACCATTAGGTCCAGTTGTGACCGACTCTGGGGTTGCGGCGCTCATCTCGCTTTATTAGCTGAGGGAGCCGGCGTACAGCTTCTGGGTCATGTGACCAGCATGACTAAGCCGCTTCTGGCAAACCAGAGCAGCGCACAGAAACGCCGTTTCCCTTCCTGCCGTATTTTTTGCTCTATAAGACGCACCAGACCATAAGACGCACCTAGTTTTTGGAGGAGGAAAACAAGGGGGGGGGGGGGGAATGCTGAATCTCAGAAGCCAGAACAGCAAGAGGGATCTCTGCGCAGTGAAAGCAGCGATCCCTCTTGCTGTTCTGGCTTCTGGGATAGCTGCGCAGCCTGCATTCGCTCCATAAGACGCACACACATTTCCCCTTACTTTTTAGGAGGGAAAAAGTGAGTCTTATAGAGCAAAAAATACAGTATTTATCTACTTGCACTTTGACGTGCTTTCGAACTGCTAGGTTGGCAGAAGCAGGGACCGAGCAACGGGAGCTCACCCCGTTGCGGGGATTCGAACTGCCGACCTCCTGATCAGCAAGTCCTAGGCTCTGTGGTTTAACCCACAGCGCCACCCATGTCCCTTAACTTGGGCTGTTACCAGATTGCAGAAGTCTGAACCACACAAGTTTTTTTAATCAATTTGCTTAATAAATAGGAGTGAACATGGATAGAAACTAATATTCAAATGCTGTTTATTTATGGTCTACCAACCACAGATAAAATAAAAAGTTACAGAATGTGAAGCATTTAAGATGGCTAGAAGCAGAAAAAGCTATCAAAGATTGCTACATTTATGAATTTTGCAACTTGCTCCATCATTCAAAAAGTTCAAGCCCTCCATGAAAGTGGTCAAGAGAAATTCTGAAGGGCATTCAATGAAGGACTGTGTAATGGGGCATATCAGTTCCTATGTACACTTGTAAAAATGCTTTAAAAAAAGAACAGGTAAAACAAAATATACGTCTTTGTTGTTGAAAGTGCACAATCTTTTACTTATAGGAGCTTTGTAATATATACCCCCTAGAAGCTTTGAGGATAAAGCATTCGTCTGAGCCAAGGAAAAATGTTTTCTGTATTTAGGAACAGACAGAAACTTTAAATAAGGCATCCCATTCCTAGAATTAGGACATAGTTAACCAAACAATTGGGTTAAGGCCTCTGGGCTCCTGAAGGTCAGTATCATTTCATATGACAAACATTTATTGAATATATAAATTGTTCAGACTATTGCAGTAATCCACCCAGCACTCATGAGAAAATGTGGTGTGATCTCAGAGTAATCAAATGAAACTTTAACATGTGGCATAATATAATAATAATAATTTTGTCAGAACTAGCTATTTGTTGTTTACTGTTGTAGCAATTGTTTTCTCAAAATTTATCTTCTGTACCATGAAAATAAATAAAATCATTATTTAAAAAAATATGATTCTATATAACAATATACTTGGCTTGCTCACCGTTCATGGGTCAGCTTAGCCAAATACCATCTTCACCTACCTGGTGCCCTTTTGACACTTTGGACTATGACTGCTGCCAGCTTCAACCTAGCACATGTGTGCTGGCTGGAATTGATAGATGTAGTCCAAAACATATGGGGGACACCAGATTGGGTAAGGCTGGGCAGTTCCTTCACATGAAGGAAAAGAGTGCCTTTAAAGAAAAGTGGAAAACATGTAAGCCCCAGTTCAAGTAACACAGCATGCTGGCTAAGCCCAGTACAAGGGCTTCTGCTAGCATAATGGTGCTTTCTCTCCACTCCTTGCCTGTATTTGCTCTGGAGGGTTGGCGAGACCCCCTGAAGAGTGCACAGGGAGAAAGCAGGGGATCATTCTGTCTGGCAGAACTGCTAGCATGGACAGAAGATCAGATGAGTGTGGCACTGAATTGCTCTCATACTGTTTTTGTATGTTACATACAGGGGTTGCCGCAGATACAGTCAACTGTGAGGGAGGAGGGAGGAATAAATGCTACTGGATGACAGGGAGAAGGCAGAATTGCTCAACACCTACTTTGCCTCTGTCTTCACCCAAAAGGAAAGCAATGCCCAACCTGATGATAACAGAATAAATGATGCAAGTAGGGAGCTGAAGCCCAAGATAGGAAACAGGTTGTAAAGGAACATCTAGCTACGTTAAATGAATTCAAATCTTCAGGGCCTGGTCAGCTGTACCCAAGGGTACTAACGGAGCTCATGGATGTAATCTCAGAGCCTCTGCCTATAATATTTGAGAATTCTTGGAGAATAGGTGAGGTCCTTGTAGACTGGAGGTGGAGAGATGTTGTCCCTCTCTTCAAAATGTGGAAAAAGAAGAAGACCCAGGTATCTACTAACCAGGAAAGGGTCTAGAACAAATAATTAAATGGTCAACTATGAGTACTAATACCCAGCATGGGTTTCTCAAAAACAAGTCATGCCAAACACATCTCATTTCTTTTTTCAATAAGTTACAAGCTTGGTAGATCAGGTGAATGCTGTGTACATAGTGTATCTTGATTTCAGTAATGCTTTTGACAACGTCTCCCACAGTACTCTTGCAGAGAAGCTGATAAAATGTGGGCTAGATGAGATAACTCTTAGGTTGATTTGTAATTGGCTGGCTGGCTGAACCAAAGAGTGCTGTCCTGGGCCCGTTGCTGTAATAGTACCAGTCTATTCTGCCTTGGTCAGACCCCATTGGGAGTACTGGGTCCAGTTCTGGGTGCCACAATTGAAGAAGGATAGTGACAAGCTGGAATGTGTGCAGAGGAGGGCATCCAAGACGAACAAGGGTCTGGAAACCAAGGTGTATGAGGAATGGTTGAGGGAGTTGGGTATGTTTAGCCAGGAAAAGAGGAGACTGAGAGCAGCCATGATAGCCATCTTCAAATATCTCAAGGGCTTTTGGGTGGTAAGAGCTGTTTGACAGTGGAATAGAATGGTCTCTCTTGGCAAGTGGTGGACTCTCCTTCATCGGAGGTTTTTAAGTAGAAGCTGGATAGCCAATGGCTTTAAGCTACAAGAAAGGAGATTCTGACAAAAGATCAGGAAGAACTTTTTAAGGTTGGATGGCCATCTGTCCTGGATGCTTTATTCCTGCATTGCAGGAGATTGGATTAGATGATACTCAGGGTCCCTTCCAACTCTACAATTCTAAGATTCTACAACATCTGCTAAGGTGTCACTTGCAGTTTTTAGCAAATACTGGACTGCAGACAGGCTTTGAACTTCAGCTTCAGTTTAACTGCTGTAAAACACCCAAAGTCCAAGGTGCTGCATAAACAATGCTACAAATTTTCACTCAGCATTGCATCCACAATTAGCCCTTGCTTTCCTCCTACTTCCTTTGGAGCTAGAGAGGTGGCCAAAGATCTTCCCTGTAGTCGCAGTGGGATTCCTGTCTCTTCCCCAGCTCCAATGTTGGGAGAAAGGCTGGTGGAGGCTTTTTTTGTCACTGTATTGCTAAAGTGCTTAGAAAAAGGATGGGCAGAAGCTAGATTTGAATCTACAGTAGATCTCTGGGTAGTTTATCAAATTTCTGTCCCACCCTTTGCATCAGTCTCCAGTTGGTGGATCTCAAAACTCTAGCAAAAAACAAAAGTTGACCTCATAAGTCAACCCTAATCTATAAAGCCTCAATCACACAGAGCCAAATAAGCAACCTCCCAACACACATTTTCAGCACCAAACTTAACATAAAAAGAGTCCTGCTAGATCAGGCCAAAGGCCTATATAATCCAGCATCCTGTATTCACAATGGCCAACCAGATGCCAAGCAGGACCTGAGTACCACTCTCCCCTCCTGCAGTTTTCAGCTGCTGGTAAGTAGTTTGTTTTTTAAAAAATTGAGGGGACTGGAGGAAGGTTGGGTTATTAAAACATCTCTTAAAATGAACAAATATGCGTAACATCCCTGAGTCTATCTTCACAGGCCAAGGACAAATAACATATGATGCTGTTTTATTTCTGGAAAGTTAAGCAAGTGCAGATGGGGAAGCTGTCTGGGTGACAGACATTCAAGGAAACACGTGGAAGCTACTCTAGGCTACTCGGAGTAAAGAGCAGTTCCTAAGGAATGAACCAAGTGAAAGGGAAAAGTAATGTTCAAAACCCAGCTTAGAGAGACATAAAGAACAAAACATGACACATTGTCAATTCACAGCCTGTCCCATTCCCATGGATTTTATTACATTTTCTCTGATCCTCCCCAATATAGCATCCACAGCGCACACCCTCCACACCTTCTGATGTCTTAACAACCCCCCTGTGAGGTATATTAAGGTAAGAGAAAGACTGGCCTGTGCGTTTCATGGTGGAGATAAGATCAAGCCTTTCATCTCTTTTATTTAGCACTGCAAGGGCCCATCCAGGCCTCAGTATGTTACTCACGTGGCATTGGGGGTGCTATTCCTGCCTCCATCCATCAGCTGGTCGTGTGTCAACATCACGGAGTAGTTCTCCACCAGCAGGTTGTCAGGGTCATCTGACTGGTCAGGCAATTTCCCCAAGGGATAATTTCCCCACTTCACCCAATCTGTGAGAGAAGACACACATAATTCAGCACGATCAAATGCCTTTCACCTGGGGTTAGTCTGTTCATACGGACTATGAACAAAATGTGGTACAATATTATTGCAACCACAGAGCCTAGGACTTGCCGATCAGAAGGTCGGTGGTTTGAATCCCCGTGACGGGGTGAGCTCCCGTTGCTCGGTCCTTGCTCCTGCCAACCTAGCAGTTCGAAAGCACATCAAAGTGCAAGTAGATAAATAGGTACCGCTCCGGCGGGAAGGTAAACGGCGTTTCCGTGCGCTGCTCTGCTTTGCCAGAAGCGGCTTAGTCATGCTGGCCTCATGACCCGGAAGCTGTACGCCGGCTCCCTCGGCCAATAAAGCGAGATGAGCGCTGCAACCCCAGAGTCGGTCACGACTGGACCTATTGGTCAGGGGTCCCTTTACCTTTACACAGGGGTTCGGTTTCAAGGGTTCTGAATATACACGAAAAGCATGTATACCCAAACCCCTGGAACGGCTAAGGACTGCAATACCTCAAGGACTGCCTCTTCCCATATGATCATCTTCTCAGGCCCCTCTTTGTGTGCCTCCTCTTCGAGGTCCAGAGGGTGGCAACACGAGAACGGGCCTTCTCTGCAGCGCCTCCCCGTCTATGGAATGCTCTCTTTAGGGAAGTTCATTATACACCTCTGGGCACCAGGCAAAAACGTTCCTTTTTAACCAGGTCTTTGGTTGATCTTATTGACATCCAACACCCTTTTAGAATGTCGCTTGGAGGGGGTGTGTGTAATTGCTTTTGGTTTGATTTTATATGTTGTGGTCTTGTTGTGAACCACCCTGAGACCTCTGGGTATAGGGCAGTGTATAAGTTGAATGAATGAATAAACCACCCAGCAGCTAGTGGGTGAGGGGGGGGGGGGAGAGGGTGGGCCTTGCCCAGCAAGCTTAAAAGCTCTTTATGTGTGGGGTAACCCAAGTGGAGCTTTTAAACTCTCTGCCCTGCTTGGATTTAACTTGCATAATTTCAACCAGCTTGCCTTCAACTGAAACTGAGCAAATTAAATATGTGTAAGATGTGATCATGCTGTATTCCCAGTTTTTCCTCTCCCCAGAGATCAACGTGGGTTAGAATTGAGTTAAAGTATGTTTTACGATGGATGGGAAACCTCTTTCAGTCCGAAGGCCACAATCCCTCACAGGCATCCTTCTGGTGTCACGTGCCAGTGATAGGTGGGTCTGGAGGCAAAATTGTGTGAAGCCACTTTTTGCATGGCTGGAATGTCTCCTACTCCATGAACTCAGAGGTTGCACACCCATTCCTCTCTATCCTCCATCCAGGCAAGCAATGAACATTGCAGCCAGGCAAAAGCAGGGCTGGTGTGGCCTGGGGAAGGTGCATGGCCTGCAGATGGTCTTCTGGGGGTCATATTTGCCCCTGAAGTTCCTGATCTCTGCTTCAGAACATCAATAATCATCAACCCTTCCAAACAAGCACTGAGAGACCAACTTCTTAACATATACAGCCTATGCATGGAGATAATAATAAAAAAATTATACCCCACCCATCTGGCTGCATTGCAGTCCACCTTATGGCAGGCTGCAACTCTACACTGGGTCAGCTTCAGAGTGAGACTTGCATCACTCTAGCCTTGATCTAGCTTGTTTCATAGCCTGGAGCTCCCCAGAAGACAAAGAGACCAATTGGGCTCCACAGTGTTGGAGAGGATGCTCAGGAACAATCATGCCAACTATTCATTTCATCTTGGCATTCCATAGACAATCCTGGATTGTCAGCTTTCTTAGCTGGAAATCCCCCAGATCATTCAAGAAACACACACAGTTCCATTAGTTTCTAAAGATGGGTTACCCCAACTTTAGGTGGGAACTACCAGTGTCAGTCCAAAACTTACCCAATGATGGTCTGACCTTGACAAGGGAGTTCATTGCACACTTACACAAATCCTTGGGTCCTTCCCTCATATCATTTCGAGCAAAGGATATATTTCCCTCATATCATTTTGATAAATGATATTTCCCTCATATCATTTCGAGCAAAGACCATATCAAGGGTCCAATGTGTTGGACCAATGGTCTAGATGACAACTTTGACAATCTGTTTCTTCAGCAGAGCAGGGCAGCAAATGCAGAGCAGTGTGATTCTACTTGACCCCCCCACTTTGTCAGTTGAATACAAACTTATATGTTGAGTTGCCCACAAACATCTAATTGATGCAGTGAATGAGGTGCAGATCAGTTCTGAGCTGTAAACACACTTCAGACTAAGCCATTATTATTTCTGGATAAACCAGCTCAAAATATCCTTACCATTCCACCCCCCAAAAGAAAACAAGTGTGTGGGTGAGACACACACACACAGAGAGAGAGAGAGAGAGAGAGAGAGAGAGAGAGAAAGAGAAAGAGAAAGAGAAAGGGGGGAGGGAGGGAGAATGAATGAATTTGGGTAGTTTCTAAATGAGTGGAGCATTGAAAGCAGATTTTTAATATCTCTTTGGGGCATGTCTAACACAACATTTCTGGAAACTTATTGAGCAACACACTGGGTAACTGCCTGGGAAACTCAATGTGTACTACTTGAGCAATAAGGAAATTAAAAAGATTATTAGAGAGAGCTGGAATTAATACTAAATCTAGTAACAGGTGCTTGAATGAGGCTGACTCAGCCTAGGAAAAAAAACAAGCAACATTCATAGCTCAGAAAGATTCTCACAAGCCTGGGCATTTTGCACTGAAGACTAGACTGACGCAGAGAATACTTTCTTTTTTTAACATTAGAACTCAGCATCATCCAAAGAAATTGAATGGGCCACTCAACACACAAATTAACTTATAGGACTGCACCTGGGGTCCTGCAGGCAAAGCAGATATTCTACCACTGATAACTTACAAGACAGGGTCCTCTTTCTCTCCTTCCACCAACTCATTCCCCCATGTGATTTTATCACCTCAGAACATACTTAGGAAGCTGCCTTGTGCCAAATCAGACCATTAGTCCACTGTCTAAGGCAACAGCTTTCTATGGTTTCAGATGGGTATTTTCCAGGCCTACCTAGAGATGCCTGGGAATGAACATGGGACTTTTTGAATGCCAAGCATGTGTTCTACCCTCCATAGCTCCTGCAAAGTTCTATTTCCTCTGATGCAGCAAAGGCCCCTGCTAGGCAAAGAATGAAACTGTGGGCTCAAGTGTCTCTGAATCACAGGTGCTTAGTTCCGCCCTTTTCTATCTCCACTCAACTGTTTGGCTGTAAGTCGCTTTGGGCTGCCCAGGGTAAGAGGAAGTGACTCACAAATCCAATAATATTAACAGTCACCACTGCCACTACCACCATTCCACATACTTGCAACTTCTAATCATGATGTGTACAGATACTCAAGACAATGCCAGATGTAAGGCTGGAGACACTCCAGACTGCTTCTTGTTTCTTCCCTTCCCCAGCAAACCAAAAGGCAATTTTTACCTGGGCTGACCTGCCAGACCGACCCAAGCAGAGCCATCTTTCTCTCATCAAGATATCCAGGGTAGAGATGTGCTGCCTGAGCTTCTCCCTCTTCCTCCTCCATCTCTTCTTCTTCTTCAATATCTCCCAGCGGCCACTCATGCTTTGTAGTTCTTTTGGCAAGCCCTCTGGCCATATTGCTCTGCTTCACTTGCCACTGTAAGCTCTCCACAGTATAAATAGGCTGCTTGCGGAGTTCTGGGATTGAGCCTGGGCTGGGAACGGTGTCCTCTTGGGTGTAAATAGAGGTGAGGTAGAGAAGCAATTCCTTGGAATCTGGAGGCAAAGGCTGATCCAATTTTTCCAGAATCCTGAGCCCGGAAAGAGAGACATGTGGAGAGAGTGTGATGCAAGGGCAGAACAACTGCTTTCAAATGAGTTGGCCAAAGCAAGTTAGTGTTTAAGAAGCCAGCTGGGCATAATAGGTGCCAATAAATTCCATACCTGCGAGTTTTATTTCCCTATCTCGGTGTGGAGCACACCAAACCACCACACTCCTTGCAAGTGCACCACACTCTCATGTGAACCCAAGCACAGAACTAAGCAAGATCAACTTGAGAAAGTGCAAGGGACAGAGAAAGGGAGGCTTGGAAGGCTTCATTTGATACCCAAGCCTGAGGATCCCCATCTCTGCCCTAGGGTTTTTAAGTGCCAAGGTATTTAGAGTACTTCAAGTAAAAAGTCCCATCTCTTACCTGTATCCACAGGGCAATGAGGAGCCAGTTCAGAGGCTGAAGTATTGGCTGCAAATCATGTTGGTTTCCTGAACTGACTCTTCTGCACTAACACCCTGAAGCCCAGGTCTCCACCACCGTGCATATTCCAGTGAATGGCTTACATACTTACATGTGCATGAGATGAAGACTCGCCCAGCAAGTAGCTTCTAGGCAACAATCAAGGAGTTTTTGCCACTGCAGTGAAACATTTTGAAGAAATGGCTCCGGGGTGCTTTCGCTATTTGTGTGGGAATGCATTGACTTTTTCTCTTCACGCAGAACCATGAAAGAAAAAGAAAAGAGACACTTAGCTGGCAAAGAAAGTGTGTGTAATCAAATGAGTTGGATTTGAAAAAGGAAGGCCTGGGTCAAAATTCCATATCTGCCATAATGTGGCTTTGGGAAAGTGTCACTTTGTCTCAGCCCCAGTTGTCTTATCTGTAAAATGGAGCCAAGAGTAGCTGATTTAACAGTATGTGTTTTAAAACAGAAAAACAAGTAGATGGAGAGCCAGTTTCGAGAAAACCTCAAGGAGCAGGTTTGTCAAATTTTACTAACAGAACAAGGCATTGGTGGGAGCCAGACTGATCAGAACAACAGCAGTTCAATTGCCATCTAACAGATGGCTTTAAATGGTGATTAGACAAATTCATAGGGGCCAGTTCTATCAAAGGCTATTTTTCAAGTGGAACTTCCATAATCAGAAACAGCCACTTTGAATACCAGTTGTTGTGAGGGACAGCCATTGCTTTCATGCTCTGCTCATAGACTCCTTCAGAAGTTAGTCCCTGCTAAAATAAGAATGTTAGACTAGATGAATCTTTGGTTCAGTGCAGGACTATCCTTGTGTTCCAATTCTTGAGGCTTAAGCAAAAGGTATCATTAAAAGGAAGAAAATGAGGGTGTAGAAAAGAGCCCTACAAGGAGAGCAACTCCTTTCCAGATTTATAGTAAATGTGACATTGCTAGGTTTTCCCATTCGCTAGTTCCCACAAAACTGCAAATGTAGTTGGCAAGGAACATTAAGTCACACTAATGTGTGAATTAACACATTAATGTGTTTCCTCAACCTTCAAGGCTGCGTACACAGAAAGTCATGGTCACCTGTATTCTACTTATTCTATTTGTCTTTTTTGTATGTGGTACATAAACACATAAAATAAATAGCAAAAAATATTTTTTCATATTGGTTTGCATGTTTTAGATCAGCCTTCCTCAACCTGGTACCCTTCAGAAGTTCTGGCCTCCCACTCTCATGGCTGATAGAAACGGTCATCAAAACTTCTGGTGGGTACCAGGCTGGGGACAGTTACCTTAAATGTTTATTATTATTTGTTTTATTACATTTATATCCCACCTTTACTCCATGGAGCTCAAGGTGGCATACTTAAGTTCTCCTCCCCCCTCCCCCTTTTTATCCTGTGTGGTAGGTTAAGCTGAGAGCGAGTGACTGACCCAAGTGAGCTTCACTGCTGAGTGGGGACTAGAACTCTGGTCTCCCAGGTCCTAGCCCAACTCTGTAGCCACTACACTACCCTGGTTCTCAAAAAATGTTGATGTTGATGATGAGGATTAAACAGCGCTTTCTGTTGCTTTTTATTCCTGCAAAGGGTACGATACTCACTTGATGGTGCGCTGGTCTCTAAAATTTTTGTGAGCCACCTGATGAGATAGTCTGACCGGAGTTCAGTAATCGAGAAGAATTTCTTCAGCTCACAGAACAGCATCTCGGCCAGAGTCTGTGTGAAGTCTCTAGAGTGCAGGCCCCTCAGGAGGGGGTACCAGAAGCAACCAAAAGACTGAGGGATTCTAAAATCCCAATCCGCGGTTTCTACACCACCACCAAGGGGAGAGAGGAAAAAAGTTATTCAAACAACAACAACAACCAGGTAATATATTGAACACCACCACATTCCCTTAATTTTCCTCAAGTTTTAAAGTTATATTTCTGCATGATTATTGTTACTACTGTTATCAGCAGGAGGGTGTAGAACCACAATCATAAGGCTGTATCCAATGCTAGCTCTACTCAAAGCAGAGTCACTGAAATTAATAGACATGATTAACTCAGTTTCATTAATTTGAAAAGGCAAGGTGCAGGGCAGTTTACTACTTTCTCAATCTGTCTTTGCCCCCTCCCCACATTCCACATAAGTTTTGACTATGATGGCAACCGAAAGCTATTCATTTATATTACTTAAAAATGGTAATATGGTTACCAGTTTGCTAGGATGTAGCACAGATTTGTTTTATTTATTCTGAGTGGTCAACTGCTGAAACCATGTGCACACATCTGTCAGCCAAAAGAAAAGAGAAATCTAGAGCACTAACCTAGATGTTCAATATTCAAGATGTTCAGCTCTTCCGTGGTTGGGATGAGAAAGCCATCATCAAGCAACACTTCGATCATAGCCTCCCTAGAGTCATTACAAATCTCAGTGAGTTTCCTTCCTTCCACTCTACCACTCCATATGAGCACCAGTCACCATTGGTATAACCCAACATTCTTCAATTGTGCTTATTTAATGCCAAACCATTAGAAAGAACAAGGCTTGAGTAGATTGCACACTTCCTCCCTCCCTTCTGATCTTGGTGTAGCTATTAACCTTAGTTCATTGTTACATTCCAATGGCCAAATAACTGTTTGCACCTGCCTACAAACTAGGATCTAATCACAAACCAGAATTTCTTCTCATCTTCATATGCTAGGGAAATGGAATGTTTTCCTTATGCCTGTGGGTGATTCCTGTGGGAGATTAGCAGCCAAACCTAACAAATGCATATTCTTCCCACATAGCATGAGAAGGAGCTAAGTCAATGGAGCTGTATTGCTGATAGGCAGATTCTCAGACCATAGAAATACAAGTGGTAGAAATGGCTCTGTGTGATGTCATTTCCCTTCCTCTCTTGGAGAGGAAGCAACATATAGTACTTCCTGTTCCTCTCTCTCTCATCCTTTGACCAGCCATGAGGGCAGATGGGCCTTCCGCTTGCTTCAGCTTCAGGCATGTGCTATACTGCCTACAGGATATTTTTTTAATGCGGCCATTGCTATGAACCAATGCATGAGTACAAAGCAAGTAAATCTTATTTTAAATATACTTTATAAGTTGTTGCCTGATAGTTTGTTAAGTGGGATAAGAAGTGAGAAGGTAGCTTATTTCATTAGCTGGACTTGCTCAAAGTGAGCCTTTACAGCCTAATTTCTATGCTTTTAGCATAGGAATTTTTTGCTGCCAAGGGTGGAATGTTAAAACTGTTCAACCCACACATGTGGCCCGGAGGGATAAATTGCAATTAATATATCTTCTTCTACCTATTAAAACCCATCCCACAATTTCATAGTTTGGTATTACATCTGAAGAACATTTTTGCTTTTCTGTTCTGGTTTGGAGTGACGCTACCAGTTGTGGAAACCAAAATTGAGGAAAGGAAACACACACCCTACACTTACTTCCAATTCTCCAAACTATTGCTGAGAGGATAAGAACCAGCCCACTGATAAATCCACAATAATACAGTTTGAGTCTCTATATAGAAGTTCAATAAAGTTGTGGGGGTTTCAAAAAAAAAGGAGGGGAGGAATCTGTTTCTAAAACAGGAATATACTACAGCTAATAAAAGAGGATGGGGAGACAAATCTCATTTCTGTAAGTGTCATATAATAGTGTTAGTTTCTAAAAGGAAACTTCTAGTTGGAAAGGGAACATGTCATTGTAGTCAGTGCATCAGTTCCAGTTGCTGTTAATAGACACAGCCTCTCCCCCAGGCTGTAAAAATAGCAGCTTGTACTATAATTCAAAAGGTATGTTTCTGCAAAAACTGGGAAATGAACAACAGATCAAAATGAACAAGGGGTAAGTAGGCCTCTGGTCAATTGCTCAGGGACTGCTATGCTGCTGCCATGCTGGAGCAAATTCTAAAACAGCATTAATTCCATGTTCTCTGTTCCCTCCCACCTACCACCCACCCCCTTACTATTACCTTTCTGGCACCGAAACCTGGAAGCAGGTCGGAAAGGTGAATGCAAAAGATCCCAGGTTTTAGTCCCCAGCAGCAGCTCTCCAGATTTTCCCAGCACTGTCTGCGGATGCCAGAGATTGAACCCGGGACCTTCTGAATGTAAAGCATGTGCTCTACCACTTGAACCACAGCCCTTCTCAAAAGGCATCAGTGAAGCTGGCTCTCATTTCTTCTATCAGAAGCATCCCTGAACAGTACCAGCCCTGCCTCCACTGCTGCTGCCTGCTGCTTTTCTCCACTTGACCTTCAAACCTGTTGGTGGATAAGCAGCTCTGAAGTGGAAGACTTACAAAAGAGAAACAGCAGGCAGGGGAGAAGGTTAAGCACATGGACATAAACACAAACACTGCTTTTTGCAACTGTCTCTCATATATTCCATTTTTATCCTACCTCAAGCTCATGCTCAAGGATTTTCCATCCATCCCCACAGGGTTTGCTCTGGGGATGTGGTGGTACCTCATCAAAATGCCCTCAGGTGGGTCCCCTCCATTGCTGGGCCCCTGCAGCAATAGTAACAACACCATTTAAAGTCTCTACAAATGTTGTGGTGCAGTGCTTTGTCAGGGGGCATTGCGATGCACTGGCAGAAGCTGGTGCTTATTCAGAACTTCATCTATGAAATAAGGAGGACTGCTAGAGCTGACATCCACAGCAGCCCAAGATGGTGTGTGGTGATGCCAGCCAATGACCAGCCCCATGCCTCCTTACTTTCAGGGAAGTCAATGTATCATGTGTTCATGGACCACGCCCTGGGGTCTACAAACCCCTTATTTAACAAACAGGCATTTCTGCCCTGATCTGGCAACAATGGAAGGCTTAGACTACTTCTTTAAAAGGGAGGGAGAGAAAGAGGGAGAGGTGCACTTGATCATATTCCCGCACCCTTCATAAACATATTTTTCTTTACCCTGGTAATTTTAAGAAAGCAAAAGCCACCCCCTCTTCACAAAGCCTGTTCAGGGCCTGGAGAAGTCCTGCAACAGAGAGAAAGTGCTCAACTCCTGGCCTCTAAAAAGCTGCAGGCTATTTAAAACAGGTGGTTTCAAGCTTGTGGAAGGTAATGGGCCCAGCTCTTATCATGTCTCTGAAATCAAGGAAATTCTTCCCAATGAAATGGGGAACCAAAACTTGAGTTTCTTGCTCAGTCACAAACCTCAACCCTCAGTGGAACTAGCTCAGGTGACCCATGGAGAAACCCCCTTCCTGGTTTCCATGCCCATCCATGTCCAGAACAGATGCACCTTCTCTCCATATGTATATGGAAAGAAGTATAATGGGCTACCTCCCAGTAGCCCAGTTTCTGATAGAACATCAATGTGACTAAGAACCTTGAACGTTAAACTATCAACATCTTGAATAATATGACCTCAGCAATTCTGCTGCTAGTAGCCTTGTACCCGATATTGCTAAGAAATTCTAGGACAGTGGGGCTGGCGTGAGTTTTGCAAGGCTCTGCCCACCATCTTGATTCAAACAGCATCCACTCATATCTAAATATAGTTGAAAACCTGCTCATAGATCTCAGGAATGATCATGCAAAATTGGGTTATATCTTAAGAAAGCGTTTGCTAACCAGGTGTTCTCCAGATGTTTTAGACTACAACTCCTTTCAGTCCCTGGAAAGCAACCAGGTTGGCAAAGGCTGTCTTAAGAGGTGTCCAAATGTACAGCAAACAAACAACATTCCAAAATATACAGGAAATATATAGTAAAGGCTGGCTATCAATATGTGATGTCAATCTTACTACACTGAATTTTATTTTATTTTATTTTATAGGAGAATCACTTCCATTTGGAAGGCTGCACCCAGGAGTGGCCCATTATTACCTGATGTAATAAGACATCTGGTTATCAAAACTTCCAAGCCACAGCTGCAAAGGAAATTTCTACAAGTATTGGCAAGGTGGTCAGAGTTTGCCCAAAACTGATTAGTATGCTTGAGGGCAAGTTATCAGGCCCAACGGCCAGATGTTCTCCAACACCACTTAAAAGTTCTTGTGATATTACAGTATTGTATTCATTATATAAATTTATATACTGCTTCTCATATTTAAGTACCAAAGCAGCATACAACATACAAACACAATAGACCATCAGTTAGTGTTGGATAACAACTAGCTCTTTTTTTTACACTGAGTACAAATGAATGCTGCAGACTAGAGATGCGCCCACTGCTCCCCACTCTTGACCCCCATACATTTAAAAGGAGCACCTGAATGAAGCCTACACATAAACTTCTACATGTGTAATCTGGTACCTGGGAAGTGGGAGGGTCCCAGATTGAGCATTCTGTTGCTTAGTGCATTACCATAAGACATTGTGCACTGGTGATTGCTTATTACATGATTTCTGATACTGAGAAGGAAATGGTAAAAGAAAGATCCAATTTGTTAGTACTCTCACAAATAGCAAAGATGTCTCCAGACGTTGCAAGTAGTTAGGATTACAATAAGATGATGCTGCCTCTGTAAAAGACATTGGCTTGAAACATTTCCAGACCTTTGACTAAATAAACAATCTATGGCCTTTTAGACAATTGAGGGTGAGGGCAGTTGTTTTGTTTATTATATTGTTTGCTTTTACACTGTAAACTGTCCTGCAATCATCAGATGAAGGACAGCATATAAATTTGAAAAACAAATAATAAACATCCTGAGGGAAAGACATTGGCTCCCCATGGTGCAGATAATACTTTAAGGCATGGAGGTCAAGGAACACGTCAGTCAAACCTCCCATAGTTCTCCCCCCCACTTCCCCTCTTTCGTTACCAAATGTACGCATGAAAAAGGGTGAAAACCTAAATGACCTGAAGGGAAAGATAACTCTGACGTGGGCCTCTTTCCCCAAAGGTCACCTGAGGAACAATCATCATGTCTCATCAAGAGGACGCAGATGTTTTAAGCGAGGGGATTGCACCAATAAGTTGTTGCTTTCTAAATGCTATCCACTTCTTCAAAGTACTTCCCCACACCCTGGATGTTGGAAATTTTCCACTTGCTATGCAGCTGAAGCTGCATGGCACTTCAATCAGGTGGCAATTTCTACTTAATAAAAGTATAATAAAATAAACCGGGGGGGTGGGGGGAGAAGAGGAAGCAAAAACAAAACCACTCATATACACATCCCTGAAGAGCTTGAGATCTGGTTTAAATTTCTCACCCAGAAGAACATCTACAACAGCCTTGGCTAACCTGGTGCCCTCTAGTCTAGTCTTTTCAGATAATCATCATCATCATCATCATCATAATTTATTATTTATACCCTCTCCATCTGGCTGAGTTTCCCCAGCCACTCTGGGTGGCTCCCAATCGCATGTTAAAAACAATACAGTGGTACCTCGGGTTAAGTACTTAATTCGTTCTGGAGGTCCATACTTAACCTGAAACTGTTCTTAATCTGAAGCACCACTTTAGCTAATGGGGCCTCCTGCTGCTGCCGCGCCGCTGGAGCACGATTTCTGTTCTCATCCTGAAGCAAAGTTCTTAACCTAAAGCACTATTTCTGGGTTAGCGGAGTCTGTAACCTGAAGCGTATGTAACCTGAAGCATATGTAACCTGAGGTACCACTGTACAGCATTAAATATTAAAAACTTCCCTAAACAGAGCTGCCTTCAGATGTCTTTTAAAGATAGGATAGCTGCTTATTTCCTTCACGTCTGAAGGGAGGGTGTTCCACAGGGCGGGCGCCACTACCGAGAAGGCCCTCTGTCTGGTTCCCTGTAACCTCACTTCTCGCAATGAGGGAACTGCCAGAAGGCCCTCGGTGCTGGATCTCGGTGTCCGGGCTGAACAATGGGGGTGGAGACGCTCCTTCAGGTATAGAAGGACCAAGTCCTTTTAGGGCTTTAAAGGTCAGCACCAACACTTTGAATTGCACTCAGAAACATACTGGGAGCCAATGCAGATCTCTCAGGACCAGTGTTATGTGGTCCCAGCAGCCACTCCCAGTCACCAGTCTAGCTGCCGCATTCTGGATTAATTGCAGTTTCCACGTCACCTTCAAAGGTAGCCCCACGTAGAGCACATTGCAGTAGTCCAAGTGGGAGATAACTAGAGCATGTACCACTCTGGCGAGACAGTCTGCAGGCAGGTAGGGTCTTAGCCTGCGTACCAGGTGGAGCTGGTAGACAGCCGCCCTGGACACAGAGTTAACCTGCGCCTCCATGGACAGCTATGAGTCCAAAATGACTCCCAGGCTGCGCACCTGGTTCTTCAGGGGCACAGTTACCCCATTCAGGATCAGGGAATCCCCCACACCCGCCCGCCCCCTGTCCATCCAAAACAGTACTTCTGTCTTGTCAGGATTCAACCTCAATCTGTTAGCCGCCATCCATCCTCCAAACGCCTCCAGGCACTCACACAGGACCTTCACCGCCTTCACTGGTTCTGATTTAAAAGAGAGGTAGAGCTGGGTATCATCTGCATACTGATGAACACCCAGCCCAACCCCCCTGATGATCTCTCCTAGCGGCTTCATATAGATATTAAAAAGCATGAGGGAGAGGACGGAACCCTGAGGCACCCCACAAGTGAGAGCCCAGGGGTCTGAACACTCATTCCCCAACACCACTTTCTGGACACGGCCCAGGTGAAAGGAGCGGAACCACTGTATAACAGTGCCCCCAGCTCCCAGCCCCTCTAGATGGTCCATAAGGATGTTATGGTCGATGGTGTCAAAGGCCGCTGAGAGATCCAGCAGAACTAGGAAGCAGCTCTCACCTTTGTCCCTAGCTCGCCGAAGATCATCGACCAGTGCGACCAAGGCAGTTTCAGTTCTATGGTGAGGCCTGAATCCCAATTGGAAGGGATCCAATGGTCTGCATCCTCTAGGCGTGCTTGGAGTTGTTCAGCAACCACCCACAATTCCCATCAGCCCTAGCCAGCACCTACAAACTATTATCTAGTACGCTTCAAGCTAATATGACTTGCACTAGCATTGATAAGAGACTAATTGAAAAGAAGACTATGCCATAAGAACCATAACCCTCAAAAGCAGAAAAAACAGACATTACTGAGCCTAGTCTTCTTTGACTTCTATACACCTCCAAATTTGTTGGCCACTTGGTACATATCAGAATAGCCAGTATTGAGGTATATGTGTATCAGTGTTTATATATATGGATATAGATACTTTATGACTGCACAACAATTATTCTTAATAATCCTATTCATTAACTTTGCAACATCCTTCAATACTTCATTCCAATACCACCTCTGGTGTTGTTTTTCTGGGGAGATACTATTGAGGCAGCACTGCCAGCATTTTCCTGAAAGAAAAAAAATTCAGAGCCCTCATACAGAAAACCATTTTCACAGGTCATCATCGTCATAATTTATTATTTATATGCTGTCCATCTGACTGGGTTGCCCCAGCCATATGGACATTCCTGCTTGTAGAGAGAGAACCTAATAAGAAAAAGCAGCCTTTGAAATTAGCTCCATATACACCTGTCCATATACATACACCAAAGGCCTGGTCTACATGTGCTCCAGAAATGAGGTGGTAGAATGCCCTGCATCACCTTAGATTGCAGGTAATGCCTGCCATTTTCAAATGACCACCCTATATAAAATATAATATAAAAATTATGCAAATACGAATCTAGCATGAAATGAGTGTGCTAGATTTTTACATGCAGAGATTCATTCCTTTTACATGGAACTGAGTCTAACCTGGGATTCCCCTGTAACCTACATTCTGAAGCAGGACAGTCCAACTTTCAACTTATGTCTTTCCACGTCATACTCCTGCATTTGTAACCTGGGCAACACATCCCTTTTGTGGCATTTCAATGGGTCAACCCTACAATCAACCCTCCAGACAGGGTAAATTCTAAACTTCATTCACTTGGGCCACCTGGGTGCTGGAGATTGTTGGCAGACTCACAAGTTTGTGTCAATTGTTGGCGAGGACATCTATCAAACCACAGTATCATTCTCAAACGTTCAAGGTTTCAAGCAAAATAATTTACGCCCTATTTCAAGATTCCTGACATACTGAACACAAAGTAACAGTTACTCCCATGTTTTAGATTTGCTAGCCTTGGAAGGATTTTTATCAGCAGTTAAAGATATTTTTTCAAAGCAGAGGATATTGGGCTGCTTGAAGGTTCTCCAAGGCCCTCAACGGAGTGACCCTCTGGGTGGGCTCCAGCTTGGAATCAGGGTTCAATCAACACATGGGCAGTGGGGAGGAAGGAAATGTGCCATTGGCAGCACTGTTTATCTGTATTCCTCTGTTGCTCCAGTGGGAGAGGAGCTGGCAGCAACCTATGGCTTGGGTCGCTGCCAGGAATCTTCTGGAGCCATTGACCAAAGCCCCACACCTCCTCCCCATCTCTCTGGCACTAACAGAATGCAACACAGTCTCATTAGGACTGTCTTTCCCCATCCTCACATGTGGAAGAGGCGATGCAACACCACTCCCATCACACATTTCAGCTCCCTAGACATTACCATGGGACAGAAGGAGACAAAGCGACTGCTGTTTTTGGAAGGAAACTGTAATATCTACTCCCAGCCACATTCAACAGACTACCTGTTATTGGGTCGCAGTAAGAAATTGCCAACTACTGACACTCTTGGCAACACAATAAACTACACTTTTTCTGCAGGAATCTCCAGACTGAAGTCAAAGCTCAGAAAAAATCATAAAACAAACAAATGCAATTAGTCACGGCAGTCTGATGCATGGGATGAGGACACAGTTCAGCAGCAGAGCACCTGCTTTCCATGTACGTAGAAGGTATCAGGCTCAATCCTTATCATTAGCAGTTAGTAGATGTGAAAGATCTTCTACCGAAGACCCTCAGAGTCTGCAGACTCTCAAGAGTCTCGATCCAAGGCTGCTTCCTAGGTTCATATACTTATTGGGAGGAACAGGCTCTGTTTGAGCTGTTGTCCTAATAAATGTTCTAGCATCCTCTAGAAACAGACAAGGAGAGCACCTTTTTTGGCCTACAAATGCTCAGATTCAATACTCAGCAACTGCAGACAATCAGGTAGTAAATGACGGAAAACCTCCACTTAACACTTTGAAGAGGCTCTTCCTGCCAGAGTTGACCATACTGGGCTAGAAAAATAAGAATTTCCTCTTATACAAATTTGTGGAAGAAAAAGCTACCGGTGGTTACTAGCAGTGATTATACTGAAATAAGGCAGCTTCCTGCGCTCCTCGGACAGTTTTTGTAGTCAGCACAGTTCTCTCTGTTATTGTTTACTGTTCAGACTAATTAATGCTTTAAAATAACTGGCCCAAATTCGACAGGTTGTAATTTTTGCTAGTCAAATGCTAAACCAATACCTACTCTCTCTGCCCACAGTATGCAGTGCCCTGGACTGTGACAGCTGATCTGGGAAAGAGAGCTGGTGGGTGAATTGCCTTGTCTTTGGGCAGGAGACAGACCCAGATGAACACCACAAATCACATGATATAGCAATTTAAAATGCTACTGGAGCCTCTTAAAAAGCAGAGACATCACCTTGCTGACAAAGGTCCTTATAGTTAAAGCTATGGTTTTCCCAGTAGTGATGTATGGAAGTGAGAGCTGGACCATAAAGAAAGCTGATCACCGAAGAATTGATGCTTTTGAATTATGGTGCTGGAGGAGACTCTTGAGAATCCCATGGACTGCAAGAAGATCAAACGTATCCATTCTTAAGGAAATCAGCCCTGAGTGCTCACTGGAAGGACAGATTGTGAAGCTGAGGCTCCAATACTTTGGCCACCTCATGAGAAGAGAAGACTCCCTGGAAAAGACCCTGATGTTGGGAAAGATGGAGGGCACAAGGAGAAGGGGACGACAGAGGACGAGATGGTTGGACAGTGTTCTCGAAGCTACAAACATGAGTCTGACCAAACTGCGGGAGGCAGTGGAAGACAGGAGTGCCTAACCTGCTCTGGTCCATGGGGTCACGAAGAGTCGGACACGACTAAACAACAACTGCAGCCTTGTGGCTACTGATCTCTTTTCCCCCACTACTTTGCTCTGAGCTGGACAAGTTTTTGCCTGTGAAGAAAGCAGCCTCAACAGAAACACATTTCCCTTCACTTTTTTGTGTGAAATGTGTTAGAAGCATGCACTGTGGTGTGTTCTCTCATCCAGGACTCCTAAGCAAGCTAGAGGTGGGGTGATTGACCTGTGTTACAGAGCCGCCTCCTACACTTCCTGTTGCCCATCACTAGAAAATAGGAGGCCCTGCTGAAATGCTAAGTGCCAAAAGCAAATTCCGCTTTATCAAGAAACAGCAGGACATGCTTAAAAGAAGGTCTCAGAAATGTAAATAAGAGAGCAGAACACTGAAGCATATCTTTTGCGCTGTCAGGGAATAATGCAAACAGAACAGTTGCTATGAGAACTCCACAATCTGCAGAGATAAGAGGGCACAAGTTCATTTTCTGCAGATATTTAGGAGGTTGACACAACCTTCTCTCCTTCACAGCATGGTGGTCCTGACAATACTCTTCCCCCCTACACATGGGAGCAAGACTGCACCTTTCACCCCCTCTCTTGTGTTCACAAATGGGAATATATGAATAGTGAGTGCATGTGTAAAATCAAATGTGATTGAACCTGAACACTACAATCAATAGCCCAGATAAAATCTAGGCAGTGAGCCGGCAACCTGAGCCTATGTATATTTTACCCACAAAACATTCTATTCATGGATATCTGGGGATAGGACAGGTGCACCAAGAGTGCAGGGAGGTAATGCACACATTCAGTTCCTAAACACACATGAGAGAGAATGTCAAGTGAAGAGTGCTGTATTGTTTTGTTCAAACTGGGCCAGAATCCCTTAATGGGCTTAAATACTATGGAAAAAGTAGTCAATCGGCACCCACAAAAGGCCACTAAGCAGAAGGACTCAGAGTGTGATAAGATAGAAAAGTCATGGTAAATCTTATTTCCTACAAACATTTAAAGCTAGAACAACTGTGCCTAAGCCCAAATGGTGCACGTTAGACATCCCAAAGTCTCTCATTTCATTCCATTTACTTGGAAAAAGGAGACAAGGCCAGCACATGCTCCAATCCTAGCCTTGAAGCAATCCAGGAAGGGAAGTCATCAGGTGTCCTTATGAAACCGTCAGCCCTCAGCTGTTCAGTGCTTAGAGCAAAGCTCTCTGGGAAGCCGCAGCTACAGTTAACTGAGTTCTGTTGGACAGCTCCCCTTTAAAACTACAGTGGTACCTCGGGTTAAGTAGTTAATTCGTTCTGGAGGTCCGTTCTTAACCTGAAACTGTTCTTAACCTGAAGCACTACTTTAGCTAATGGGGCCTCCTGCTGCTGCCGTGCCGCCGGAGCACGATTTCTGTTCTCATCCTGAAGCAAAGTTCTTAACCAAAGGTACTATTTCTGGGTTAGTGGAGTCTGTAACCTGAAGCGTATGTAACCTGAAGTGTTTGTAACCCGAGGTACCACTGTATTTATATTTTATTAAAAGTTTTCTGTGAAAAAATAATATGAAAGAAAGGAAATGTGAATACAGTCATACCTCGAGTTAAATATGCTTCAGGTTGAGCATTTTCAGGTTACGCTCTGCGGCGACCTGGAAGTAATGGAATGCGTTACTTCCAGGTTTTGCCACTTGTGCGTGTGCAGACGCTCAAAATGACGGCACACGCATGCGCAGGTGCAGCGAATTGCGACCCGCGCAGACGCGGGTTGCATTCTACTCAGGATGTGAATGGGGCTCCAGAACAGATCCCGTTCGCATCCAGAGGTACCACTTTACTGTGGGGGGGGGGGGGGAGGAAAAGTAACCAAACAAAAACAATCCAAAAGAGTATGCAGTGGATTATATGGGTACATAAGTAATAGAGTGGTACCTCAGAAGTCAAACAGAATCTGTTCCAGAAGTCCGTTCGACTCCCAAAATATTCAGAAACCAAGGCGCTGCTTCTGACTGGATGCAGGAAGCTCCTGTAGCCAATTGGAAGCTGCGTCGGATGTTCAGCTTCCAAAGAACGTTCACAAACCAGAACACTCACTTCCAGGTTTGCAGCATTTGGGAGCCAAAACAGACAAGTACCAAGACGTTCAACAACCAAGGCACGACTGTACAATTAAGCCAATAAATTTAAAATTATTAAAAAGACATTATACTCTATGAATGGATTCCAAATATCATTGTATTTAACCATACACAATCTGTGTCTAAAAGCAATCCATTCATATGTTGCTAGAGTTATCATATCTTCTATCCATTGTTTGAAGGGAACCATGGTATTATGTTTCCAGTGAATTAATATCAATTTTTTAGCAGAAGAAAGGGCTTGGAGAGTTCGCTTACGTTGACCTTTTGTCAGCTCCCTTAATATTCCTGGTCTCTTGTCAAAGCATCTGCTCTTGACATTCAGTTCCTACTGGACAGCTCTCCCACAGCTCTAGGCCTCATGCTCAGTACAGTGGTGCCCTGCAAGACGAATGCCTCGCAAGACGGAAAACTCGCTAGACGAAAGGGTTTTCCGTTTTTTGAGCTGCTTCGCAAGACGAATTTCCCTATGGGCTTGCTTCACAAGACGAAAACGTCTTGCAAGTTTGTTTCCTTTTTCTTAACACCGTTAATACAGTTGCGACTTGACTTCGAGGAGCAACTCATAGAACGCAGTGTACATAGTAGCCTTTTTTGAGGTTTTTAAAGACTTTGGTGATTTTTGAAGCTTTCCCAAAAATTCTTTTGCAGCCATTTGGTAAGTTAAGCTTTTAAAACTTTTTGGGGGGTTTTTGGATTTTGGGTTGGGGTGTTTGGAATTCAAGGACTTGGTGTTGGGGAGGGGTTTGCAAGAATCTGGAAGCTTGTGTGTTTTTTTCTGCATTTTTATGATTTTCTGTGACCAATGGGGCACTCTGCTGTTTTTTTAAAAAAAATCTGGATTTGAATTTCTGTGTGCTGGGTGGCTGGGGGAACAGTTGGGGAGGAGTTTGCAAGAATCTGGAAGCTTGGTTTTTTTTTCTGCATTTTTATGATTTTCTGTGACCACTGGGCAACTCTGCTGTTTTTTTAAAAAAATTCTGGGTTTGAATTTTGAAATGCTCTTTACAGTATGTGTGACTTTAAAGAGCACTTAATAAACTCTTGTTGTACCAAATTTGGCTTTGTTTGGACTTTTTTGACCATAGGAACGCATTAATTGATTTTCAATGCATTCCTATGGGATTTCGTGCTTCGCAAGACGAAAAATTCGCTAGACGAAAAAATTCGCGGAACGAATTAATTTCATCTTGCGAGGCACCACTGTACTTGCTCCTGGGAAAGGCTATAGCTCAGTGGTACAGCATCTACTTTGCATACAGAATCTCCCAGGTACAATGCCTGGTATCTCCAGGCAGCATTGGGAATGCAACCTGCTGGAAATCCTGGAGAGCTGCTACCAGTTGGTTCAAAAAATATTGAGCTAGAAGGACCAATGGTATTCTTCTGTATAAGGCAGCTTCCTGTGTCTGCTATTTGTGTCCCCTCACTCTATTCAAGGCTCGTAGAAAAAAAACACTGTGGTGTAACTTTGCATGGCTGCTCCTGCGTATTTACACATGCAAGCTGATTTCCCCTACCTTCATAGGAGGGGCTCTGTTACCATGGCATAGTATCTAATTGGGAAATATCATGCATCAAATGCTATGTACTTGCAGGCACGGTAGACACCTGCCACTGTGGGTCTCAGTCTCAACTAGGTTAAAGTCCTTCCTTACCTGTTCTCTAGGAACAACTCTTTCACCTGGGCCACAATCCACTGTATCTCTGCGGAAGAGTTGTACCACAATTTGCAGACCTGATTGATGTCCTGCTGTTGCTGGAGAACCTAACACAAAGAGGAAGACTCAATCAACAGGCTGGATTGCTGTATGTGGGGCTGCCTTTGGGTCTGGTTCAGAAGCTCCAGAACGTTGCAGCCATATTGCTGATGAGGGCATCTGGCCAAGAATTACATGACACCACTGTTAAAACAGGGTGTCCATCTAATACCAAGCCAGGTTCAATGTCCCTGCATTAATTTGCAAAGCTCTGAATAACTTAGGTCCAGGACACCTTGGGAATTGCCTAAACGCTTATACCCCAGCTTGATAATTGAGATCATCTGCAGGAGCATCTTGGGTTGTTCCCTAAGTTGGTGAGGATCCTTTGCCAACAAGAAACTGAGCCTTTAGTTTCACTGGCCCAGTCCTGGGGAACACTCAGCCAACAGAGATCGAGCAGGTGCCTTCTGTGACAACTTTTAAACAGCCGCTGCTGAAACTTTTTATATTCTGTCATGCCTGTGTAGGCAATTAAAATATAAAATGTTCCACAACAGTTAATTGATATCCGTTTTTAACCTTTTAATATGGTTTCTATTGTACTGTACCATTTTATGTTTTATTGCTGTAAACCACTTGGATACATTTTTATGACACAGCAGTATAGATATATATTTATGAACATATAAATAAACAGGAGGAATTGTGCTGTACAACACCAACAGTAAAAAAGAAACCAGGAGTAAGGCGGCCAGTGAAAAATAGCCTCACTGGATCTATCCATCAGCGTTCAGGGATGGGTCATCCATTGCTACTCATCCATTGCCAGTGCAGAAGTTATGGGCTTTCATGATCTGTACCAGTAAGAAAGGGTGGGGAATCAATCAATCTACCTCTTTATTATGTTCAATGATGAGAACTGGGGTGGGGAAACTGTCTGGCTCCCGGGGCCAGATCCTTATCAGGATCAAATTGGACAGGCAGGTGGGCTGTCAAAATCCTTTTCATGGAGTTTTTGCCTAGGAACCACACCACAAGGGATACTGTGTCAGCCATATGTTCCAGCACTTTTGGGAGCACTGAATGAGGCTGGCAAACTGCATGCTTCCCCACTCCCTGCCACTGACAAGGACATGAGAAACAAGGCTGGAGTTTACAAGTGACAGCAGCTTTGCTGCTTTAATTGGCAAAACATAGCTATGTTTCTCCCCCCACTCCCAAAAATCATTTTACAGGGATGGGAGAAACAGGGATACTTAGTGCTGTGTTCAAGCATAAGAGAGCCCTCCATGAAGGCAGCACTTTTGTGAGCCTGAACCCAACACTATGCAGCCTTATTCCTTCTGACTCCCTCAAGTGGCGTCAGCTGATAGGAGAGTAGGCATGGCCTCTCGGACTGAATTGGACCCCACTGGGGAGGTTCTCCACCCTTCTAACATGACATCTAAATGATATATAGTATGTACATTTGGAGCACAATTCCCTATTTGCAATTTAGTCCTCAGTATGATTCTCTAGATGCATTGTCAAAAGGTCCAGGAAAAATATAATGTGGTATATAGAGCAAAACGTCTTGAACTTTATATTTTACTACTTCAAAAATGAATCAGGAAGTACAAATCTGTGAAACTTACCTCAAATTGTTGATTTTTATAGGAAACCAGAAGTTCCACGACTTTCTCTGGGAAGGCAAGTAAAGAAGAAAGACAGTAATTGTTTTGAAATCTATGAAATGCAAAACACCCTGAGCACCATTTCTTCAAACAGCAAGATGCTAATTTAACAAATAACTAGATATTATTTCCATCATAAGAACTCTTTCCATCATAAGACCCGAGGGTCATCTAGTCCAATCCCCTGCGAAATTACCCTTGAGGCCCCTTCCAACTCTACAATTATACGGTTTTATGAGAGTTGATAAACTGAAGCTCAATTCAGATATGACTGAGGCAGTGGTAGTGGGTGGTTCCTTATACCTGATGGATGGGTAGTGGCCTGCTCTTGATGGGGTGACATTTCCTCAGAAGTAAATGAGAAGCACTGGGCATCATCTAGGTCAGCCCTTGCCTATGGCCATGCTAACTGGGACTGATGGGAGTTGTAGCCCAAAACAGGTAGAGGGCACTCAAGCACCAGACTGGTGAAGGCTGATCTGGGCAATACACTGCATTGCAGGAATGACTATCATCCTCTTCACATCAGCACCACTTCATACACTTAGGCTTTATTTAGGCCCCAAAGTTACTTAAATTTCTCCCAAGGCAGGTCACCTATACTGCATGGCTGCTTTTTGTTGAGAGATGCTTCTGAAGCTGAAGCCTTTTTCAGGCAGGGATGCTAAAAAGCCCTGCAGCTAGTAGCCATGAAGACATGTACAATGAGGGTAAGAATGGTGAACTGACATCTAATATGCTCTCCATACCCTCATCTCCAGCAGGCCCCAACCCCAGGATTTCAGTGCTTCGGCATGACTCAATGCAGAGATGAAGAACTGAATGTGACTAGTGGGCCATATTCTGACCCCCACAACTCCTGCAGACCAAACCTATCAAGCAAGTGGGGCTAGCAACAAGACAATAATCTGATGTCACAACAGCTTAAGGTGAACATTTTCCTTTCCCTATGTGCTTTGAATTGAGCCATGCAAGCAAACAGTAATTTTAAGGTGCTGAAAGTCAGCTGATTGCCAATTATGGAAAAAGCCCTGTGCCTTTACGAGTGCTGTAGAGATTATCAGATCAGGTTAAGGCACAGCAGGTGCCTGCAAACCATGCTTTCAGCAGCAAGCAGGATCTTTTACCTGTGGACTAAATGTCCACTGTGGGGCAGTTGGGTATGGTTTGGCCAAAACAGCTTGGAGAGCCAAATGGGGAGGCCCAGTGGGCCTGATTAGGCTCTGTGGGTTGAAGGCTTCCCCACAGCAGCCCTAAAAGATGATGGAATATTCGGTGTAACCTCTGCCATCGTGCAAAGAAAACTGCACACACATTAGAAGTATTTTGTGGGGTTGTTTTTTTTGAAGGGTTAAAAATAATAATAAAATTTTATTTATATCCCGCCCTCCCGAGCCGAAGTCAGGCTCAGAGCGGCTAACAGCAATAAAAGTAACACAGCATTCTAAAATCAATATTCTAAAATCAATTCAAAATCAAATGGCAACCACTGGGCCAGAGTTCTACGAGGATCGCCAAAGGAGGGGCTCAGACTGTGCCTTGGCCAAAGGCCTGGTGGAACAGCTCTGTCTTGCAGGCCCTGCGGAAAGATGTCAAGTCCCACAGGGCCCTAGTCTCTTGTGACAGAGTGTTCCACCAGATCAGGGCTACAGCCGAAAAAGCCCTGGCTCTGGTTGAGGCCAGCCTAACCTCTCTGTGGCCCGGGACCTCCAAAATGTCTCAAGGGCAGCCCCACGTAGAGTGAGTTACAATAATCAAGTCCGGAGGTGACCATCGCATGGATCACAGTGGCTAGGTCAGGGCGAGAAAGGTAAGGAGCCAACTGCTTAGCTTGGCAGAGATGAAAAAATGCCGCCTTTGTTATAGCTGCAATCTGCACCTCCATGGAAAGGGAGGTGTCAAAGATTACACCCAAACTCTTAACGGTCAGTGCTGGCACTAATTGCGCCCCCGCAAGAGATGGGAGTTGTCCCCCCAATCCCATATTGTTCCGACCCAGCCAAAGGACCTCTGTGTTCAAAGGATTTAACTTCAACCGGCTCCCACGTTGAATGGTTGAATGGTTATTCAACCACAGCTTCCAAACATCTGATCAGTGTGTCTGGGGCCGAGTCAGGATGGCCATCCATCAACAGATAGAGTTGGGTGTCATCAGCATACTGATGACAGCCCAGCCCAACCCAAAACTCTGGACAAGCTGGGCTAGCGGGAGCATAAAGATGTTGAAAAGCATCGGGGAGAGTATCACACCCTGCGGCACTCCACTCCACACACCAAGGAGTGGCGCAACGACAGTCCCCCCCCCCAAGCGCCACCCTCTGTCCCTGACAGAGCGCAGCCATTGAAGGACTGTGCCCTGGATCCCCACGTCGGCAAGGCGGTGGTCCAGGAGTTCGTGATCGACCATGTTGAAGGCTGCTGACAGGTCTAAAAGAATCAGCAGCCCCAACCCGTCTCAATTCAGCTGCCTGCAGAGATCATCTGTTAGGGCGACCAGAGCCGTCTTGGTCCCATGACCAGAGTGGAAGCCGGACTGGAATGGATCCAGAGCCAATGTTTCATCCAGGAACCCATCAAGCTGTTCAGCAACCTTACCCAGAAACCGAAGATTCAAAACTAGGCAGTAATTGGATAGCTCTAAAGGATCTAATGATGTTTTCTTTAAGAGCGGGCGCACCACTGCCTCCTTCAATTCCCCTGGGAATGTCCTGGTGCCAAGGGACAAATTGATGATATCCCCTTAGGGGCCCCCGCACCTCGTCTGGACACGCTCTAATCAGCCAAGACGGGCACAGGTCAAGAGGACAGGTGGTGGGCTTTCCAGCTCGGAGGAGTCTGTCCATATCGGCTGGGGATATCCGGTTGAAGTGGTCCAATACTGGACCCGAGGACAGTCGAGGGGCCTCCAGTTCCTTTATTGTATCCAAATTGGCAGGGAGGTCATGGCGGAGCAACAAGACCTTCTCCGCAAAAAAGCTCGCAAATGCCTCACAGCTGTGTGTCAAATTGTTATTTAAATTTGGCTGTCCCTCAAGGGACATTAAAGACCTGATTATACTAAATAATTGCGCCGGGCGAGAGCTAGCGGATGCAATGGAGGCCGAGAAGTAGGACTTCTTAGCAGCCTTCACCGCCATCTCGTAGGTTTTCATAAAAGCCCTATAAGATGTTCTTGAGGCTCCGTCACGGGCACCCCGCCATACTCGCTCTAGCCGTCTGAGGTCCCGCTTCATTTTCTGGAGCTCCTCGGTAAACCAGGGAGCCCGGTTTCTGCGGGTCGCAGAGGGCAGCTTGATGGCTGCCAGGAGCTGGGTATTCCAGCCCTCAACAAGCTCAGTCAATGAGTCGCCAGAGGGAGCAAGGTCCCGCAAGGCTTGACGGAATCTATCAGGGTCCATCAGCCTCTGCGGGCGAGCCCAAATCAGATTGCCAACTAAGCAGGGTGGGGGTGGAAAGTCAATCCTGGCTTTCAGAGCGTAGTGATCAGACCATGGCACCTTCATTGAAGGGGACATGATCACATCTATACCTGCACCAAAAATCAAATCCAGCGTGTGGCCTGCTTGATGTGTGGGGCCCGAAACAAACTGAGAGAGCCGTAGTGTCGCCATGGAAGACACCAGGTCGAGAGCCTGTGAGGAGGGAGTGGCATCAGCATGGATGTTGAAGTCCCCCAATATCAATAGGTTAGGGAACTCCAAGGCCCAGTCAGCCACTGCCTCCAGTAGGCCTGACAGGGTGGCTGCTGGTACGCTAGGTGGCCGGTACACCAGCCAGACAGCCAAGCTCTCCTCGGAACCCCACACTAGGCCAACACATTCAATGCCAGGGATCGATGGCGATGGCAAAGCCCTGAAGGAACAATCTTCCCGGATTAATAATGCCACCCTTCTCCCCCGCCCCCCGGCCCACAGTCCGCGACTGGTGGAGGACGGAGAAACCCGAGGGCGCCACCTCTTGTAAGGTAACTGTTTCCCCTTCTGGTCTCTGTCACACAAGCCAGGTCGGCCACCTGAGAGGTAAAGAAATCTCGCAGGGTGGCGGTTTTGTTGCCTATAGACCTGGCATTGCACAGCACCAGTGACGGAGGTGAGTAATCCTTGCTCACCCTACCCTCGTCCCTCGGGATGGGGTGCAGATCAGAAGGGGTATGAGTGTATCCGTATCTCAATCCCCTTCGCCTATAAAATCTGCTCCCACTGCCACACCTCCCTTGCCCCTACACAGTAGCAATCCCGAGCCTTATACTAGCCTCCATTGATGGCATTGATGTTATTATTTCCCAGCCTAATTATTCTGCTTATAATACCAACAGCTCGATAAACTCTAATTAGTCGAGTAGTTACCTATTGGCTTTAATTAACACAAAGGGGGATCTGTATTTCAAAATGAGTGTTCCTGCTCAGGGATGACCAGGAGCCACGTAGCGCTGTTTGGGGCTCACATTGAGCACACTGAGCATGAAAGCTTAATTGCCATATAGATGAAGGTTGGGGGAGGTGGGGGAGGAAAGGGTAAAACATTGGAGAATAAGTTCTTTAAATCTAATGGCAACACCTCCCCAACCCTTCAGAGTATTATAAGCTTCTTAGGGGCCCAAGGTGCCTAGTTTCATCTCCCCAATTTCCATTTGAATTGACAATTCCATGCCTCAACTTCTCTCACAGATGCAGACTTGTTACTAGATTCATACCATTGACCTCTAGCTCCTTTTTTCTTCTCTCTGCCCCCAGATTCCTGCCTCAAGAAAACAACGCAGAAATCCAGGATTTTAGCATAGCTGTAATTGGGTGGCAGTGTGTATCCACATGGTGACTATACTCACCTTGAAACATCACATTTCCCTGACAGTCGAGGGACTCCAATTTTTCAGGCTCCGTTATACTGCTGATGAACCCGGTACCTGCTAGTGGCGATTCCTCAACCTCATCCTCTTCATATCCTCTTACTAGGTTATTGGCCAACTGGCGGCTCCAATATGTTTGCCGGAGCCATTCCAGGACAACATCACAGCCTGGAGGTGACAACACATATACAGTATAGAGAAGATAGTAAAACAAAGGCAGCCTGGTCAAGCGAAAGGTTTACAAGTAATTTCTCTTAACTGCTCCATACAGGGAAACATGTGCAGAGGGCAGCAACAAGAGTGCATGTCTTTTCAGTGGCTGTCCCTCTGTTATGGAATGCTCTCCCAAAGGAGGTTCACCTGGTGCCAACACTGTCAACTTTTAGGCACCAAGAAAATACATTCTTGTTCTTTCTGGAATATGAATCTTCACATGGTTTATTTGCTTAATACATCCATATACCACTTTCCTACCAGTGGACTTATGGTGCTATACAATGTAAAATAATGACTGTAACTAGCTTGGTGGATCACAACCTGGATGAGCTTGTTCTTAGACTTGTCTATGGAGGAAAGGTACTATGTAGAATTAGAATCATACAGTCGGACAGGAACAAATTTTTGCCCAGCATGGGGCTCCACTGGAGCAAAAAGACAGACTAGCACTTCCTCTCTTCCATCTACAGAGTGATGCTCTACTGCCTTCTGTTCCCCTACAAATGAACACTCTTATCTGTCCAGATCTTCAGACCATCCAGTTTTTTTATTGGTGAAAGCATTTACCAAGCCCTAAATGCACAGCACCACCTACTGGAAATACTAAAGTACTGCACTTAGAGGTTAGGCATTTGGAGAGGCAGAGCAGCCCACTGGGGCTGAAGATCAGTAGGTGAAGGTGGAATTAGAGTTAAATGTCTCTTTTGTCTCAATGTTATCTCTGATCAAACAGGTCCTCAAAAGCATGAGACTTGCAATGGTTCCACATTTATCTCCAGTACTCCTGGAGCTACATGCTGAGTGGGTCATGTCCAGAAAACAAGGCAGACAGGCTCTTTTCATGCCAGGTAATCCAAGCAGGGACGAGGGTGGCGCTGTGGTCTAAGCAACAGAGCCTAGGGCCTGCCAATCGGAAGGTCCTGCCAACCTAGCAGTTCAAAAGCACGTCAAGTTCAAGTAGATAAATAGGTACTTCTGGCGGGAAGGTAAACGGCCAGAAGTGGCTTAGTCATGCTGGCCATATGACCCGGAAGCTGCACGCCGGCTCCCTCGGCCAATAAAGCGGGATGAGCACCGCAACCCCAGAGTCGGCCACGACTGGACCTCATGGTCAGGGGTCCCTTTACCTTTTTACTAGGTATAAAAGGGGATATAGTTATGTGTACTTAGGCTTAGCTGGAATACAGTACGAGGGTAAGTGGGGGGCGGGTTTGCTAAAGGCTTCACGGAAGGGACCGAGCAGGGACCGAGCAACGGGAGCTCGAGGATTCGAGCCACCGACCTTCTGATTGGCAAGCCATAGGCTCTGTGGTTTAACCCACAGCACCACCCACATCCCTTTTTATACCCAGTAGATGGCTGTAATCTATGGGAGAGTCTTTCTTGAAAGTTCCAAAGATCTCAGAAGCCCACTCTGTAGGAATTCAGTGCAGGGCTTTTAGTGTGGCTGCTCCTGTTCTGTGGAACAGCGTTCCTGTTGAGATATGACATGCACCCACTATCTGCACTTTCTGGAAGCAACTGAATATATTTTTGTTCCCACAGGCTTCCCCAGCTGGATAAATGGATATTTACCATGAGTCTTTACTTGTTACAGGTTCAGAATCATTTTAAATGTATTTGTTGTTTTCAGTTTTAAACTGATTTTAATTATTTGTAAATCGCCTTGTCACCTATTCTTCCCATTTACCCCTGCTTCCATTTCTCCAGGTGGGAGCCTCTAGAGTCTGGCCCGTTCTCCTACACAATGGGTACAGATAGCACTATATAAAACTGCACTCACCTTTTTGGCAAGCATCCAGGTGAGGTAGGTTGCCATGGGTCAAATCATGACGAAGGTTCACAATCCAGACTGGGATGTTTAGCTATAAAAGAGAACCAAATGGTCATTAACATCAAAGGGGCAAGGGGTAAAACCTCCCTCACATTTGCTGGAGATGAATACTATCTGTGTCATCATTATCCAACTGCCTGCCTCTGTGTGTGTGTGTGTGTGTGTGTGTGTGTGTGTGTGTGTGCTGAGATGTCTGTAACCTGCAGAGACTTAATTCTCTGGAACCTTCCTACCTCTTTTGCTAGGCGTCTCAGTGGAATGACGACCGTTTTCTGCTTCCGCTCTGTGATGAGGTTCACAAACCTGCACATGAAAGAAAAAATTACCCAGTACACAACTGATTCTAGTTTTTCATGATACATTTGTCTGAAAAAAATGTTTCCAGGAATGCAGTCAAAATATAAAACTGGAATAAAGCTTTATTTTGTTTTCCTGAACTGAACCTGAACTGTTGTTTGAATGTCTCCACTGAATGTGAATCCACAAAAAATAAATAAATAAAAGTTAAGTCAATAATATCTGATGTGGTACACTAAAGGGTATCATCAGATTTAATCAGTATGAGCACAATGTACATGTCTCTGACTGTAAGATTAAAATTAAAATTTCAAATTTATTACATACTCAGAATTCTTTTAGACCTATCAGCTTTCTGTGCCCCACAACACTAATCAAATCATGACTTAAATACTTAAGTTTGATTTCAAATTACAGCCACAGAATATCTGACTGGTAAATTCTTAACAGACGAATAAAGGGCCATCTTCATATATGAGGATCAGACTGAATCAAAGGCATTGTGCATTACCCTTTATACAATTCACCTAGGAACATATTGCTCTATTTATTTCAGAATTTTATAGAAGACCAGTCATATACAGTGGTACTTCGGGTTAAGTACTTAATTTGTTCCGGAGGTCCGTACTTAACCTGAAACTGTTCTTAACCTGAAGAACCACTTTAGCTAATGGGGCCTCCTGCTGCCGCCGGAGCACGATTTCTGTTCTTATCCTGAAGCAAAGTTCTTAACCTGAAGCACTATTTTTGAGTTAGCGGAGTCTGTAACCTGAAGCATATGTAACCTGAAGCGTATGTAACCCGAGGTACCACTGTAATTCCAAAATTAGATGGTTGCTGGATGATGCAAACAGGTTTGTTGCCTGTAGAGCAGCTTCATATGCACTAGCATAAGAGAAAGTTGTGGGTGACTTTTTTTTTTTTTTGCCCCAAACAGTGTCAGTTGCCAAAAAGATTATTTAATCTAAATGAATTGGGAACCTTACACTTTACTTTTTTTCTAATCTGCAGTTCTAAAAATGTGAAATGCCTTAAACCAATCATCTTGGATTGTCTGGTTTTGCTTTTATTATTTAAATCTAATTGAATGGCTGTATTAAAATTCTCTCATGCAAGCTAGAACTGAACCTGTTGGTTCCTATGTGGCAACTCAGTTACTAAACCTTTATTCACCTTAACTGAAATCAAAACAGAATTTCAGTTGTGAGTAAACCTGAGCTGGAGACAACACCCAAGAACTTAACGGTTGGTATTTTAATGTATACTGCAATTATGAATTATATATATACTGAAAATGCTATAATGGTATGACAGCTTTCTACAAAGAAAGCCTAATATCTCCCTGCTTAGCACTAGGGTGTGGAATTACTGACTAGCACAAACACCCTTTCCAGCCCTCCAATCTTCCTTCCTCTTGTCTACCCATTCTTACCTCACAAGAGCTAGACCATACGTAAGGACCAGTTCATGGGATTTCAGAACACCAGAGGCATCTAGGAGTTTACAACGAATCAGATCCGCAGTGCACTCCACAGCTAATGGCATCCTATGCCCATACCTAGGTTTAAAGAGTGAAACACAGTGAGGTCAGGATTGTCTCTATTCTGAAGACAAAAAGCATATACCTACCTCCTAGAGCAGTAGTTTTCAAACTCCGAGTTTAAGAAAACCCCTTCCTCAAGGAGACCTGTGAACTCCTTGAACTGTGGAAAAGTGGCATACAAATAAAATTATGTAAGTATGTCATTTTTTTTCATCTGGAATTGCCAGAGAGAGGTGCTGTGAGAAACTGACCAGGATCTAGATCAGGGGTAGGGAACTTGTGGTCATGCAAATGTTGAATTCCAAATCCTACCAGCCAGCATGGCCAAGGGATGACATGAGTCCAGCAACATCTGGAGTGCCATAAATTCCCCACCCTTGATCTAGATCAGTGGTTCTCAAAGGGTGTGGCAGCAGAGGAAGATACATGTGGCAGGAAGATTCAAGAACATTCAAAGAAACATTTAAACATTTCAGTGCAGTATAGTATCAAAAAATTTTTTTTTGAATATGCAACCAGAAGCAGAATCCATGCCTCTCTTTAAGAGCATTTCTCTCAAATTAGACCTAATATAAATGAGATTACCCGGCAAAAGCAAACTCACTCCTCTTACTGAGTCTGTACTTAAGATACATATGTAAGAAGCTCATTTATATTATATTTCGAGAATGATTCATGTTTCTTATGTAGCTGCATTGTTTTATATTTTCTGGATGTCCCATGATCATATTATAAAGTATTCATGTTCTATGTTATAAAGCAAGCATTGATGGGAGCTGTTTCTTTTTGTTTTCCAATGCATTTCTTATCAATAAAAAATTTAGTGAGGTGCAAGCAAATTTTTATTCTGAAAGTGTGGCCCAGAGAAAAAAGTTTGAGAACCACTGATCTAAATTCAAGAGAAAAGCTTGGAACTGAGAAAAGAATAGGTGCTGCTAAGCAGAGGAGGAGTGGACAGAGGTCTTCACCCCTAGCAATCATAGGATAGAGCAGAGCTTTCCAAACTGTGTGTCACGACACGTTAGTGTGTCAGTTGCAGTGTATAGATGTGCCATGTGAATGCTCCCTGCACTTCTCCTGGGACTGAAAGGGGATAGTTTAACCTTCAATTTGCCGAATTACTGTGTCGCGAAATAATGCATGTCTAAAAAGTGTGTCACTAACATGTAAAGTTTGGAAAGCTCTGGGATAGAGTCTGACTCACCTTATCCCCTGCCATCCTTCCCTTGCACTTCAGGCACCTACCCACCTGCTTGCTGCCTCTATAACCCGTTCACATTCCCTCTTACCTGCTTTTCCAAGCAGATATTCGGTCCAAAGCATCCTGTTGTATCTCACGGTCCCCACAATATAAGCCCACCATCACTTGGTCCCATTCAGCTTTGCTCTCCCAAGCCACGACACTCTGTGGCCTCTTCCGCCAAGACATCTGCTTCCATCCTGGGGTTGTGCTACTGGGACCACTAGACATGCTGTCGCTCCACTCTTCAACAACCTCCACAGATCCAACACTATCAGATCTAAGAATAAAACAAAACTTTTGTGAGCTGAAACACACCAAAGTCAATGTCTCATATGCATTCTCAAGCTGACAAGTGCTGTCCCTACATCCCACACAAGTTCAAAGGTCAGCTTGGACAAAACTGGCATTTACTCAACTTCCAGTAGGCAGCTGTGCTGCTCTGTTGCAGCATAAACCAAAGAACATCTTGAAGCACCTTTAACACAATTAAATTCTTTAGCCTATACTTGATGCTGTTTTCCTGCATTTCTGTGGTGGTCCTATATCCATTTATCTATCTAACCATACACACATAAATAAACATACATTTTTGTGTGATGCATATATAAATATAAAGAGACATTTTAAAATATTCACACAGCTCTGGATCCTGGTAAGATTCTGTTAATCACTAAAATCATACACTGATGACAATTACTAACAGTTTTGCATGCGCTCTCTATAAATATATCACACGCACACTTACACTCAAGTTTCTGCTGCTTTTGCTGCATTTACTCAGTAGCAATTCATACCTTCACATTATACAGACATCACACAAAATACGTAATATTTCAGATGTATACACTTAAACATATAAACTAACACACATAAAGTTTATAAATTAGGATCGCTATATTTAGTAGTATTTATGTGATTCTATGTTGTATTGAGTTGAACTACTGTAAGGCCGCCGACAGCACACGGAACAAAAATTCCTACGAATACATTCATATACTGTATTTACTGACGTACATACAACACACACGCACACACTGTGTGGCGATACCCGTGTAGGGAGGTGTTCCATATACTTTACACATACGATGCAAAACCACCACTTAGGTCCCCACCGCCGTTCTCTGCGCCCTATTTGGGAAGGGGGTGTGTGAGGCGCCTGTAACCACTCCACCCGCCCCGTCCCCCACGTCCACCTTATGCTGAGCAGACCCGCTGCACACACTTATATCCTGCGCCGATGGGACCTGCTGAGGAGCAGCGAGGATCCCTAGCCCCTCCAAAATCAAGAAGAGAGTAAGCCGACCGAGGAGAAAAGAAAACGAGCGGGAGACAAAGCAAGACCAATTACAGCGGCAGGGGCGGGGCGAAGGAAGCGAGGGAGCAATCTGACTGGGTGCGCGGCGCCCCCGCGACACGGAAGCGGATATGAGGGAGAAGGCATAAACATAGCTGCGGCAAGACTGTCCCCGGCGGCTGAGCTTCCGGGGCTTTCCAGGCTTGGGGTTTGTGGTTGCCGGTCTTCACCTGGGCGGAAGTGACGGTTGCCCATAGCAACGGCACGGGATTCCAGGGTTTTAAGGGTAGCTGCGGAAGCCTCTATGTTTTCCTCAGGCGGGGGCGCAAGCGCACAAGCATGCCATGCTCGCGTGAAAGGCGTCAGTACTGAGAGGTGACTCAGGTGGGTAAGAGATAAAAGCATCTTACGAGTTTATTTAGGCTTCATCCATTTTTTCATCCAGGCTGATGTACCTGGCTCTTCCCGTTCCCGATTTATATCCCCACGACAACCCTGTAATACCTCAGGCCGAGAGGCAGTAGCTGAGTGGGAATAGGGAACCCTGGTCTCCTCCAGGCCCAACCACTAGGCCAAACTGCCTCTCACAGCCCTGTAAACTTTCAGCAAAAGTTTTTGATGAAAGAACAGCCCCTCACGCTCTCCACACACAACTTTCCACACAAAAATGAGAGCCAGGTTCCATTGCCTCCCCTTCAGCTATTATTTGTGAGGAAGTCGTGGCAGGGCTTCTACTGCAGCTGCTGTTTCTACACCAGATCCTTGAACCCCTCCATTTTTTTCAACAGTCCCCTCTCAGCCCTGCCCACACTATAACCTGGCGTAATTTCCCTGATTCATAAGACTGAAACCTGCTTTATACAAATGAATCCCCCAAATGCCTTTTGAGACCAAGTACTCAAGATTGTTTAGTGTGGCAGCACCTACACTTTGGAACTCTGCCTGTTGGGACCAAGCAGGCGCCATACTGTACTCGGCCATGAAGGTCGCTGGGTGATGGCAGGCCTGGGTAAATGTCCCCTCAAAATTTGAAAGTGCATAAAAAATCTGCTGACTCTTCCTGTTCAGTTGTTGCTTACTCTGGCTCAGCTTCTCCTATGCTGAAGATGCATCTTTAAACATGCCCATGCCTACAGACTCCAGTACTCTCTAAGGAATTTTACAACAGCTAGGACTGGCAATCCTACCAAGGCCCCTGTCTCGCTATGAAACAGCGAGATTCAGAGGGACATGGAAATGATCACTCCTGAGTGGTTTCTCTGCTACTGTGGAGCACATTCAGTTCCCCTGATACACCGCAGAGTATAAATGAGATGAAGCAGGCAGGCAGGATGACAGAGCATAGGTGGTGGAAGTCCCACCGCAAAGATATCCAAACACAGGCAATCATGCCTACTCTGTGACTGTGAAAACACAAAGCGGACCTGCTCCATTGCTTCCAAGTCATCATCAAGAAATCAGCTGGTGGAGTTTTTCAGGGTGGTCAGCAGGCTGTAGGCACCTATATCAGTGGAGTGGGCCCAGAACACTTCTGTGAGTTGCTTGCTAGGCACTTTGAGGGCAAGGTTTATTCATCTCCATAGTGAGCTAGATGCTGTGATTGATGTATTCCCAATATAGGTTTCAAGCACTCCATCAAGCCATGTTTTGTGGGATCAGTTTCAGCTTTTGTAGCCTGATGCTGGTGGCAGGGTGCTTGTGAATATGTACCTGTCATAAATACAGGGGTTGCTCGTGTGTAAGTTGCCGCCACTCCTGGCTAGGTTGCCTTGTTAAACCTTTTCTGTCTGGACAGCCCTTCACTTCGTGGCTGTTTCAGTCGCTAGCAGAATCCGTCAGTGGGCGTTTCTTAAACCTTTTCCAGCATAAAAGCTGTTTGACTCCAAGTCTCCTCCTACTCTCCCTGCGCAGAAGTCTTCTGCGCAGGGAGGGTGTGGGTAGCGGAGGACCCGTGCTCTCCCCTCTGGTCTCCGGCAAGGAGTCCTGGAGCCCCTCGCCAATTCCCCATCTGCCCCCCTTTATCCCTGGTGTTACGCTGATTTCCTTCCCCAGCTGATGAGCTGCCTCTCTCCCTGCTGGGCCCTTCTCCAGCATCACTCGGGAGCCTTGCCTCCGCCTCTGGCTCCGATGTCAGTTCCCTGACAGTACCCAACAACGTGTCATTTGCACCCTTGCCCTTCATGAGGGAGTGATGTTGCTCAGATAGAAGGAGGTGATAGTTCAACTACTCCTGGGGGGAAAACCCACCCTGGACCAGATGGCATTTAACAACTACTGCTCTGTCGTAGATACCACCTTTTGGGACAAGGAATTTAGGGAGCCATTGTGAAACAACTGCAGGTGTTCCTGGAGAAAACAATATGTAGACACATTTCAATCTGCTTTGGTCACCCTGGTAAATGACAACTATTGGGAGAGGGAGAATATGACCCTGTAGCTCTAACAAAATCTCTTATTGGCTTTTGATACCATTAACCATGGTATCCTCCTGAACCATCTATGAGACATGGGTGTAGAGAAGAGATGTTACTCAGAAGAGTCTCTTCCATGCCATTCCTGGCCCCATTGCTGTACAACAGCCCTGCAGTGCTTTCCTTTTTTTTAATAAAAAAAGCAGTTCAGCTGCTTTAAAATAAATTGAAAAGAATAATTTCAAACTGAACACCCCACCCCCTCCACCTTTCCCCAACCTAAAGGCATAGTTCAGATGTTGTATAAGCACTGAAGTAGAGGCTGAATGTTACTAATATCAGCATACTAATGCAACCATATATTATGGAATTTAGCAAGTACAGTGCTCTTCTACCTGGTCGTTTCTGGAATTGCCCCTTTTTAGGTCACAGCCTCAGAAAAGGGAGGAAATGACCAATTAACAATCAAACCTAGGCATCCTGGACCAATGTACCTCACACCTCCAACCAACCCATTGAAATTTCTTTAGAGTTTAAAGTCAGTTCCCCAGCTCCTTGCTTCTCCCTGAAAATAAATTACTGTGTTTGCCCACTCTGACTTTAGACCTCCAGTATCATGGTTCCAAGCAGCAGCAGCAGGAGAAGGAAACTGACCTTGCAGGACTCAAAAACTTCTCCAAAGCAGCACTAAGGAATATTTTGCGTGGGAAAAATAGTGGACAGGAATACTGTGTAGTGGGGAAAAGCTCTGGGGTGGGGTGTGATATGCAGGTGGGAAGCAGGTGGGAAGGGCTAAGTAGGCAAAAGATCACTAATAACCACCAGTACAACCAGGGAAATTCATCGCTTGATATGTTCCATGTTGCAGACCAACCATATTCATGGCCCTCTGCCCTGCCTGGTCTCACACATTTTATTCCTGGAGGTGTGGCAAAAAAACCCTGTCCATCCCACCGCATAATAAAGCTGAAATGCACAAGTGTATACTATAAAGACAGCATCTTGTTTAAATACCTACTATTAAAAACCATGATGCCCTTGGGGGTCTTCCATTAGTTTTTTGATCAGGCATAATGGGATTAGTAGTAAACTAGGAGCCTGCAAAAAGCATTTCCAGTTTATTCCCTTTGTGCCTCACTAAAGGGATTGAGCATAGCAGGGCAGGAACCAAGGAAGGATGTACAGCAGCAGATTTACATAAAGGCTGCATTCACATTATGTATTTAAAGCACATTTAAAACATTCTACCCCTCTTCCTCCCCCCAAAAAAGAATCCAGAAAGAGTTGTTTGTGTAGTGTGCTGAGACCTGTGAGCTCTGAACTATTGTTCACAGGATTCTTGGGGGTCATAGAATCATAATTATAGAGTTGGAAGGGACCTCAAGGGTCATCTGGTCCAACCCCCTGCAATGCAGGAATATCAGCTAAAGCATCCAAAACAAATGGCCATCCAACCACTTCCTTTTGTATACATATTTGACTCACCAAGAAGCTGGCCTGACTTCTTCAACAATTGAATCCTCCATTAGATTTTTAACCCTTGTCAAGTTCAGGACCTCAATAATTATAAGGGACTCAGACATCATGCAGTCTAATTCCCCCAAACTTACAACAAAACAAACAAACAAATGTTTCTACCTCCCTGTAATGAATGCATTACCAACTAAATACAGTGGTACCTTGGGTTACATACACTTCAAGTTGCATACGCTTCAGGTTACGGACTCCACTAACCCAGGAATAGTACCTTGGGTTAAGAACTTTGCTTCAGGATTAGAACAGAAATCGTGCTCCGGTGGCACAGCGGCAGCAGGAGGCCCCATTAGCTACGGTGGTGCTTCAGGTTAAGAACAGTTTCAGGTTAAGAAAGGATCTCCGGAACGAATTAACTACTTAACCCGAGGTACCGCTGCATCTGGCATTTGCCCTTGTTTTAAGAGAATCAGCTACAACCAAGGAGCCCAACTCCTGGAGAGTTAACTCACAGGTGTGGCCTGGCTGGAGGACTTTAATTTCTACTCTGCACAGGTTCCGAGGCCTCATCAATAATAAAGGGCAATTCACTGTTAACTAAGCTTGTGTTACGTTCATACATAAATAGCAGAAAGTGCCCCTCGCCCCAGTAGTAATTTTTACCTACTGCTCTCAGAAAGTGGGATATTAGCAGCCCAGTAGAGGGCATTCTCTGGCAGCTCTATGGATTTATAAATCCCTTCCCAAAGAGCTAAGCCTGGCACCTGCATTATATAGTTTTTGTGGTATGCTGAAGACACAGATCTTTAACCTGTCTTTGTCAGCATAGATTTGTGTTTTCACGACCCATCCCGTGACTGCAATTTGTTTTAACTGTTTTTAATATTGAATTTTAGCAAGACAAACAAGCCATCCCTTCCCCTGTCTGACTCTTTTAAATTTGTTTGTAAATTCGGATCGAGACCTGAATAACAAGGAACTGGTATGGCACCTTTAGACAGTGGCCCAGGCCACAACTACCAAGTTCTGGAAGGCTTTTGATCTCAATAATCTTGATTTTTGCTATTCCAAGGCTTGGCCCTTCTTGAAAAGATCTTGCTTAAGCAAAAGTGCCCAGGGACATAAGTGATCAAGATCCCTTCTTTGCCATTTGATCTCATTTTATTTTTTTATATACAAACTCAGGAATGTTAGGTACCACAGATCTATGCAAGTGTCCTAATTTATTACATCCCAGTGTTTATTTCTTTGAAATGGACTGAGACCATGGAACCCTTTGGTAATTACAGACAACACATCCTTTCCCTCTCAGTAATGCTTTATTCTTAGCTTAGGAAATCACAGCTGCATTCTACATTTCTTTATTGACAATTGTGACAACTAATCTTTGTTTTTTTTATAAAAAAAATCTTATTTCTTTTTTCTGTACAGTCATACCTCGGGTTAAATATGCTTCAGGTTGAGCTTTTTCAGGTTATGCTCCGCGGCAACTGGAAGTAATGGAACGTGTTACTTCCGGGT